CCGGATTCACCTATTGTTGGTTTTTGAATTAGAGTGCGCTGCATTCGATTGTGTTCGTATATCAGCCAGAAATAAAAATAATAGGATACGGAATAGAACGGAAATAAATAGTATAAAATCGGATGGTTCGAATGCTCTAATTTGTACGACGCCCTGTATAAATTCGATATACATTGATAATTCGCGAATACGTTGTAATGTAATGTAATCGATTCAATTCCGTGTTGAACATTTCGTATATAGCAATGTAAATATTTCTGCAAACAAATATTTGCTATAGATCCAAATACACTATATTTATTATTTTTAAAATAGAAGCTCGGTTAATTTTATTCGCGACTCGAATATTCGCTTTAATGTTTTCAGGATTCTTGGAGTAAAGCGATTATTTCAGTAGTGGGTATATTAAACGGAATCCTGATAATAAATCGATTAAATCGATCGAGTAGCGCTATAAAATAGTACGAGTTTTACACCTACATTCGCGTGTTGTTCCAACGTAAATTAGTTTTCGGCGCCGACACGCTAATACAACGATAATAAAGAAACGGCGAAGATGCAATTTTACGTGTTCGTTTTCCTCCTGTATTTCGGATTTCGCTGATTTTCGACGGATCGAACTTCAAACGTTAAGCCGTAAATCCTTCTTATGGAATATTAAAAGTGATAATTGCGTTTCTGCTGCGCGAATATGTGCCAGATAACGGCTTAATTGAAGCCGAAAAATTTACATTACGGGATTTCGGTCGCTCGTCCTGTTTGCTCCATGATTAATGATCCTTCATCACTATAAGCGCCACGGATTTTCCTGTTGAATATTTTTTTCACTACCAGCAGAGATGAATATATGAAGAAAATGTGGTATATAATTGTGTAAAAATGTGTAGTGGAAAATTTGTTAGGTGTTTGCGTGACAGAAAATAAATCAATTACTAATCATCGGTAAAATATATCAGTATCATCCCTTCGGTTTACCGACCAATATATTATCGTTTCTTTTAAACATACCGGTTCAACAGTAGATTACCGTCGATGAATGTCTGTAAACATACGCCAATATTTTGAAAAATGATGCAATCCTGCGGATACCGATAAAAATATCCAAACCCAAACAAAATGTCATAGGATGTAGTATAAAAATTTATTAGTTTAAAACAAGTGGGATTTATCCGGGATAAACCCGCTCTTTTTGTGCCATACAAAACCTCATTAAACAATTACTCGGACAATCTGATGAACGTAGTAATCCCATAGAAATATGTCGGTAGAAATTCAAAGGTTTTAATTCCGGCGAATGAAAACGGTTAAAAAAATATCGCACCGGATAATCCGCGTCTCGCGTAATTCCGTGGAGGTTCTACGGGCGTATAAAAACACCGCAAACAGCGGAGCATTAAACGATGGACCTTTTTCCCTGCTCTCGTACTATTTGTTTTTCTTATGAAGTTTCCGAGAGGGGCGGAAATCTACCAGCACGCGAATATTCATATGCTAATTCGTTGTCCGAGTGTATTTATAGCTCTAAATGAGGCCTTTTTCGAACCCGAATGGATTGTACATTATTCAAAAACGGGGTCAGTTGAAATATCCGTCGAAATACGTTCGACTATTCTATTATGTTTTCATTTCTACCGCCAATTATGTCGCTAATTAGGTCACAATATCCATTATATACCACTTAATAATTTATTCATCATTAGAATGACTGTATATCTGTTAACAAGCAAACACCCTGTATGCTAAAAGTGAGTAGGTACATGTAATTTTTCGTATGAACTCGTTTAATGGTGTTTTTAAGACGTTCGGAAAAGTCGAGTAAAAAATACCACGCCCGGAGCATTCGCATTTAAAAATTAAACCGGAGTTTTTAATCAAACTCCGGCGGTTGTCGTCGTTTCTTCAACATCATGGGAAATACTATCGCTGCGACTGTCATTCGGAATATTAAAAGCAAAGAAAATGCCGGGAAAACGTTACATAAAACCCGGCACAAAGGAAGAAAATTAAATTTTTCCGAGGTTCGGAAAAGGTAGATAAATACCGGGAGTTTCCGCAATTGGTCGGTATGGTCCTTATACGTGTGGGCTAATCAAACAATAAAGGATTTTTTTATATATTTATTTTATTTAATATCCTGCTGTTGGTAAAATGAAAGAATTGCATCGATCGAGGTTTCTGAAAAGTTTATGCAAATTTATGGAAAACCATTCGAAATGTTGCATAGTGGAGTTTCGACAACTTAAATCTAATTACATACATATTTAATTCAACTCAGCTCTGGAGACTTTATAGTTTTAAAATAAAATAGTCGCCTTTTGATTGCACTTCCACACTTCCCATTTCGTATACACGTAAAACTTACTATTCATTTAAAATTCATACTACACAATATGTCCCATGCATACTATATCTCCTCGCCTAATCTGATACATCCAGTATAATTTGGATTACTCGATAGGCGATAATTCGTACAATATTTAGATACTCATATCGATTCCTTAGATAAATTCTTTGTCTTTGGGCGCCGCTCTAATGAATCAATCGAGGATCCTTTCCAGGTGGGCGGACATCCAAGGCGTTCTCGCCCTGACGTTATAAGCACAGACATTCGAAAGATTAATCGGCGTTGTACCATTATATCAACCACAAAACAAAGAACAGCATGTGAGAACAATCGCGTGAATTTGACGAACTTTATGGTACTTGATATTTTTTTATTGCGACTTTTATCAAATGAGCCATCCAACCCGGCGACGGTATTAATGGAATCAATCGGTATATTGTTTTGTTCGTTTCGAAGGGAAGATTCCGCCCCCGTAATTTGAGAAATCCATCCCCTTTTATATGGGTCAGTGTTTATCCTCCTTTCATTCCATAAGTGGCTTCGAGGGGGCATTATCCGCCGGATCCGAGTTTCATCAAGCGAACTATCTCTTTTCACAGGGTCCCTCGGTTCACATACCGGCGAAACAAAACCAGAAGGCATTCGGAAAATACAAGGCAGCCTCCCGTAAACCCGAACCACATCTTACATTACATATCTCATCACCGAGACGCTCAATTGATCTAGTACTTTTCATCTCTATAGAAAGATTGTTGTTGTAATTCTGAACGTTTGGTGGTGATAATTCAATAATCGACGAAATCGAGTAAAAAATTAGGGGTGGAGAGCCATCCCGTATTCGGGCAGAACGAAACGGGAGCGTTCTCCCGCGATCGGCGGCTCCTCGGGAGCGGAAAACGCGACGTCCCGCGGGAATCGGACAGGCGACCGAGGGCGGAAGTCGAGATCTAAGCGAATTACGGGCGAGACAATCTCCAGAAGGCCGGGGCCCGACTTTTAAAACTAACCAATTTATCGATTCGTTACGCTCCCGTCCGACGGCGATAGATCGGCCGGACGCGTTACGGCGCACATATATGACAAAAGGCGGGCGGGGGAGAATTCTCGGCAGGTGCACGACATTCGGGAAGACAATGAGAGATGTCCCGCCGTGCCGGTGAATACATTTTGAATCCGGGTGGCGTTGTGTATACTATTATACAGGGTGTTTTTCATTTATTATTGCTGATTCAACTCCTTAAACTGGTGATTTTTGGATATCTTCTCCGAAGAGCACCAGGTGCTAAATCCATAATTGAAGCTCCAAAAACATAAATACGCTTATACAGGGTGTACTTAATTTACTAATACATATTTAACTCGTTAATCTGCAAATATATTCAATTTTTGGGCATCATCTTCTAAGGGTAGCAGGTGCACCAAGTGAACAAATTGTACCAAATTTATCTTACAATTTTTTAATACTGTTTCGTCTAGTTTTGGTATAAACTATAAACGTGTGCCACCCTGTAGTACATCTATCGGGGGCCCTCACAACGCGTTCACCGCAAACCGATCGCGCGCCACCCATTACATTGTCCTGTTTACCCTTTGATGACTTACGGGAGCACGCTAGTCCTACCATTATTATTATCGGTAGTGGTTCGTGGGCCGTAATCGATTATTATTCCGAATGAAAAATCATTTATCGTCTACGGCACAATAGATCGGTAATTCAGACATCAATGCGACGTGTATTTCAATCTAATGGACATTTATCGAAAGGATGTACTTAATTCGATGCAAAAAGAATACCTAATAGGTTTTAATCCTGTTGGTAAATTGGGCGCGAAATATTAAGGTTCCTTTTAATTCGATAAGAGTCCCCAGAAAATAACTGCAAATAATTCATTAGATATGATTGAGAATTCTGTTTAAATATAAATATTAGGTTTCATCACCCTTATTATTCTATTCAGTTATCTCCTAACTCTTCTACTCTATTCTACTTTCATCTACTCTTCTCTACTCTACTCTCATCTACTCTCATCTACTTCTCAACTATACCAAAAATTTTTAATTTCTTATTTGAAAGTTTGCAATGAACTCGTTCCAAAACTTCCTCATTAGAACTCCAAAGTGTGTGTGATTAGTGTTTGACGAAAATCGATTTTTCGGTTAATATTTCAAGGATTAATGAATTCTAAAAACGTTAAATTAGCTACGTAATACCCAAATCAAGTCAGTTGTCATGCCACGCCGTTTTGGCCCTTTTCGATTCCGGCTCTTGTAGTAATTTGTACTGTAACTGATGGGCGCCGCTATAAGGACGCGTTGCATTTGGACCATTGAAATAAAAAGACCGTCTCCGAGGAAATGACAGTTATAAATGCTCGCCCGAGCGAGCGATCGTTCCGACAGGGGAGCCGGAACAAAGCGGAAAACAGCGGAATTTCCATTGCGCGCCGTTTTGTTTAAAATAAATTTATAAATTCCTAAATTATAATTCGGTTCTATTTTTCAATTTAACAGCGCCGTAATGGGCGCATTAAAGCGACGGCCACCCCTCGAGAGGACGTAACATGAAAGTTAAATTTTATCGTCCATTCAAGTCGGGATATGAATGAAACGGTTAACTGCACAGATTAGTAATAATGATAATCGGTTTTTTTTACAGGTTATTTACTGCCTACCCGTATGGTCAGAGGACAGCAATCGCACTAATGGAAACTCCGACGAAACATCTGATCAGGTAATTATTAAATACTCTATCAAAATGTACATTTGTAAATCCATTGTTGTTTCAAAATGATGTGTAATATGTAAAAAAGATGCTATATGAAGAAAATTTTATTATTAATAATGTCCCAAACCTTTTTGTGACACCCTGTATATTTTATAAAAGTTTATCGATAGTAATAGGGTTAAAACTGGTGGAAATGTTTGAGTAGTCGTGTTAAATTTCGTTAATATAAAAGTATCCTTTGATCGAGCGTTCTATTGAGGAAAAGCCCCCTCTCAATTTTTAATTCGGCTAGCGAGCAGTTGTAAAACAAAGGAAAAGGCAGCAAGTCGTAAACCGATTTCCGGTGAAAAGTTTCACGACCGGAACTTTCCCAATTCGCTAATAATCTTTTTATATCGAAGGCGATGCGGGCTTGTTGTTTTATATGTTACGACGACAAATATAATATCGAGACATTTTTCTCGGTATAGTCGAAATCGACGGCGATAAAACGGGCCTAATACCGCGAGGATAATACGTCCTGTTCGTCCTGACCCTGTGAGATAAATACATTTACGATCCACGCAACAAATATCAAGGAATACAGGGCGGTGGAAGTTGAATGTTATAATTGGCGAAGGCGCTCGGGTAGCGCTCGATTTTACCTAATGAAATTTGGATTTTTTTCGGTGCGCGCCGGCTGATAAATAATTTAAATCGACATTAAGGAAAAACGATTTCGGCCGAGCATCGAGAAACGCGGAATTAATAAGGAAAGCGAGATTTGAGGATGAATAATGCATTGTTGATTCGCAGAAATGGCGTTCCGAAAGCGACTTCTCAGATTTTCCAGAAATTATAATAAATTAGGCATTTAAATGTTCGTCGACAATAAGAAAAGAGACCGCTTGTAAAACACGGTTAGCGAATTTCTGCGAAAGAAAATCTCCAATTTTTTCCCCTCAACTAATTTCGAACGTTCAAAATTAAATTTCCTACATATTTAGCGGATTATTTTTGCATCAGGAATTGTCGGAGCAACTGGAGGAAGCCAACGACATATCAGAGGGCTGGTCGAAGTGGTCGAATTGGTCTCCTTGTTCCCGCTCCTGCGACGGCGGCGTCGCCCATCAATTAAGGACCTGCTCGATCGGCAAATGTAGAGGCAACCACATCAGATACAAAATATGCAACATGCAGGTGAGCCAATTTATAATTTTTAGGCATCAAAATACACACTATACACGTCTGTTACGAGTCGCCATATTTGTTATTCGAGGAAATCAAAACACGAACCGATATATCGGAAAATCGCGCACAATACGGTGCAACAATAAACAACTAACTGGATTCTACCTGGAACACGGACCGTAAATATTTTGATGCGAACTACCTGTCGCTGCTTTTATTACCGCTTGAATATACCCAGAAAGAGTTATCACGAAACAGTTCCCCATAAATTTAATTCCTCCACGGATAAATGCGCGTTATTATTATTCCCAATAATTTATTTACTCTTCGATTAATAAATATACGGATAACGATAAACGTTTGCATTTTCACCGAATTCGATTTCGACAAGCTATTATATTTACCAATCTGTTCGGTACATATTTTTACATAAAGAGTCGTTTATTCGCTTAATTGAGTCAATTACTAATTATTATCTACTTAAGAGAGTCAGTTCACCTATGAAACTCAATTCTTCTTCTTATTCTAATGTATACTTAAAATAGACTAACTGCTTAATAGAGTCGTTTGTCTACTTAAGGCAGTCAATATCTTCTTAATAGAGTCAATTATCTGCTTAAAATGGTAAAGTCTTTACCTAAAGGAGTACATTTATTACTTTATACATATTTGCTTTTTCCGCAAAAAAGTCTATTAAAATTATTCAATGATGCTTAAAAGAGCCGTTTATTCGCCTAATAGAGTCAATTATCTACTTAAGAAAGTCGATTATTAACTTAAAAGAGTTAAACACGTCTATTTTTATGCATTTTTGCCGCAGAAAAACTTCATTTATTTGGTGTTGCTTGGTTTATAGTGTGCTGGCGATGTTTCTGTGGAATTTTTTCAGCGAATCCCGGTCGACGTATTATCGAAAAACGCTAGGTTCCTTTTATGCGCACACATAAAGTCGGAAAAACGTTGGGCCCCGCGGTAAAGAGAGTAAAGATGTAAAATGTCTAGTCGAAGACACAATCTGATAAGCCGGGAGAATATGCCGCTCGGATGAACGTCGTCTAGAAAAGAAAACGTGGGGTTGACAGTCGAGTCGGGAGTGGCAATTTCTCAAAAATAGGAATTCTACTATCTATCTCTCTTAAGTGAATTTTGTTTTGATGGTTAACAGACGTTCGCTCGGATGTTTGAATAAGTTAAAAATAGAAGGGTTTTGAAAGATCTATGACTAAGCGCAATTCATCTATTATACAGGGTGCTTCAACCCTCTTTACATTTACTATTACTACATTTACACACACACTACATTTCTTTACAGAAAAGTAGTGAACTCGGTTCCTCCACCAAAAAATGTAACGAATTTCATTACAAATAGGTACCTATGTAACTACAATATTTTGATATCAACCTGTAATTATTTATACATTTAATGTACATTCGTGCATACAAAAGTTCATAAACACCTCACATTTTATATCCAATTTTTTGTTTGCGAAATTTTGTTCAAGCCTCATCCACCATAATTTCGACTAATTTCACACTGAACGATTGCATTCTCGATATCGATTCCATATTAATAAGGCGGAATTTAAAAGGTCGCCCGTTTTATTCCGGCGGAGAGTTTGTTTGAGTCGCTTTTTACAAAGCCGTTCCGCGATTCGAAAGTTCCTAATTTCAATTATTTCTAGACAATGAGAGAGAGTTCAGGAACGATAACAAGGGACCCTAAAAACGAGCCGGGGAAGTTGTTGGAAAATCTCGACTTCGCTAATTGTGATTCTAACAAGGCGAAACGCCGTCTCCACTTCGCCCCGAAAGACATGCAAATTTTATTTGTCGCGTTAAGTTTTTCTTTCTAATGATACCTATTGATTTAGTTTCGTCCCCGCTGCTCTGTGTAACCTACTAATATGAATGATAAATTTTGACGGTGACGGTTTTAAAAGTGCTTTCTCGGCGTTTTCCTATCTATTTAACGAGATAAAACGTTTCCAGCACGCGGCGATTTCAACGTGACCAAAGTAGTGGAGATGATAAAATGACCCTTTGGGCAAATGTTATCTAAAGAGCAACCAATCAAATGCCATTCCACGCTTACTTTAACGCTAAGAAAATCAAAGAAACCGCACCGAAAAGCTCCCAGGTGCTATTTATCTGCTACGATAATTTAATTTGAATTAACTGTTGCCCAATGTTATTTGTCCCCTTTCTAAATTCTTATTTCATCGACCAAAAAACTCCACCGGAAAAAGGCACGCTGCAGCAATTTCGCGCGAAAATTTCTCTCCGGGAAACGTCGAATATATCGTGAGCGATGTTCACATCAATCGGTTTTTCGATATAAATAACCCCGTCATTTTCTCTACTTGCGCGAATTCCTCCGATTCGCTCGGCATTTACGAAAACGCAACGCGGAACTCCTCTTGTTTAGCCGGTTAAAAATCTCGCTAATTTCGACCTTGCGGAACCGGCGCGGGTTCGGGCGCGGTCGCAAAAATTCACCGAAAAAAAAAAATCTTCCTGTTTGCGTCGCAGAATTTTTTACGAGGTCAAAATCGTACGCATGTATTTTATATATCGCAAATTTTATTAGTAATTTATTACATCAGAAAAATATTTAATCACCTCGGTGTATTATAACTTGTTTATTCTTTGCATCGTACCTTTCGGTTTCGATGCAAGGCACGGGATGATAGGCGATTATGGGCAACAAAGCGTGGTTCAAATATTCGTCGGTTAGGACATGTGTTAGCTCGGTTTCGATGGCTCTAGCTTGCACCTCAGGATGTCCCGCGGATGGATTGGGTCTGGTGTGCTTTGTCTTTTTAACGGGCCTATCTTCTTTGGCCATAATCGGCGCTAGAATCGACATAATTTTAGTATCGTCCGCTACTGTGGATTCCCCGCCAGCGATTTTCTGAACAACTGGAGTCATCGGACAAGCTTTGGTCATTGGATAAGCTTTGAATTTCTGCTGACGTTCCATGTATCCTCTTACGACGGGTTTTGTTTCTAATACCGGAAAATGAGGTACGATGTTTGACATCAAAGGAATAGCTTTATTTTCCGCTTTAGGAGTGTGAGGTATATCATCAGTTGTGATTAAAGGTGGATAATTTTGGAGAACGTCCGGTGATTTGGGTACGTGGAGCAGCACTTTGGCTCCTTTGTGAGGATCGGCTGCTGTTGCAGGAGTTACCGCATCGGCTTCTTTTACTTTAACAGTAGATGCACCAGGAGCTGCAATTAACGAAGATGTTTTTTCCAGCAGGATTTTAGCTCCATTGACTTTCGATTCATTGACGCTACCATTAGAACCGACTATTTTAGTCATTGCGCTAGGTCCTTCGACGATGTTTTTATCACCTTCAACGGTCAACGATGACGAAATAACGTTGATAATAAATAATATCTAAAAAATTTGTTTATTTTATTACTATATTGATAATTCGCGAAGAGAATACTTACCAACATCTTCATGGTAATTCGCATTTTCGCACAAATACGCGATGTTTAACTTATCAGTGGAAATAATTCGTGTATGTACTCGCATGCAAGCAAGCCAGTTGCCCCTGAACGTCTCGAATGCCCGGACGGTATTTCCTGATTTCAATTTCGAACAGTTGGAATTCCTACAATTTTAGCAGGTTATTAATCCAAAAACTATTCGAAATTCCACAGCGATTAAGAAACTATTAAAAAAATCCGTATAGTTGTCTTGTGTTGTTTGTTTGTTTGTAGATATTTGAATGTTTTAAATTATTAGATTTTTTTTTATTCTGGAATCTTATACACATAGGTGCAAATTTCTATTGGTCTCATATAAAGGAGAAAGAGTATTGTAACGATTGTAACTTTCCCACTCTAACCACTGTTATTTTAACAATCTTTCTTTCTTTAACTCATAGAATTGTTCATAGAAACTGTTATTTTAACAATATTCCTTTCTTTAACTCATAGAATTGAGCATATTGCAAACAAATTTGCACTTACTCATATACATTTCGGTCTAAACACTTTATTCATCAGAATACCCGTATCTATCTCGCTGCGCGAGCTCGACTTGATTGCCTCACTAGACGTATTATCCTCTCGATCTTTTATTGTACTAGCCTATTTCCTCTTATCGTATTTATATCTTTTCGTATCATTTTTGCGGCAATAAACCGAAATGAGTTTTTCTCTCCGAAAGATCTCGAACCGAAAGAAACGGTTGATTGTGGCTCTAGCGCCGGCGGCCGTGAACTCAGCGACCGCGCCTCCGGCACCCGGGACATTTGCATTCTAACCGAAAGATAACAGAGCGTCGCTTAATTCCCGGACTAAAGGCGATCGACGGGCTTTGTCTGGCGATTCCGGATTGTTTTGTTAAGTTGTTATTCGACGATTCCGGGCGAAACTTACTCGCTTTATGCTGATCACTTAATTCGATCCTAGGTATACGTATTAGAACTTTGTATGCTTCACAATTTTTATTAAAGCCAATTAAACACTACAATTATCTAATAATACAATCCGTGACCGTGCGCAGCGTAAGCATGAACTCCATGGCCTGCGATGACTGGTGCAGCTGCTACTACAGCAGGAGCTGCGACCGTCTTGCTGGTAGCGATGGTACCCGAAGGTCCTGCGACGACTGTATCGACTTGAGTGTGAGCTCCAAGCGAGTGAGCGCCCAAAACTGGAGCCGAATAAGCGACCACTGGTGCATGAGCGGCTACAACAGGAGCAGAGTGCGAGTAAGTGGAGACCACAGCAGGAGCCGAGTGGGCGTAAGAAGAGACGACAGCAGGAGCCGGGTGTGCGTAAGAGAGGACAGCAGGAGCCGAGTAGGTGGAGACGACGGCAGGAGCGTGGTGTACTGGAGCGGCGTGAGCGATTACTCCGGGGTGTTCCTCAGCTACGATTTGAGCTCCAGGAGATACTGAGGAGATGACGCTACCGTCGCTTCCTACTACAGTAGCTCTGGCACTCGGACCTTGGACTATGGTAGCCGATGGGGCGGAGTAGGATGTAGCCAGAACGGCGAAAAATGCTACGAAAGCCTAGAGGAAAAATCGTTAGAAAATCTAGCACAATCGAAATAATTTAAGTGTAGGTACTTACCAATGAGTTCATGTTTATGCAGTATTGACGTGCTCAACTGATGTATTTTAAATTCTTCGATTTCAATTTATACTCTTTGAGCCCGTGCACTAACCTTGTCTACACCCAAAATCGTAAACGAAGTTCATTGTTGAAACTCGATTTCGAACAATAATTACCATACCAATCTCCTTTTTTTTTGCTCGCGTGTAAAAATCTTCCTGTATTTTGATTGCCTTTAAACACAATTTTGTAATTAAATTGTCTGTTAAAATTATTTAAAAATATGTCCGTTGCTGTACGTATGCGAGGACTTGTTTTTGTAATTAGTTCATAATTAATTTAATAAAATTGTACGTATTTTACATACAACAGGGCAAATGCGAAAATAATGTATTCGTTTGTTTCAATCATTCTCTACATTAAATTTCAATTCGAAATATGGACACAAAGGGTACATTTCGCTTTACTTGCCTACATTTAAAAATGTTTATAACAAATATTCATAACAATCTAATTTTACAGTATTAATGCAATAGCAATTTCGTTACTGTAAAATTCAACTTACTAAATTTTAAGCAATTTTATTTATTAGTGATTTGAATGATTAATGGATTATTGTCTGCATGCTACCAAACTATTAATCATTAAAAACTAAACATTTACATTGATCGTTATTGGTTTATAAAAATACGGGAAATAATCAGTATTTAGTTAATATACGATATTGTAAATTACTAACGGTAAGGGAAGACGAATTACTAATAATAATTACAGACTACAAGGTCGTTATTCCATTAAATATGTATATAAACGATTTCCCGAAAGAATCATCACCATTCAAAAATTTATAGTTTAATAACAAAGCTAGCATATTCCGAGAGATATGAAATTTCTAGTAAGTATTTTAAGTCATTTAGAAGTAAGTTTTTTAATTTTTTTATTACTAGATTATTTTGGAACTATTCCTTGTAATTAACCTGGTTTACGCCGATATTTACGAGCCGGATCAAGAAAGTGCTGCTAACTTTGACGATCACTCCCTCTTGCCCGCATTATCACGATCAACTATACTAATTAACAGACCATTCGGGGGATATTTGATGATACAACCTACCCCACAATCCCTAACGATTCCTGCATCAATGAAAAGCGACAACGTTCCTGATGTTGTGACTTATCTCACCACCTGAAGAATAGGATATTGCTTTATGTTCTTTAATGTTAATAAAATGTCAATAAATTATACACCTTTAAATCAATGCCTTATCACCTACAGACGATAAAAGTTGTCCGGGTAACGGCTAACCTTGTGCAATTACAATACCGTCGATCTGATACATATTTGAATTTTTAATATTTATGCGCTTTTTTCCAATATCATATTCCATAATGATTTGCGCCAGTCGGTTATGTGAGAGCACTTACATTAGAATAGATTATAATTATAACAAAACCTTGATAACGTTCCTGCGAGAGAAGGAATTCCACTTTGCTAATAATTATTATCTGTCGCCGTAATCATGCAATTGTTGAAACAAAAATAACCGACTAGAAAGTAAAAAATGTAAAATTCATAAAAAATTGAATTCTGCCAGCCCTAATCAAAACTGTTAATTAAATCACCCAATTTAATATCAATCATAATAGCAAATAATTAATTAATCCAATTTGACCGGCATTGTGTGTTCCATTCGCCTATTAATTTTAACGACTTTATTAAGCCTATTGTTTACAAATCCCGCTTCGACGGAAAGATATTCCTGCGAATCGGATAATTATGACGCAATTTCCGAGCAAATTTAACGCCGATTCTGACGTTTCATTTTTTTTTTCGCTGAACGTACGTATTTTTTTTAAATATCCATATTCCGTACTCTCCCTAAGTGCATACATGCGGAAAGTGAATAACTGTTAGTGTCCTATTTGGGTGTGGACAAGGTTATCAGTGGCTATATAAAATACGGAGTAATGGGATTTAGTCGTATCAGTCCTGCGATATCAATATTCAAAACAACAACCATGAACCAACTGGTAAGTTGAGATCTTGTTTCAGTAAAAGCTTATTAATTATGCGGAAAAATTTTAATAGTTTTCTTAACGATTTATTAGCTAGTTATAACTTATTTTTCTTGGGTCTTGCTTATTCCGCAAGCTCGACTAGTATATGACTAGCATGGGTTAATTTTCCATTGCTTTGCAGTCCGTAGCTGTTTTCTTCGTAGCCGTCGCCGCCGCCAGCGCTGGTGGTCTCCTTGGAGCCGGTATCATCGGCGACAAAGGAGCCCTCGAAGGCGCCCTGGGAGGCCAATGGATCCCCGACACCGTTGAAGACGGCGCCCACGGAGCGGCCATCGTCGGCCACGGCAGCGCCAGAGGAGCCCTCGAAGGCGCCCTGGGAGGCCAGTGGATCCCCGATGTGCCCGTAGCCCACGGACCGATCGCCGCCCCCGTCATCGCCGGCCCCTTGGCTGCCCCCTTGGCCGGACCCTTGGTGGGACCCTTGGGATTAGGATTGGGATTGGGACACGGTCTTGGCTTGGGAAACGGTCTGGGCTTGGGTCACGGATTGGGAGTTGGTATCGTCGGACACGGAGTATCCAGAGGATCTTTGGAAGGCGCCCTGGGCGGTCAATGGATACCCGATGTGCACGGTCATTAAGAATATTTTTATAAGTAATTTTGGAATGCCGGCTGACTTGTAATTAATTTGATTTATTTTTATGTTTTGGTCGAGGTCAGTTTGTGTCTTTGTAAAGCGAAAATTTTGAAATTATAGTTTTTAATGTATCGATTTTTTTTATTTTGTCCTTTAAGAATATTGGCAATTAATTTTTCTTCCTATAAGAAATTCGCTAATATTTTAAAGACCATCTGGTTTTGTTGAAGGCGTTTAACTTTCTTTAAACTCGAAGGTCGACTTGTACTGGTCTTTGTTTTACGGAATTAAAACCGTCGATCGATTTGATTTATAGTTCTCCCATAAAATCGAATAAATCTGAATTAAGAACGAATAAGAGTTCACTTCCGATGAATGTACGATAGTTCGTTTATTCCGAATAAATTAAGCTAGATGATGAAACTTTATATTTTACGGAGATAATATTAAGCGTAATTCAATAAGAAATAAAAATGACCAAGGCTGCTGCTCTAGGTCAAGTGCGAGCGGGTTTTGAAGTTCATTGAAACCACTAAATGTTACTAATAATATATTTAATATCACGAAATTTTTAACTGTTTTTACGAATCACCTTTATAAGAACCATCATCGTACAAAGCTTCTGTATTATCAGGAACATAAGCTCCTTCTTCTGCAGTAGGTGGAGGAATAGAAGCCGAAGCGACTGCAGCAGGAATTTCAATCGGTACTGCAGCAGGACCTGCATTCGTGTAGCTAGTTATGATCGATCCTGCTGGGCCACTGACTACCAATTCAGGACCTAGAGCATGGGTTAATTAATTTTTATAAACCTCTAAGTGAGTTTAGGTTCTGACCTAGAGGAACTTGGGCAGGTGCAGCTATTAAACCTGGTGATTGTTCGTCGATGACGACTGTACCTCCTGGTGCTACAGAGTCGATGGAACTTCCATCTGGTCCTAGTAAGACGGTTTTGCTGCTAGGTCCTTGCAGGACGTTTATAGCAGGGATTACACCGGCGTGGGTGAGGTTAAATAGGAAAAATAATACAGATAGGATCATCTGAAATAATTCGTGTTTGTTATTTTATTTTTAAAACATATGGAAAAATTGATTGAAATACCGAATTTTATACATTTAATAAACTGCAAAATGAACGAAACGTCAAAAATAAAAAACACTACGCGCCGTTATATTTGTTAAATAAATTCGAAATTCGCTTTGAAGTTGACGAGGATATTTTTAATTAAAATAATCGAACCGTTCGGTTGATTTTATTGCATTTCACTTGCGTCAAAATACGCGTTTTATTATGTACTGCTCAAATACAAAAACAATTCATTTAAAATCACGCTAATTTCACACTTTCCCTGGCACCAACGGAAAAATCGAAAGAACGTTACGCAAGTTAGCCTTGCTAATCTGCATTTTCAACTTCATCTCCAGTGGGAGTAAGCGCACAGATCGAGCGAACTTACCTTGAAATCCATTTTCTCAGCGATGTTGGCAACGCGCACTAGTGCCTAGTATACGCTTTTGACCGCTTTATATCCGCGGAATCCTCAACACTGGTAGCCTATTAAGAATGCCGCTCTAACAGGCGAGCCTACTCACCTCCCTGCCGCATTTCGAAAAAAAATCACTTCCTTAAGGTCGACATCGGCAATTACTTGTAGCGCACTCCCTATATTTTGTTTACGCAAAACTCTATTAAATTATTATCTACCGTGTAGTATGTTATCTAATTCATACAGCAGTTGAATACGAATTGGGATAAAAATTCAGTTGTTGTGTTAAATAACAATTATTATTAAAGGCGGTTTTTGAAGTGAAAATTATGTAGTTTCTTTGTTTTGTTGGCTATTCCATTCGACGGGTTTTATGCAGTATTGCTGGGTGAATAAATGCACACACTCAAAAATGTTTTGCATATTATGTAGTTAAAATGGCACTGTCCATTTATTATTTAAAATGTCTTTTGTTAAATTGTTTTTATTGTTAATTTTAAATGAAGTTTTATGCCTTTTGGAAACTAATTTTGATGAGTAATTTTACAAATAATTCGTTGTATTAAATGTTTATTCTTTTATGAAAAACATTTTTGAGAGAGTATATACAGGGCGGTCCGTAAGTAATGGTCCAAAAGTGAAGGGGAAGATTCTGGGCCTCAAAATATTACGATCTGACCCTACTTGCTTTAGTAAAATATTGAAAATAAAAAAGATACAGAGTGTCAATGTTGAAATCAAAAAAAGAATGATTTTTCGCAGCAGTTTGAAAGATTTTGGATGTAAAGAAGTGAAAATTTAAAGACATGTGTTTCAATGCATGAGAAATCATAATATGATAAAAGCAATTCTACAAAAGATAAATATAATAAATGACCAGTGGCATTTCAACTTCATATGTAATATGTAATATGCAAAACCTTTTTTAGTGTGTATTTGCAAGAGACTCTCCCGCTGCACTATTCGATACACATTGAACTTCATCACTGCGTATCGAGAAACTAACTTAATTTAAACCCGATTCATACGGCAGTGGAATCACATGTGAGATCAGAAATGGGATAAAAATGTAGCAAAAATTATCTCTCGTGTAATGTTGTTTTGTTGTGTTTAACTAGCAATTATTTACGCAGTCTTAGAAGTAAAAATAACGTAGTTTCTTTGTTTTGCTGGCTCTGTCATTCGACGGGTTTTATGCAGTAATGCTGGGTGTGGACAGGTGGACGTGGCGTGGGAATAGCGCCAGATAGTCACTGAACCGGATTAATACACACGGAGAAAAAAAATCACAGCTCGATAATGCACGTTAAAACCCGTCGACATTTTTAATCTCGTCGAATTAATACAATACCTTTTAATATCCCACCAGATTTATTATACATATAACCTCGTTCGTAAGAAATGAGACTGTCCTGTTCGTGAACCTTCCCCGAGGTTACAAACCTTTTGATCTTCCCAATTTCCCGAAATTTTATTAAAACCCTTCGATGCGAGTACCTTCAGAAAAAAAGTAAACGAATTTGTTGCAGCCCTGCCCGGACTCGCACGAGTTCCTGGAGGACCAATGCGCCGCCTACAACTCCATCCCCTACGAGGGCGCCCTCTACGAGTGGTCGCCGCACTACGTCGACGACAACCCCTGCGCCCTCACCTGCAAAGGGAAGCCGGCCGACGGCGGAGGATTCGACGAGGACGATCCCGTGATGGTGGTCGAAACGTTGGCGTCGAAGGTGCACGACGGGACCAGGTGCAGGCCCGGCAGCCTGGACATGTGCATCGACGGGACCTGCCAAGTGAATATTTTTATTCTTAGCTTTTTCGAGTGTATTTTCTAAAAGGGAAGCTGAAAAGGAAAGCGCGAAAATGCATCCGGTTCCGAGGCGTTCGGGGCGCCACTCATTTATTCATCGCCTCCGTCTCGAAAAGTGTCAATCCGTCGCGGGCGGAGAGGAAAAAATCGAAATGGGTTTGCGAGTTCGTCCTCATTATTGCCATATAGTATACTCGCCCGTTGAATATTTCATGCCGTGAAAGGGTCTCGTCAAGCATCCGCTTCACTTATTTATTATTGGAAGGGATTGTCATTTCGAAGAGGCTCTCGGCTGATGCCTTGAAGGGGCTTTGTTCGGGGTTTACGCCTCGAGTTATATATATACCTACGGGGTTTTCGATTTCACTGCTTTACGTTTTACGTGCTCGCGTTTGTTTTTATTCGCTGATTTTTTTTTCTTCCTTCTTTTATGGCGCAGCAGTGATTAGAATGGAAATGCGAAAAATAATCTCAACCCGTTCGGCGAAAGGAAATCCGACACATGTCATCTTGCACGTTCAACTCCTGCTTCTCGAGCCTCGCCTGAAACCTAATTAGAGTTTGCAATGTTAAATTGAATCCGCAAAAGTTACAACTTTATAGGCGAACTTGTTGTCAAAGTAATTACGGCGCGGCTTTCGCTCGTTTTAATAAGGGCTCGTTAGAGAGTCGTGTCTCTAAATATTTGCAAATGACTCTCCTGCTGCACCGAGTTTGCCCCATTTTTCGATACACCTTGTATTCCATCAGCGCTAATCCTTCATATTACAAGCTAGTTTAACTAATTGCGCCGGAAGCGGGTTCAGAAGGAATCAGAAGTATGATCAAAAATTAATATCTCCCATGTAATTATGATACAGAGTGTTTTTTGTTACGTTAATTAGCAGATTCTTTGTTTTGTTAGCTCTTCTATTTAACGGGTTTTATGCAGTAATGTTGGCTAAATAAATATTTGCAAATGTCTCTCCTGCTACACGGTAATTACCAGATTTTTCTATACACCATGTATTCCATCAACGCTAATACTTCATATTTTACGATAATTCAAGTAATGGCATCAGAAGTGGGATCAGGATGGGGATCAGGAGTGGGTTCAGGAGTGGGATCAGGAGTGGGATCAGAAGTGGGATAAAAATTTAATTATTTTTCGTAATTTTCAGAGAGTTGGTTGCGACCTGCAAATAGGCTCGACCAGGCAAGTGGACGAATGCGGCGTGTGCGGCGGAGACGGTTCCTCCTGCACGAGGCCTTTGTATCACTGGACCTTCACGTACACTTCCTTGTGTTCTGCGACTTGTGGCGGAGGTAATCGTTGAATTTAATTTTACCCGAATATTCAACAGAGCTGCCAACTAAGTTGTGTAGCGGTAGTTATCCGCTACATACTATAACCTCAACGTTATAATTTTGAAGTCATGTTTCAATTCATTTTGCTAATTGTCAGATTTAGAATTCTTCACTCTTTAATAATTTCGCAGATAATTGTTGATAATCTAAGACATCTGATCGTCGACTCAGTAACGTGAAACAATAGATTTGTTGAGAATTTTTAATATATATAGGGACGTCGATGATAATGTCAATCAGATATACTTCAATCATTTTTATATATAGACAATCAAGTTGAATCCTATAACTGATATGTACATGTTATAGTCCGTTCATAAATAAAATATTATATCGTAATCAGTACAAATTACTACCTACAAATTGGTGACCCCGATCCAGACATGCAAATTTAAGAAAATTTATATTCAGCTACGAGAATTAGAAATGTAGAATTTAGAAAAGGAAACGAAGTTAGAATCAAAATATATAGAAATCATTCAATAAAAGACCGCTGACATCAGAAGAATTTTAGAAAGAACATCAGAAAAATTGACACAGAAATAAATTGAGTCGTAAACGGTAAGTTGTTTTGAATTAGATACAATTATCTGCCTAAATTTTAAATTTAAAGATTTTATTTATTACATTCGAAATTTTCACATCACATCAGATAGAGCAGGTTACAGCCCAAATGCAAAATTCAAATAATTTAGAAATTGAAGATATTTCTCGAATCAAATTACCCGTTTTTTGGTCCAATCTACCTGAACTTTGGTTCAAACAAATAGAAAGTCAATTCTTTATTAACAGAATTAGTTCAGATAAAAGTAAATTCCATTTAGTAGTAGCTCATTTACCGGTAGAAGTTTTCAGTAATGTCGTCGATATCATTAACGACCCCCCTGAAGGAAATTCGTACGAGACAATTAAAAATAAAATTGTTAGTCGACTTTCCTTGTCAGAAGAAAAGAGATTAGATAAATTATTATCAAAATCCGAATTAGGAGATAGAAAACCATCAGATTTTTACCGCGAGTTAGTTCAACTTTCAAATAATTCTCCGATCAACGAAGAGTTACTCATTAAAATTTGGAAGAGAGGACTCCCAAGTTTTATTGAAGTTTCCCTTACGATATCGGGAAAAACTACTTGTAACGAATTAATAGACATTGCCGATAAAATATGGGAATCTTCACATTTCGTAAATAATAAGAACGAATGCGAGACCGTTAACAAAGTCGACTCAAACTTGACAAAAGTACTTAAAGATTTTTCTGAGAATTTCCAATCTTCATTAAATGAGATTATGACGAGACAAGCATCTTTTCAAAACCAAATAGACGCATTGAAAAAACAAAATGCGAATTCCTCTAATTTTTTTAATAACCAAAATTATTATAGGCCAAAGCCCAGTAGCACCAATCATAATTTTAACAATTCTAAGCCCAATAGTAGTTCATACAAAACAAGCGAAACGGATAATTTATTATGTTATTATCACAGAAGATTCAAAAATCAGGCGACAAAGTGTTCAGGCCCTCCTTGTTTGTTACACGATTATTTTCAAAATCAGTCAAAAAACTAAATAGGTCAACATTAGATGGTTTGGGACCTTCTTCAAAAAGACTTTTTTTCTTCGATAAAATCAATAAATTGGATTTTTTAATAGACAGTGGTGCCGACATAAGCGTCGTACCAAATAAATTATTTAAAGGGATTAAAGATACTGACTTCATACTAACGTCAGCTTCTGGTAATACAATTTCTACGTTTGGAAAGAAATTACTCAAAATAGATATTGGATTAAGAAGAAGTTTTCCCTTTCTTTTTACTATTGCCAACGTAACTAAACCAATTTTAGGTGCAGATTTTCTGACACATTTTGGACTAATCTTAGATTTCAAAAATCGTAAGATAATAGATAACGAAACCTTACAAAATACAGTTGGCAAAGTTATAAAATTAAATTTAGAAGAAATGTCCCCTAAGCTATTTAATGTTGAAAATAAATATACGGAACTAATTAAACGATATCCTGGAATTTTTTCATCTCCAAATTTCCACCTACCTGTTAAACACAATGTCAAGCATCATATCGTAACAGAAGGGAATTTACCTTTTTGTAAACCTAGGCGTTTGGACCCAGGAAGGTATAAAATCGCGAAACAAGAATTTGACCAAATGATTGAATTAGGGATTTGTAGACCGTCTTCATCATACGTAACTTCAGCTTTACACATGGTACCTAAGAAAGAATCTGGAGAATGGCGCCCGTGTGGAGATTACCGTTTTTTAAATAAAGTAACAATTCCGGACAGATTTCCTTTAACATTGATTTCTGATGTCAATTTCAAATGCCAAAATTGTACAATATTTTCAAAAATAGATCTAGTCAGAGCTTATCACCAAATTCCAATAACAGAAGAGGATATTTTCAAAACAGCAATTACTACACCATTCGGTTCGTTTGAATTCCTAAGAATGCCATTCGGGCTTAGAAATGCTGGTAGTACTTTTCAGAGATTTATTACAGAAGTGACTAAGGGACTAGATTTTATTTTTGTTTATTTAGATGATATTTTAGTGGCTAGTAACAATAAAAAAGAACACTTTGAACATTTAGAAAAATTATTTGATAGATTGCATTCTTTTGGCATTAATGTAAAACCAAGTAAATGTATTTTTGGAGTAGAAAAAATAGATTTTTTAGGCTTTACTATTTCTGCTGATGGAATAAAGCCCTCTGAAGAGAAAGTTAAATGCATAGAAAATTTTCCTAAACCAAATACACTTAAACAATTACAACGATTCATAGGAATGGTAAATTTCTACCACAAGTTTGTCCCCAAATTCGCTAAAATATTATCTCCCTTACATGAATTCGTAACACACTTAAATCATAACAAAATTAAAAACATTGAAGATTGGCCAAGTGATTACGTAAAGAGTTTCGAGGACGCTAAAAAAGCCCTAATTAATTCTACTCTATTAACACATCCAGTAGATGGAGCTCAATTGTCTATAACTACGGATGCAAGTAATTCTTGCGTTGGTTCCGTATTAGAACAATTGGTAGATGGTATGAGACAACCCATTGCTTTCTTTTCCAAGAAATTGTCCAAATCACAGCTTAATTATAGCGTATTCGATAAAGAGCTTTATGCAATTTACCTTTCAGTTAAACATTTTAGACATATGGTCGAAGCTAAAGATTTTAAGGTCTTTACCGACCATCGCCCTATCGAAAAAGCAATATTATCAAAATCAGAAAAATCACCTAGACAATTCAGATACATCGAATATATTTTACAATTTACAAGTAAAATAATATATGTAGGTAGTAAAAACGTCGTTGTAGCCGATTTCCTTAGTAGAATGGAGTTAGAAACAATTTCTAGTTTGGACGAAGCTATCGACCTTGATTTAGAATTATTAAAAAACGAACAAGACATTGATCCAGATTTAGAACACTTATTAGAAAAGCAAAATTTAAACAAAAACAAAAAATATATCCTAAAACCAATCAAAATTCAAATCCCACCAACCATAATTTGGTGTGAAATGACTGACGAGAAACCAAAACCTTACATTCCGAAAATGCTACGTTATAGTATCTTCTCCAAGTTACATAATATTTCACACCCGGGTAGTAAGGCATCTTCTAAAATGATTAAAAGTAGATATTATTGGCCGAGAATGGATAAAGAGATAACAACTTGGGTTAAAGCGTGTGTAAGTTGCCAAAAATCAAAAATTTCAAGACATACAAAGTCGGTCCCTAGCGATTTCAAAATCCCGGAAGGTAGATTTCAACATATTCATATTGACCTAGTGGGACCACTCAGACCATCTGGTAATTGTTCGTACATACTAACTGTCATAGATAGATTTACAAGGTGGGTCGAAGCTTATCCTTTAGCTACGATTTCCTCTGAAATTATTATAAAAACTTTAATCAGCCAATATATCGCCCGTTTTGGTGTACCTCATAGTGTGACACACGATCAGGGTAGTCAATTCGAGTCTGATGCATTTAAACAGTTTAGCAAAAGATTGGGTTTTAAAAAGATCCATACTACCACTTATCACCCCCAATCAAACGGGATGGTAGAGAGATTTCATAGAACCTTAAAAGCATCACTTATGGCCAAACTTCAAAGTAATAATAATTGGAAAGAGGAATTACCGTTGATTTTATTAGGTCTTAGGACGACTGTTAAAGAGGACATTGAATGTTCATCAGCAGAATTAGTATACGGCCAAACGCTCAGATTACCAGGGGAATTTTTTATTAATAATAATGAGGATATTGATACGCATTCGGTTCTGATAAAATTACAGGAATGTTTTAACAAAGTTAAACCAAGTAAAATTAACAGACATGGAACAACCAAGACTTTCGTTTCTCCTGAGTTAGAGAAAGCTAGTTACGTTTTTGTCAAAGTTCAGGGGATTAAACCCTCCCTAACACCGCCCTACGAGGGTCCATATAAGGTCGTTAGCAGGAACGATAAGATTTTTAAAATATTAATACGTGGCAAAGAGTCATTTGTCAATATTGATAGGCTTAAGCCAGCTTTTACATTATTAGAGCCAGATAATTTTCCAAAACCAAATAATAATGTTCGTACTTTCGTTTTAAATACAATTAATAGTTGATGTTTTTGCATGTGCGTTTATCTTTTGTAGAGAGGGAAGTTATGTAGCGGTAGTTATCCGCTACATACTATAACCTCAACGTTATAATTTTGAAGTCATGTTTCAATTCATTTTGCTAATTGTCAGATTTAGAATTCTTCACTCTTTAATAATTTCGCAGATAATTGTTGATAATCTAAGACATCTGATCGTCGACTCAGTAACGTGAAACAATAGATTTGTTGAGAATTTTTAATATATATAGGGACGTCGATGATAATGTCAATCAGATATACTTCAATCATTTTTATATATAGACAATCAAGTTGAATCCTATAACTGATATGTACATGTTATAGTCCGTTCATAAATAAAATATTATATCGTAATCAGTACAAATTACTACCTACAGTTGTTAATTGGTGTACGAAATTATCCATCAATACTCGATTGCAGTAACTTCAGAACTTAATTACCAGTACATCGCGTTGAAATTAATAAGCAATTTGATGTCCGCTGTATCTGTATCGTACGTATAACAGCGTCAGGTGTACAGAACAATTTCGCGCGAACAATAAGCTTCCCGGATACCAAACATTCAATCGAGTAATGGTAACGGAATAATCGATAGTGTATCGATTACAATTTTAGTTACAAGAGCCTAATTATTATAGTACTGGTAAAAAGAGAATGAATCGAGAAAGGGTCGCAAAAAAGCGCAACGCTAACGAATCATTTCTTTTGTTCACGAGAACAAGAAAGTAGAAGAACACGGTTAATTATTTGAAAATAATGCTACGTGTAGCGGAAGGGAACAAAAGGGCTGATGATATAATGATGTTTTCTTGAAAAACAAACGTCTACGTGTAACTTGAACCCATAACGACACTCGACTCTCTAAAATGTCGCTTTATATTCGCAAAAATGATCTAAAAAAATAATTTATAAATTATACAGTTCGATAGGAATAGCCGTAGACAATTTAGCGCAGATGTATTTGCTATTATCGCCTAAAATTGCAACCTTTTTGTTCCACCGATACGCGTTAATACTATTGTCGACGGCGTATGTTCTCGAATGGAAAATCGCGAGCTCGGAATAACAAGGCGAGCGCTCACAACGTGGTATATATGTTTCCAGGATACAAGATGTCGCGTCCTTTGTGCCAGAACCGAGTGACAGGAGATGAAGTCGAAGAAAAGCTGTGCAACGATTCTCAGAAGCCGGATGCGACTGTCGTCGAATGTAACACGCACAACTGTCCGCCCAAGTAAGACATTTCCACTCATTCCATTTTATTTTTTAATCGAACTATGAGAAGTATAAAGCGCGCGTAAATAACGCGATAGGTCGGCAATAATTAGCAGGTTAATGAGCGCACTAATTACGCGTAGTCGGTTAAAAGTTTTTGATAAAGGTGCTGGAGCGCGGGCGGCCATTAAGCGACGGCGGCGGCGGCGGCTTCAATAACAAACAAACTTTTAAGTGCATATAATTTAGAATACTAATGTAACATTTTATACTAAATGAAGCTAACATCCCTCCCGGGATGCGCCGCCATAAATTCGCCGGCCCGAACTTTCCACTCATAAACACCTCTCTGCGAGATAGTAATTTCCCGGAAACGGGCTAACCGAACGAAACAAACAAATCCCGATACCGCGGAGCCGGAATGAAACGGGAAATACGGAAAGGGAAAAGTTATGTACCGGTTCGCTTGAATCCGTCCGAGATTAGAGGTATACTACATAAAAGCTAAACTAGATGTTCACAGAAGTTTCTAAAGAATGAAAACAATTTTTTTAGAAAGGAAAACGATACAAGATATTTTTACAACGTAATATCGCTTAATTTTCCGACAAGTGGCTTGTCAATTGGTCGACAAAGGGATTGCTCGACAAAGCGATTGGTCGACAAAGCACTTGAACAATAAAGCAATAGTCTGATAATTTGATAGTTAAACAAAGCTATTGGGTCGATAAAGCAAGTAGTTCGATAAAGTTATTGGTCGACAAAGCAATTGGTCGATTAAGAAATTGATTGATAAAGAGATTGGTCAACAAAGCAATAGTTTAACAAAACAAATGGTCGACAAAGCTACTGGTTAACAAATCAGTTAGTTGACAAAGCATTTGGTAAATAAAACTTTGCTTATATGTATTCTCCAGGTATTAATCCATCTTCCACAAATATTGGTGACCTCTGGCAGAAATAATGACCTCATATCTGCAGGGAAACTTCAGAAGATCCCATGATCTGGGTGGTTATCCCATTATCCAATTATTAATCAATTATTAATGAACCAAACGATTGTCGAGTAATTATCCTCTGACTTATAAGTCCGATTATTTTTATTGCAATTCCAGGTGGCACGCGAGCGAATGGGGCGCCTGTTCGGTGAGCTGCGGCGGCGGCGTGAAACTCCGGCAAGTCCATTGCGTCGAAGAGACGAACAACACGAAAATAATGGTGAGCAAAGGAAACTACTGCTATAAGGAATATCGGAAGTTATTTATTACATTCGCAGGTCGAAGACGGCAAGTGCGGCGGCCGTAAACCCTGGCCGCAGGAGGGGTGCAATCAAATGGATTGCCCGACTTGGATAACGACCAAATGGTCAGGCGTAAGTATATCGCTCTAATTTCCCGTAAAACTTTGGTGCGATTCGATTTTACGCGCAGTGCTCGGTGTCCTGCGGCGATGGTATCCAAGTCAGGGACGTCGAGTGCAGGGACAACGACGACAGATTGAGCAACTTGTGCTCGCTGGAGACCAAACCTCTGACGGCCAAGCATTGCTCGACCGGTATACAATGTCCGTTTACCGTGGAAACGAGCGAGGAACTGTTGCCCGGTTTGTACCACACACAACCGCTCAATCAACCGTATCCGCCGCCTCCGGTGCCGGAAAGACTTATCGGCGAGCAAATCGTTCCGTCGGAAAGCACGTAAGTTTTCTACTCGTTCGGATCTTCTTTTATATCTTTACAGCGATCTTGCTTAATGGGGTTGAATGATACAAGAGGTGGTATATCATAACCATTCACCATATTCCATTTAAATCGATTAAAAATTAATAATACAGTCCTGAACGCGATTTAAATTAGCCAAACAGCTATTTGCGCAGTTTAGATAACCTCGATATTTGTAGTATAATCGGCTTTAACCAATCCGCGTCCTATTTTGATTGGTTATCTATAGTGAACGTGATGTTTGCAACGGACCAAAGCTCCTGCGGGGTCCGCCATTGTACGATTCATTTATGCTGATTTCCATTCCGGTTGGGCCGTCCCGCTAAATGCACATATCGACAATTGGCATACGGGGTATTATTCACCTCTTTTCGGTGCGTTCGGACCGTGAAATTTGTATGATAAAAAAAAAGAAAATTTCCTCCACAAGTTCAAATGGTATACGAAGGAATGTTGCATGATCACCACGAAATTTCTACTAAAATTTAAATCGTAAATGTGTAGAAACTTGCGCTGAAATTGATAGATGATATTCGAATTCACCTTTCATCCATCATTTGCACGTAAATTTGCAATTCAGCTCGCACAAGAAAACAATTCTGAAATCCACATGTTTGCTCTCATTGTCTTTTCAGTGTTTACAAAGTGTACTTTGCCTGCGGTTGGGTATACGTGAGGTACTCCAAATACAATTTTATCCTTTCCAACAACTCTTTATTTTTTTGTACTGTTTGTTCTCTTTGCAACACGGATGCACTTTCGAATTTTACACGACGTTCTTTACTCTGTGTGCCGTGTTTTCATTGGAATATGCTCTTGAGAAAAGAACGGTTAAAAATCGCCCATGTTTACTTCGGATAATTGGGAAAATGAGGCGCAAAAATCCAACAGCAAATTCCAAACGTAACACAAGCATAAATGGATGATAAGCTTGTTAATAGAGCACCAGCTGTTCGGAGCACAATCTCACTTTATTCAAGATTTAAGGGCTTTCCTAAGCATAGCACAGTCACTGTAGTTACTAAGTTCAATAAGAGCGGGGAAATAATTATGATAAATTTTTTTATAATAACTTAAGTATAAGTAAATTATATTCGATAATGGATAAATGTAATATTTAAAATTGATTTATTATAGGCAATTATTTGTGAAGAAAAAAAGGTTACTTTCAATCAAATATGATTTGATATGATTAAGTACTTTCTCATTTCCAAAACTTTTTTTCTGAACTATTCTACTTATTGTTAGTTTAATCCCGTCCTAGACTATAGGTGATTAATGATTAAAGAGCATTTGCTCCTTTACAGTGCTACAAATGACTTTCTTCTAACGATTTTTCTTCCGGTTCATTACCAGTTGATTCTTTGTTTACTTTATTCTACACTTGTTTAAGTGTAAGTTCTTATTGCGGCTGTTATTTATTTCGAAAAAGCATACGCCTGGAAACGCTATTTTCAACGAAAAATCCATTCAAAAAATTATACTTACTACTCAGCAAACAGCCAGTTTACAATTTGGCTTATTTTATAGTTTCGTTTATAATTAAGCACATATTATCTCTCAGTTCGAGGCATGTTTTATTAAGTCGAAACGATTCGAATTTTAATTAATTTATACGCCTAAGGGAAAGCTGTAACTTGCTGAATTATTTATTTACACTTTAAAATTTGCGTGAAACCGGACATCTGCATTTAGCGAATAGAATTATTTTTGGCATGAGTTTAACCGCAGCAAGACTGGATATCTCTCATTCCAGTCTGGCTCAAAATACTCTAATAAATAATAGAAAATGTACGCCAACGAACGTTTTTCGTTTTCCATAGATTCATCCCGGACGAATGGGGTCCGTGCAGCGTGAGTTGCGGCGAAGGCGTAAGAAAGCGAGAGGTCCATTGCAAGATATTCCTCGAATTTTCCCGCACCATAGCCAAATTGCCGGACAAACAATGCACCGGCCCTAAGCCGATCGAAATAGAAACCTGCTACATGGAGCCCTGCATGTCCGAGCGCATCGGCGTCGACATCAAAGACGACCCTTACAGCCGGTCGGACATCAAAGTGGCCCCCGGCTCGCCGGCCAAATCCTACTCGTGGAAGGAGCAGGGCTTCACCCACTGCAGCGCCACCTGCTTGGGCGGCATCCAGGAGCTCATAGTCAACTGCGTCAGGGACGACACGCAGAAGGTCACCTCACCGTTCATGTGCCCCATTGAATTGAAACCGGAGATCCGGATACAGACCTGCAACGACCACCCGTGCCCGCCGCGCTGGAACTACTCGGAGTTCTCGCCGTGCTCGCAGAGCTGCGGCATCGGCATTCAAACGCGAGAGGTGAATTGCATACACGAGGTCACGCAAGGCGGCGGCAATACGGTGATCGTTCCGAACAACATGTGTCCTCAACCGCCGCCGCCCGACCGGCAGTATTGCAACGTCCTCGACTGTCCGGTGCGGTGGAAGGTCGGCGAGTGGTCGAGGTGCTCGAAGAGCTGCGGCGGCGGCACCAAGAGCAGGAAGGTGGAGTGCAAGCAGGTGATGGCGCAAAACCACACGGTGGATAGGTTGCCTACGATGTGTCCGGTACCCAGACCTGCCGAATCGAAGCCTTGCAACACGAAGAGCTGCCTGGTGGAGAGCGACAAGCCGCAAATCGACGTGTCCAACAGCACGTTCATCCAGCACGATCCGAAGAAGAAGAAAATTTCGTTGAAAATAGGAGGCGCCGCCACCGTCTTCCTGGGCACCACCATCAAAATCAAATGTCCCGTGAAGAGATTCGACAGGACCAAAATCCATTGGACCAAAGACAAGAACCACTTGCCCAAGAACAAGAAGTTCAAAACGTCGAAGAAAGGCGCCTTGAGGGTTTCCAATCTGAGTTTGAGAGACAGCGGAACGTACACCTGCACGGCGGGAAAATCCGTGGCCAGTATACAAATCTCGGTGAGGCCGAAACCGGGGGAGTTCCCGACGTCCGAGGAGATCCAAAAGCAGGGCTACAAGACGGACAAGGTCGATTTGGTTTCGGGCAGACCTAAAAACCGGGACGACGACACGCCCAACTTCAGCGACGATCATTCCCACGAGCAAAGGCCCGACAAGTCGAGGAAAAAAACCGGATCTCGCCTGTTCACCCCCACGCTGCCCTCTCTGAGATTGGACTCCAACTACAACGAGCAGTTGCAGAGCACCATGGACAAAGGCGGAGAAAAAGTGAGTACGATTTCACATCGACCGGGTATTTCGAAAGTTTCTCGAATCTACCGTAACTTTGTTGTTTCCACCACGCTGCCGAAGGACCGATTCTCTTCGTTGCCGTCGAGCACGTCGGAATTTAACAACCCCATAGAACGCGGGGATCTGGCCAGTTCGGCTAACCGGCTCATGCCAAATTTCCAACGACTAATATTCAATTTACAGGTTAGACAAACCCCGTTCATTTTTATTCCAGGCATCCTCTTATTATTTTACAGTACGTAGCGATAAATGTTATTACATCAGTACAATAATATCTATCATTACTGTGCTATTTTTACGTTTTTTATTTTTGGTAATATGTTCACGTACAAATACTAAATAATACCGTTTTATTTCATTCCTACCACATCCGACACAACACCACACTCTTTTAGGTAAACAAACACAATACATACTGCATGTAAACTTAACTTTTTCTATCTAATTAGAGTAACGCGTAGCATTCGAAGCCTCCGATATATTTATTATCTCTGCAAAACTTCAATCCGCAACGTCGGACATTATTAATAAGAAACGTAGCTTCTCTGGCCTTTCCAGGTGTTCAGCAACTCCCGCGGCCACCGCATGATCGACTTCCCCGGCGACCGCGCCCACCCCGACGTCCTGCCCTTCTTCGCCGAGGACTCCACCAGCCCGCCCCGCGACGACGACGACGCCGACGCCACCGACGACCAGGACAACATCGTCGTCCTCGGCAAGGGCACCAAGGAGAACCTCGAATTCGAATGGACCACCGGCCCCTGGACCAAGTGCTCACAGACCTGCGGCGGCGCCGGCATCCAACAGAGGAAGATCCATTGCATCGTCAGGTATGCATTCAATTCTTGATAGTAGAAACTTAATATAGACCTATAGGTGAGAAATCGTTGGAGACCTGGTGGAGACTTTATGGAGTCTTTATAAAGACCAGTTGAAGACATAGTCTAGACCAAGCATTCACCAGTAAGAACCTAAGATAGACATAATGTAGACATGGTATAAACCTAGTATAGCTCAGGCGAGAAACAGGTAGAGACCTCTTGGAGACTTTTTAAAGTATTTGTGGAGACTATAAAGACCCAGTGGAGACTTTATGGAGCGTATAAAGACCTGGGAGGACTTTATAGAAGCTTTATGGAGACTATAAGGACCTGGTGGAGACCTTCGCCTGGTATAGACCTAGCATAGACATAGTATGGGGCTGGTATAGACTTAATCTAGTACGAAAATTTGTCCTATTTTAGGTTGTACAACGCTACGCAGCCGGTGGACGACATCCTCTGCGAGGATGCAGGTTTAGCTGTTCCGGGATCAAGCAGGAAGTGCGGTTTCGACGAGTGTCCTGAATGGACGACGCACGATTGGAGCGCTTGCGAGAAATCCAAGTGTTTCGATATGCACAAAGGTGAGTTGTTGATGGGGCTTGATGGCTGGTATTTTTTTTTATGGAGATTGGTTTGATAGCGTTGCAAAGACGGATCGTTCGGTGCGAAATTGCTGCGAATTTGACGCTGGATCCTGCCAAGTGCGATGCAGATGCCAGGCCGGTGGATAGGCAGGAGTGTTTCAATGATAAATGCATCGGGAAGTGGAAAGTCGGTCGATGGTCGGAGGTAAATCTAGCATAATTCTAGCTTAAGTTGTATTAAAAAAATGTTCTATTGTAGTGCGCAGCGCCCTGCGAATCGAAAGGTTTGAAATACAGGATCATACAGTGCGTTTGGTACGGTACTAAAAAACCAGCAGGAACGGCTTGCCAGGATTTACCTAGACCTCCGATAATGAAGTCGTGCATAGGGACTTCGTGTACAAAAACAGGTATATAAAATTCTCCTCCAAACTATCCACAATGTAACTTACAAATAATCAATTCTAGAACCAATTTGCAAGGACCATTCCATGTTCTGCCCGAACGTGAAAATGATGAACATGTGCAAGATAATGAGGTACCAGCAGCAGTGTTGCCAGACTTGCAGGCAATGAAGGAAAACTGGGGATTTCCGAAGGGATTCCGATCGAAACGCTTTTATATGTTCATGGTAAAATGTTAACGTAACGAAACTGTTACCTAACAAGGTGTAATGATCGTATTCATTTTTGTGTGTACAATAAGAGAAGCCCGCGTAACCGGAGAATATTTTTAGAGAACGATTAAATTGAATTTTTTTCGTGGGTTCGATGGATGTTTGGAGCACTTATTAATTTTTAGTTGATGGAATGTAAATAAAGTTTATTATTTAAGAAATAGTTTAAGTTAAAATTGTTTTATAAATTCGCTGTTTTAAAGACTGATTTTATTACGGACATATTTTTTTGAAATATTTACTTTTATGTACGCCTAATTATACTTAATATTCGACACGAAATACCTCCAAAGAGCATCTCTACATTACATGAAATGTCTATTATAAAAATACTAGAAAATTACTAAAACTAATACTAATTTTTTACAAGTTATTATTTTTTTTGTAAATCGTAAATCAGGGTTCTTCAAACTAGCAAAATTTTAATTGCTAAATAAATGTTTATTATATGATTTTTAAAGCACTTTTGTTAAAGCTTAACTGTTGATTTGTTAGCGAAAGTTTGAAGAGACCTGTTGCATTGAATAACATGGCTTACGTTAGAATATGAACGAATTCGTACCGTAGCTGCTTGGATTTTGTAAAAATTGAACATAAGCATGTAAATTGTATATTACGAATTTATGTATTTAAAAAAAAGACAAATAGTAGTTATTGAACTATAATTGTTATGGCGAATAAAATTTAAATAAGCCTATATATTTAACGAATATATCAAACATTGCCGCAATGTATAAATCGAATATAAAGCTAGGAAAAATATCAACGCGCACGGAGTGATGATATTTTTCGATAAAATACGGCATTTAAAACATTCCAATAAAATAGATTTAACGGCGTGTTAAACATGTTGAAACATAAACTAAAGATAACGTACATATATTGTAGTTAGATTACGAAACTAATGCCATTTTTTTTTGTTCGGATGGTTCGAAGAACTTGTTTAATTTCGAAGGTATTGTAATTCTGTTGAAGTCAATTGTTTTAATAAAGATCTCGAAAACGATTTAGTTATTCTATCTACATCAATAAAAAAATTGCTTTACAATTAAAAACTCACGTAGAAGTTATGCAGTTTCGCTTAACGATTGGGCAAGCTTGTTCTTTTGGATTTTCCCAATGAGAGTTTTCGGAAAGGCGTCCATTATCTCGATCCTCGACGGTATTTTGTAGTAGGACAATTTCCCTTTGCAGTACTCCTTGATCTCTTCCAACGTCAGGGTGGAATCCGGTTTTAATTTACAGCAAGCACAAACTTCTTCTCCCAGTCGATCGTGCTTGGTCCCGACGACCTATAATTTTCCCCTTATGAAATAAAACCAGAAAAGACACTCACTGAGTCAGTGGAGAATTTTTTGGGTTCGTAAAAGGAAAAGTACCAAATCCTGTGTAAACGAATACTTGAGTCAATGAACAACATTATCCTGCTCAGTTTTTCCTAGAATCAAGTTTTGAAGGTGTGTTCTTCAATGAAAATATAATTTTCTTCAATTCTGATTCAGTACATTTCCTGAGATATAGACATTTGTCATGAATTATCACACACGAAACTTTCGGTATATTATTTGTCAATAAAACTACACATTTTAAAATTTTTTCAACGCTGAAGTATGCTGAGAATTAATTGAAATGGTCAACCCATTAGACAATTTTTTTACAACTTTTTTTAGATAAAAATTTTTCTTTTAAAAAACTATTGCTGAAAAACCCAATTCATTTACTAAGTTTTTGTCTCCAAAAGTTTCTTCAAAAACTTAACCATTTACGAGAAAATAAATAGCATTAAATAGCATTTTATTGAACAGCAATCGACCAAAAGAAAAAATTTTTTTCAAAAAAATTTATACCAAGTACCCACTAATTTTTATCACAGACTCACCCCTTTCATTTTCTCGGTGTTATTTAGATACGCCCTGTATAGATAATTTTTTTAACTTTATTGAAACCTCCTTGAAGCATTTATTAAACGAAACTTACGTAAACCTCCTGGATGCTCGGGTGGCTCTCCAGAATCATCTCCACTTCGCCTGGGCTGATTTTCTCACCTCCCCTGTTGATTATGTCTTTGAATCTTCCCGTTACGTGGAATTTTCCATCGCCATCCACCGACACCATATCCCTAAAACATTAAATTTAAATACAATATACTACATATACCACCCTGCAAACTTATACGTTACATACGGTTATATGGATAAGTGTAAATTAATGAAATAAAAATAGTTAATTAATAAGTGCAATTAATTGTATAGTACTTACCCGGTCCTGAACCAGCCATCGTCCTCCAACGTCTCGGCCTGGTAGTGCAAGTACTTCTTAATAACCGAATACCCTCTTAGTAACAGCTCACCGGGTGTTCCTATCGGCACTAAATTGCCGCTTTCGTCTACGATTTTGGCTTCTAGATGGTCCATTAGCCGCCCGGTGGTGGTAAAATCGTTTAAAATGCTAGCATCTGGCCATGTTGCAGCAGCAGCTTCGCTCAAACCGTAACCGATCTGAATACACTCAAATATTTAGTAACTATATAAGTTTACAAAGGAGAGTTAAGTACCTGAACTTGTTTAACGTGTAGGATTTTCAGGACATCGGTGTATAATGACGCAGGAGCTCCAGCTCCTCCTGGCATCGCTATTTTAGGCGAAATCGGCAGGTTTAGCTCCTTCTGGATGGCGATTAAATCGGAAAACATGGTAGGCGTACCGATTAATAAAGCACAACTAAAATTGATATTACTGATTTACGTTTTAAACAGAATGAATCGGTTTACTTTTCCTCGCTGATAGCCTCCAAGTTCATCCTGGGATCGTAATAGAGCGATGGCAGGACGATGGTTATCCCGTTGGCGATGCCAATGCAGCTGAAACCCAAGCCGAAGATGTGGAATAGAGGCAAATGGAAGCAAAGTTTGTCGCCGCGTTTTATCGCTGGAAATCGCTTCCTCAAAAAGTACATACAATTCGTTAATTGGTGATGGGTAAGGCCCACTATTTTTGAATTTCCGGTGCTTCCCTGCGGAAAATATTAACATTAAAATTGCTATTTGTTCACTATAAATTATAATAGAAATCATTTACCGATGTGAATATTATCGCGAATATATCGTGAGGGTCTATTAATTTCTTGTTGTTTTCCAACGTTTCTTTGGAAGCGGATTCGCCCGAGTAGGACATCAGAGCCTCATACTGGATGGTTCCTCTGGAAACGTAATTTCTACAACCCGTTATCAGGATAATTAATTAACTTACTCGTATTGTTTATCGGATATAACGACGAGGCGTTTCAAAGACGGCACACTTTTGGACTCGATTGTCACCGAAGGCGAGCACCCGATCTCCGGTACTACTTTCTTCAGCGAGTCGATAATGCTAAACCCCTTGTATTTGTCCACGCACACGATACAACGCACTTCCAAGGTGTTCAAGTAGCCTTCGATCTCGCGGGGTTGAAGCGCTGGATGGAGGTTTACCTTTAAAATAAACCCTTCATAATGATGATAAATGCGTTTTGGGAAACTCCTACCGTGACGAATCCTCCTCTGATGCAAGCGAAGTTCACGATTAGAGCTTCCACGGAGTTTTTCACGATGATCCCCACGTAATCGCCTCGTTTCAGGCCCAAGCTGTACAGGCCGCTGGCGAATTTGTCGCTTTCCTCCAACAGTTGATTGACTGTCAATTTCTTCTTCTGCTCTCTGGATATTACGATGACTTCGTCGCGGAAGTTCTCGGAAAATTTCTCGATGTATTGGCCTATGGTGAAGGAGGCGAGGGGCTCGTCGGTGCTGCCTTTGATGTAACTCAAGCCTTCTTCCATGGTTCACTAAAATCTTTAGCAAGATTTGATGTAGGTGTAATAAAATTTATTCGTTTTATTTACCTTGCAATCGCTGGAAGACTAAATAAATAAATTGAACTGATTTGGGCCTTCGAAGAATTCTAATTAAAACGATTCACAATAACACTAATATAATGTTTACGATGGGTAAAAAAAAGTTCTTTCTCTCGCTGATAAGTATAATGGAATGTACTGGTTTGTTTTATCTTTTAACCTTTAGCTTTTTGTGCGTAATCGGGCGCGTTAATTGTCCAACATTTTGGAATTATCCTTGAAGCTTTTGTTGTTTGGTTTGTTTTGATAAGTAAAATTAAAACTTGAGTTATCGAGAATTTATGTATTTATTGTATCTAATAGTTGAGAAAATAAAAATATTAATGACTTCCTATGAATATTATCTAATTAGGCGTTTTCAAAATATTTAATGGAAATTGATAATTATAATTAGTCTGTATTCCTAAAGAAATTTAAAAATTTGCTTAACGTTTTCACTTTTCATTCATTTAAATATTTTTGATTGAATATTTCTAATAATTTTCCCCTTTGCACTTTTCCTAAGGGAGTTTTTGGAAAGCTCTCAACGATTTGCATCCTCGACGGTATTTTATAATACGCTAATTTTCCTTTGCAAAAAGTTTTAATATCTTCCAAAGTAATAAGAGAATCAAGTTTCGTGCGAATACAAGCGCACACCTCTTCACCAAGTCTCTCGTGATAAGTACCAATAACCTACAAAGAATTTTCTCGTAGTTTCACCAAAATTATAACACAATTTTTGTATTCAAAATTTTCTTCAATGTATTCAATCCAACTTACTGCCACTTCTTCGATGTCTGGATGAGTTTCCAAAATTTTCTCAACCTCCGAAGGTCCGATTTTCTCACCGCCCCTATTGATCAGCTCTTTAAGTCTTCCAGCAATGCGAAATTGTTTATTTTCGTCCATACAAAAGGCGTCCCTAAATCAATCAAAATTAATTCAAATAATTATCAAAATTATCAAATTATTTTAATACCCAGATTTGTACCATCCTTCCTCATCGACTTCTTTTATCGACGACTCGGTGTATAGATAATTGCTAATTACAGAGTATCCTTTTATTGACAAATTCCCTACCGTGCCCAAAGGAACGATCTTGTCGTTACCATCGCTTATTTTCAATTCCACGTGGTCCAAAACATCCCCGAGCAAATCGCAATTTCCTTCATCACCTCTACGAATCCAACCCAACATTACTACAAGCGCTTCAGAACTTCCATAACCTGCCTAGGTACATAAAACTCATTCAATTTTAATACAATTTTTCTATGTTATTCTCACCACAAAATTTCTAACATTCAGAACCTCGAGCACACCATTGGTGGTTTGATCGGAGCATGGAGCAGATCCGGTCAGAGCCAGGTCGATGCAAAGGGGGAGATTTTTAATTTTCTGGACGCGGATCAAATCGGAGAACATGACAGGGGGACCCGGTACAAACGAACACCTGCATTAGTAAAAATCAATCAACACAGTACCAATCGATTTAATAATCTTACTTCTCTTCGCTGATGGCCAGCAAATTTGCCTCAGGGTTGTAGTAGTAAGATGGCAGGACGATAGTGCCGGAGCATCGTACTACTAGCATGGTGATTAGTATGCCGAAGAGGTGGAATAAAGGTAGATAGAAGCATAATGTGTGCTGTTTTCCTTGATTGCCGAGGCGGTGGTGGGTAATGTTGCAATTGTTGTACAATTGATAGTGAGTCAGACCAACAATTTTTGGATTTCCTGTGGTACCCTTAATAATATTGTATTTATTAGAAGAATATTTATCAAAGAATTGTTTAATATTTAATACTCACTGAGGTAAAAAGTATAGTCACCAAATCTTGGTGGTGGATTTTATTTCGAATGGTTTTTAGTACTTCTTTGGATATTGCGTTTCCAGTAGATTTTACGGTTTTGTATTTGAGTGTTCCTCTAAAATAGAATTATGAGAGATTTCTTTAAGATCCAAAATAATAATGGAAAATTTTGAATTTAACTCATTTAACAATAACAATGATTAATTTTAATTAGCAGTGTCTGTTAGCAATACCGCAATAAATCTTAATTCTCCCACCGTTTTTATGGCTAATTTAAGAATATGATCGTTACTTACTTATACGAGACATCCGATATTATAATGATATACTTTAAAAACGGTAAATTATTAGATATTATTCTACCATCTTTCGATTCATCTATTTCCGGTACTATCTTCTTAAGTAAATCGTAAATACTATAATTCCTGTAAATATCTAAAGCGATTATACAAGCCATGTCGGTTATTTGAATGCAATAATTCAGCTCCCTTTGTTGTAACGCTTGGCACAAATTTACCTAAAAAAATATACAAAACTATCTGCCGATAACAATATGTAACAAGTTTTTTTTTAAATAGGTGATTACTGTCAATTTGGGCCAGCTGAACATAATTTTGAAATTTATTTCTTATTCGTTCTGAAACAATCTAAATGATTCGGGATAGTTCTAATTTGTTCAGAAAATTTCATTATCATTCTAGACAGTTCTAAATTGTTTTCGACAATTCTGATTAGTCCTTAAGTAATCTAAATCATTCTAGATAGTTATACATCATTCTGGACAGTTCAAAATCGTACTAGACAGTTTCAAATTGTTTTCAACAATGCTGATTTGTCCTGAAGCAATCGAAATGATTCTGGATAATTAGTTCAGTAGCCTTCCAAATCACTCTAAACAGTTCTAAATTATTTTAAAAATTGTGTCAGACTGTGTAATTTGAGTATGTTATAATGTTAAAAAAATTATAAAATCTTACCGAAACGAAACCTCCTCTGATACAAGCAAAGTTAACAACGAAAGAATCTATGGAATTGTTGGTTACAATACCGATTCTGTCGCCCATTTTCAAACCCAATTCGACCAAACCTAGAGCCAAATCGTCCGCGTCATCAATCAATTCTTGGTAACTAATTTCCTTATTTTCGTGTTTCGATTTGATGAAAATTTTATGCTTTTGCTCTTCGGCGACATCGCCTACGAGATTTTCCAACGTGCTGAAACTCAGCGGTATATCGGTAGAGGATTTTAAGTAACTCATTGTAACAAACACTGCAGTTCACGAGATGTTGAATATTTAAGTGCGTCCGGATTCATCTCGTTAATTGTTTTAATTTTTATTTTAATCTGTAATACATTAACCTGCTTCTTTATCTACTCCGTTGCTCAATTGAGATAAATTCAAAATATTTATAATACAATTAATGCGACCGTTAGACTTGAATGACAACAAAAATAAAGGATGTTTATTTAACAGTTCTTTGCTTAATTACATCTACTAGTTTGTGTTTCTGGATTTTTCCGGATGTAGTCGTCGGGAAACTTTCCATCATTTCCACGACGGTAGGTATTGTAAAGTTGGATAACTTTCCTTTGCAGTAATTTCTTATTTCTTCCACAGATAATCGTAAGCCATTTCGTGTTTTTATGCAAGCGCATACTTCTTCGCCAAGTCTCTCATGAGGAACTCCAATTACCTACGAAATAAAGTCGACATTAACCAATAATTCAACGAAGATTTCTAATTATTGCTTACATAAACAGCTAAAATATCAGGATGAGTAGCCAAATACTCTTCGATTTCTTTAGGATAAATATTCTCTCCTCCCCTAATTATCATGTCTTTTATTCTCCCTACGATTTTACCGTACCCATCTGGAGTTAATACGAATTGGTCTCTGTGAAGATAAGTATGTAAAAATCGATTCAAACCGTATGCAAATCAATTGGATTTTACCCAGTGTGTACCCAACCGTTCGAATCGATTATCTCCCTAGTTTTTTCCTCGTCTTTGTAGTACCCCAACATCGTGGAGAAGCCTCTGGAATAAAGTTCACCGGGTTCCCCGAACGGTACAACTTCACCTTTTTCGTTCACAACTTTCGCTTCCATGTGCTCCATTAATTTCCCTACGGTGTTTAGGGATTGTTGCGTGGTGTCCTTTTCAGTGGAAATGAACAATCCTGCTGTCATTTCCGTCATGCCGTACACAGACTTCATCGCAATACAATTAGAAGAATAGTAAAAGTAGAGTGAAACTTAAATATTCACCTTAACTTTTTTTGCTTTCAACACGCTTTGCATGTCGCTGAAGAGCTTCGGGGAGCACAAAGCTCCGCCGGACACCGCGATGTCCAGATTTACGTCCTCGTTTCGCTTCAATTGCTCGTTGATTAGGTCCATGTGCATCGTAGGCGTGCCGAATATCACCGAGCACCTGCAAAATAACTGCTATAATTTATAAATTTCTTTCACTTAGCACCTGCGAGTACTTTTCCTCGGCAATGGCGGTCAGGTTTTCCTCGGGATCGTAAACGTCCGAGGGCAAGACGATGGTGTTGCCGTGATTGATGGCGCTGCTGATGGCCACTACGGTGCCGTAGACGTGGAAAAATGGGTTAGGCAGGCAGATTTTGTGGTAGTCTTTCTGCAATTCCATGCCGATGCCTATGAAATAGCCGTTGTTGACTACGGCGAAGTGGGATTGAACGGGAGCTTTGGGATCGCCCGTTGTTCCCTGCAATATGAGCATTTCACTATTATTAATATTTAACCTTTGAATTGACTGACTCATTGGTGTGTTTTTTACGGGTTTATTTGAAAAGAAAAAAAAATTAGGGTATTTTTACATTCAATGCGTACTGTTATATTTTTATGTACTTACGGAAGTGAATTGAATATTGCAGGGATCGTCCATATCAATAGAATCTTGGCTTTGTTTGATTGATTTAATGCTATTTTCGTCCGCTAAATTCAATATATCGCTATATTTAAACGTTCCTCTATAAAAACGATAAAATAAATAATTTTATAAGAAAAATTATATACTATTTTACATAGTATTATTCATTCAACATTTTACTATTTATACAATGTGCCGAATAATCCTACTTTTTATTGTCTTCTGTAATCATAACAACGTTCTTCAAACAAGGTATTTTGGAACTGGATATATCTTCCGGATTACATTTCTCCAACTCCGGACAAATATCGCGCAATAAATCGTAGTAGTTTTGCTTTTTAAACACATCCCCACATATCAGAGTTCTCATATCGGCTTTCTTTATCATCCGCTCGGCCTCGTGCGATCCGTAATAAGGGTTCATCAACACCTAAAAAATTGTAAATTGGCTAAATGTGGGTAAATTGGGCGCGAGGAATGAAAGCTTCTTTTAATATGACTGGGCGCAAAGTGTCCCAGAAAGTAACTACAAATACGAGTAGTTTTTTTTAAGATTGAGAATAATTTTCATTTACAGCCAAATATGTAAGTTTTTCCTTCCCTACTCTATATTCTACGCAATTCTATTCTATTCTACTCCTTTTACTCTCTTCGACTTTCTTAGACTCTCTTCTGTACTCTCTTCTACTCTCTTCTACTCTCTTCTTCTCTTTTCTACCCTCTTCTACTCTCTTCTTCTCTTTTCTACCCTCTTCTACTCTCTTCTACTCTCTTCTATAATCTCCTACACTACTCTGTAAATGTGTACTACTTCATTGCACTGCTTTTTAAAGTAGCTAAGCCAGAAAAAATATTTGGTTCAAAGTTTGCAATGAACTCAGATAATCCCCTTTTGTACCTAAAATATTCTCTCTTCCAATTTAGATAGACTTTTAACTCTCCAGGAAATATGCGCCCAATTTACTGCTTAATTTGCCACCCAATTGGCCGCACTGCAAACCGCAATAAAAAATCACCTTACAGCCAATTTACCACACTAAAATTGTCCACACCCCAATGAACCCATGCTGAGAAAACCTACTCGTTTCCACCCTTAATGACTGCAATAAAATACCAACTTACAGCCACATAACCGCCCCGGGCGCAGGCCACGTACGACACATACCACTCGATCAGGTTGGGCGCCCACAGGCCGACGCGGTCGCCCTTCCGGACGCCCAAGGCGCCCAAACCGGCGGCCAGCCTGTCCGCCTCCTCGAGGGCATCGTGGAAATTGATGCGCTTGTTCTGGTGGCGGGAGATTACCGCCCATCTGTCGCCGTAATGTTGGGCGGCGAATTCGGCCAATTGGCCCAAAGTCCACGGCCTGAACGCGATGTCGCTGGTTCGGTGATAGTAGCTTTGTTTGGTGCTCAAACGTCGGCACCTAGGGCGGAAATTTGCTAGGAATTAGGTGCTTTAAATTTTTGGAACTAAGGGGGTGCCGTATAAAAATAAAAAGACTTACCAAATGTAGTTAATTTTGAAAAATAATGAGTTGATTTTCACCATTTCCCTCACTTTTTATGCAACGTAATACACGGATTAAATAGTAATGTTATTATCAGAGCAATTACATAAAATTGTTCATTATCTTACTTAAGTACTTAGCGACTGTTTTACGTCGTATACGAGAGTTATGCACAAATATAATATGCAATAATGTTTATACTATAAAACAGTTAAATCTAAGCGTAATAATGCATTTGTAATTAGAATGTTATTAAATTTAAATTAATTTCGAAATTTCGTGCGATCGCGTTCTGTAGATTTTCGCGTCGAAAATTTAACCATTGAACGAGAACAAATTGCCACTCCAAACGGAAACTTCCCCGGTAAACGCGCAAATATTTATTTTTGTCATTAATACGTATCGCTTTATTACAAATAACAAATAAAAATAACATTAAGTAATGTACCCCAAACAATGTAATTAAATTTTAAAATATGGCCAATTGCTCTATATTAAAGCTTTTAAAAAGTCATATTTTTATTTTAATTTTCTTAAAGCATTTTACGTGTATTTGGATAAAAATATGTTTAAATTACCTATCTTTTAACAATTAATTCAACAATAACGTTATAACTACATACAGGGTTTCCAAAAAGTAGAGAAACGGTCGATTTTCTGCCAAATTAAGGTCCGAATGAAAAATTGAAAAAAAAAAGTATCCAATAATTTTTAAGGGCTGTCCATAGCTATCCACAGCTATTTGATATTGGTATCCCACCCCTTAAGTAGCGAACTGGGGGGTAACTTTAAAAGTTTAAATGGGAACCCCTATTTTTTATTGAAGATTCAAAATCACGGCATCAAAATAAACAAGAAACATTTTTCGAAATTATCGAAACAAAATGCAAAAAATTTTATTTACTCAAAATTCAATGTATTGAAGCTACTCACTGACCCAACCTTAGGGGATGGTATGGAGGTTCGTTATTGCCGTCGATAGATCGCTCAATTTAAGAGAAAATCGACCATTTCCATACTTTTTGGACACCCTGTGTATCTTTTGTGTACATAGTAAATTCTTCGAGATAAAGATTTTTATTTAATTCATTTTGATAACAAATCTTTACGTAAACATAGTAATTATTAATTGTTTAGAGAAGCGTACAGTTGTATTCAAAAAAAGGGTACAACTAATAGAAAGAGACATTATCCTATTTGCCTGAAACCGGCTAGAATTATTGTAGATTATCAAGTGTAATATATTCAAAAAAATGGAAATCATTGGCGTTGAGAATCAATTAAACGAAATCATGACCAATGATCCTCAAATGATTTACATTTTTGACAACTTTTGACATTTGATAAGCCGGTTAATCCCAGTCAGTTTTACACATAGACCTATTAACTAATTACTTAATTATTAACCTATTACTTAATAGGTCTATGGTTTTACACAAACAAGATGACGTTAATGTCTCTTTCTATTACTTGTACCCTTTTTTGAATACAACTGTACATATTTAAAATTAAATTTCCTCTATCAGAAAATATAGGGAGTTCCTGAAGAAACAGAGAATAGTTCTATTATACTTAACACCCAAAACAACGAGATTATAGAAAGTTTTATAACAAAAAAATTTACAAACGATGAAAGGTGAAAGTTAGGTATACATAAACAATTTCTAGATAGTATTTATTAAAAAAAATCATACAAAATATTAAATACCTTGATAATTACTCGACCTCAAAATCATAATTTACATCAAACATATAATTTTGTCAACGAAAGTTCAAAGTACAATTGATAACTTCTAATATTAAGAACAAGTAAGTGAGGGGATTTTCGATGACATATTTAATAATATTTATTTGCATTTTTTTTTCATAAATTTACACTAACATTAAAAGTTAATAAACAATTCTAAAAATCGACCGGCTCTGCGTATCGCAAAACCTCCTTCAATCTGAACTCCCACTTCTATCAGTTCTGAAGAAACGTTTCGAAATTGTTATTATTTTTCGTTATACGATAGCAGTACCAGTTTCGAAGTCACACGAGAAATAAATCGATCCGACAGTTTTTCTTGTATAATACAAAATGTGGCAGTACAAAGTGGCCACAGGGGCCTGCGTTTTCGTGGCGATTTTCATTGCCGGGCAAACGGCTCAATTGCACGGCCCCCAAACACACGGCTTCAACAACTCCAGAAGGGGCATTTGCAGCTTAGAAGTACCGTAAGTTTTCTTTGAACATTTAGGGACACAAAAAAGTGGAAATGATAAAAAGACAGATTTTATTCACTCAGATTTTATTGAAATTGTTTATAAAGATTTTATATTACCTACTCCTGTATATTAAAAAGTAAATATTCGTTAATCGAGAATCGAGTAAAATTATAAATGATGTCACGAGACCATTAAATTTATTCATGTCAAGTTTCTCCTTGTTGTACTTTTTTCACGGCATTAACAATAAATCTGCTTATGTACAAAAATAAATTACGAAATTTTAACAGTTCATCGATTTGCATTTTTTAAATATAAATTATTAATAATACCTCCATAAAAAAGTGTCGATGATGTAAGATACGTTCAAAACTAACCTCGTAAACAATTCCTATTAAACTGATGCATTATTTATTATATTTTAATCGCATTAAATTTCCAGTACAATCGACCTAATCCCGCCGGAAGAGCGCCAGCACTCCATTCCACGCGGAAACGGCGTAAGTTTATTGCAAAAAAATACATACCTACACCCCGTATAAAATAATACCAGAAAATTAATAAAAATATTTTTCACAGTCGAGAGTAGGATACAGCAAAATCGAAATTTGCTGCAACGGCTACGAACGCGTCCCCCACAGTCACCTCGTATGCCATCCCGTTTGCGATGATTGCCACAATGGTAAGTTCATTTCGATAATAAAAGAACTCTTTTTGCCCTTTTTATTACCCTACAACACTACAGAACCTTACACTACACTACTCTACGCTGCACTACATTGCATTACACTACACCAAAATACACAACACTACATTGGACTAAACTAAAATACATGACACTACAACAGATTGTGTATGCTACATTACACTACACTACTCTGTATAATTCTACACTACTCGATACTACACTAAAATAGATGGCACTACACTACTCCTTTTTTTAATTTTAAATAGACCTTCATTTTTAACTCCTTTTTTTTTAAATACCCACTAAGAAAACTCCGGTATTTAACATCCCCTGTATACAGTGGGTATTATACTTACCCTTTTTCCTTTTCTTCTTCTTCTTGGCGTATCAAATGCTTCAGTATCCATCTCCTTATTCTCTCAAACGCCTCTTTGCTTCCCAACATTATGTCAATAATATGGCTCATCACCAGTTACTTTTGCTGTTTTCAGTGTATTTAAATATATTGGAATAGTACCTAGTTAAAAGTACTTAAATAAACTTGTACCTTTGTAGTTTCCTGCCCGATAGGTATAAGTGCAAATTCATGTGAAATCCCACAATATCACTTGTTTTTCCTTTATATAAGATAAATAGAAGTTGTCTTTATTGCACCCATATTGCGTACAAATTTGCAGTTACCCTTACATGGTCTTCACCTTTTTTGGATTCTCTTGGTATATGCTGTAAACGCCCAGTGACCCCCTAACCTTTTAGGAATAAATTAACACGAAAATTTGCAGGTAACTGCACGGCGCCGGGCCGATGCGAGTGCAAAAGGGGCTACGTGCACGACAGCTACCACAAGGACTGCATCCCGACGTGCCCGCACGGCTGCCTGAACGGCGTGTGCACGGTAATGGGAACGTGCTCGTGCAACGCCGGCAACACTCTCAGTCCGGACGGTCGCTATTGCACGCCCCATTGCACGGGGGGCTGCGGCGTCGGCGGCTCTTGCACCGGTCCGGAAGTGTGCTCCTGCCAACCGGGGTGAGTTACGTAATTTAATATTAAAATAATTACCAAGATCAATACAGCGAATCGATGTAAATATGTTTTTCAGTTTTTTCGATTAAACCCGAAGGCTATCAAGTTTCGTAATAAGTTCATAACAAACTACTTATTATAATATCGCTGCTGCGGTCGGTCGTGCGTTTATAAATAAACATTAGCCAATAATCCGGCGCTCCGATTGAATATTAACGATAAGATTAAAAATTTTACTTTCTTTCGGCAGCTTTTCTTTGGACAAAAAGACCAACAAATGCGGCTACCACTGCGAGGGCGGCTGCGGCGAAGGTACGTGCATCGGCCCCAATCAATGCTCCTGCAAACCGGGCTACAGGCTCCAAGGGCACACTTGCGTCCCGGATTGTCCCAAGGGATGCGCTAACGGGGAATGTGTCGGACCGAACAGGTAAAAATTTAATACTTTGCGGTCTCGAGCTAGTTGTGTTTAGGGGTCCTTAGGGTACAGTAGTTTACTTGGAGTAATTTACTAAACAGTAGATTACTTAGATCTACTTAGACTAGTTTCAAAGTAGAAACAGAGTAGTTAATTCAAAGTAGACTCAAAGTAAATTCAGATTAGATTGAGCAGTAGATTCAGAGTAACTTCCTAGTAGACTCAGAGTAGAATCAGAGTAGTTACTTCAGAATGGATTCAGAGTTAATTCAGAATAGATTCAAATTAGATTTAGAGTAGATTCTCAGAGTAGATACAGAGTTGATTCAAACTTGCTTCAGAGTAAATTTTAAAGTAAATTCATAGTAAAATAAGAGTAACTTTAAAGTAGAATCATAGTAAATTTACAGTTGAATCAAAGTTGATTCGGAGTAGTTAATTCAGAATAAATTCAGAGTTGAATAAGTGTTGATTCAGAGTAAATTTAGATTAAATTTAGAGTAGATTCATAGTAATAGTTAATTCAGAGTTGATTCGGAATAGAATCAGTAAATTTACAGTAGAATCAGAGTAGATTCAGAGTAGTTACTTCAGAATGAACTACTACAGAGCTGATTCAAACTTGCTTCAGATTAGATTTAGAGTACATTTAGAGTAGGGTAGGGCGGGGCTAGTTGAGCAACTTTTCACTTTAGCGGATATAGCTCATCAATGATATGTGTGAATGACTTGTTATGTGGCTTGATGGATTAGTAATTTATCCCTTAACAAAAGTGTCCATAGTAACTTTTTTGTAGCTAGTTGAATTTAAGAGCTACAGCTGTTTAAATGCAGAAAGTCAAGTATGCTCAATGTACCCCATAGGTGAGGTAAGTTGAGCAACGGTATGTTTACATATAGGATATGTTTATTTTTATAATCATCTCTTTATTTATTGTGATTTAGTGACAAAACAACAAAACTTAAAGTAATTTACGAGCTTTCTGTTTAAAATCAGAATTAAATAGCTTAAAAAAATATTAATAATATATTAGCAAGTTTTGGTCGTTGTTACTGTTGCAATTAATACAAATGAAAGTAAGACCATAGCACCTGGAAGACATTTTATTTGTGCCCATTCCCTGCAAGCTTGGCAGTGAATCCAACTTTCTCCTGGTAAATTTCGCAGTAGTTGCTCAACTAACCCCAACCCGCAATTTTAAAATAAAAGTGAGGTCATAAAGAAATCGTAAGAATTATAACCAGAACATCTCTACATATCAAAAGTACAATAATTTTCTGGAATATTAACCCTTACCCCATTGAAAACGGATAATATTTGACTAATACAGACGAAAACTTGCGATAGACGACGTTTTTACTTTTTGGTCACAAAAAAAACAAAACGCACGGGGGCTTTACTCGCTTGTCGAGGCGCCACTTGCAATAGCTCTGTGATTAGGTCTCCCCCGACCCCTTCTTTCCGCCATAAGATGTTTATGCGTACGGTGAATAGTTTGCGAGATATTTCGATTGCACAACTTACCCGTATGCTCAACTAGCCCCGCCCTACCCTATGTATTGATTGTAGTATCAGAGTAAATTCAAAATAAATTCATAGTAAAATCATGATAAATTTAGAGTTGAATCAAAGTTGATTCAGAGTAGTATATTCAGAGTTGATTCGGAGTAGTTAATTCAGAGTTAATTTAGAGTTGATTTGGAGTAAATTCAGAGTACAGTACAATAAAAATAAATAATTTTCAGGTGTTCCTGCAAACCTGGATGGACAATAGACGGCAGCGGGTCAATTTGCACCCCTCATTGCAGGCAAATGTGCCTAAACGGCGATTGCGTGGCGCCCGATCAATGCGCTTGTAAGAAAGGTACGTGCATCGATTACAACCTACCAATTATTACGATAATTTATTCATTGAAAATTTAACACGTATTAACCGTCTATCGTCCAGTTAAAGCGGCGACGGACGGATAAAACGATCTAAATCTATTCGTTCGTTCGCAATCGATTTCGAGCGTCTTCCTTTTGATCATGATCTCCCTCTCCAAATCCTGCCGGACTTTCACCAGCTTCGCCAACGAGTCTTTGGCCTGGTTCAGTTGGGCCGTCACCGCGGCCACGGATTCACCTGCGTTACTCCATTTAATTCCAACGTTTTTTTAAAGAAATTTACTGTTTTTACCTAAAGTTTTGCACTCCTCCATTAAACCGAAATGCACGGCGTCCCTGCAATTCTCCACTCTGGGCCGCTTCAAGCGATTGTCCAGTCGAGTTTGCGCCTTCTTCACCGGTATATCCAGCGATCTCAGCCCGTTCATCAGCTCGTTTATCAACATTTCTATATCGGCGATCCTAAACGTTTACTATATTCACTAAACTTAGACCCGGTTGTAGATGTCATAGGTGAACGTTAGTTCAACAAAAACGGCCAGTCAACTTTGAACCGAGTTCATTTTGGTTTTCGTTGTAAAGTGCAATATTAACACTAGTTTGGCAGAACGTTGGTTAGTTGCACAGAACTCCGTTGTTCATCAGAAATATAATGTCCTTTGCCAAACTTTACAATTTATATTTGAACATTAACAGATGGTTGACAGTGGTTGGTCAATAGTGACTGACATATTTACAACAGAAATTTGCAATTAAACTCAGTTCAACTCAGAACCACAGTTGAACTATGCACATACAACCGGGCCATAAAGATATAATTAAAGTGGTATACATACCTTCTAAGCACGTTCTTCAAATCGTTCTCCATGCGATTCAAAATCTCCCGAGTGCAAGCTATCCGTTTAGTGAGCGCCTCCTCGACTTTATCGGCCTGCGATCGCAAATCCCTAGCGGCGTTCAATATAACGTTATTGACCGTATTCCTGAGCATCTCCGATCGCTGTCTGGTGGCCTCGCCGGCGATCACCGTCTCCCTGGTGAAGTGCTCCCAGTACTCCGGCGTCGATTGCTCCTCCGGGAAACACACGGCGCCCGGCTTGAACATGAGAATGGTCGATCGCGTGTTCAACGCCATATTGATGGAGTCCAGTTTGTGCGCGTCCAATTTATCGCTCCAGTCGTACTCCAAGCGCGCCTTGGCGTTCTTGCTCTCGTTCAACTGGTGCTCGACGTCCTTGAGGGTCCTGGTGAACAGCTCTTTCACCTCCTTGATGAGCGTGAGCTCCCTGATGAGGGCGTCTTCGACGACGTCGCGCACCACGTCCGAGTCGATCCTGCTGGTCCTGCGATCGAGGCACTCGCCTGGAAACGAGGTAGTGATAAATCGGAGTTGGGAGCGGACGGGATGGCGGGAAACCTGCGATGAAACCGAGTAGGTTCAGCACGCTGAAGGTGTCCCTGAGCCGGTGGCGTTGCTCCTCCAGGAAGCACAGCTCCTCGGTGGCCGCTCCGATGGCTCGCTCGGCCTCGCACTTCCACCGGTGTATCTCCAGTTCTCTCTGCTCCAATCTGTAACGGATTCGTTTGAGCGGATCGGTTGGAGATGGTTGTCGGGGAAGCACCTTTTGGTGTTGTCTCCTTGGTTTTTGTCGGCGTCGGCGAAGACTTGCTGCAAGCACTGCTGGCCGTTCCAGTTGATCAAATTGGCGCGGTGCATTTCGCGAGCGGCCGCTTCGAGTTCTTGTTTGTTGTGCTCGCGCCATTCCCCCTCGCTGTATCTTTGTATGGAGTATTTGTCCACTATAGGCCGGATGCCCGTCAGGCCGGACAAGGGGCCCCAGTCCACACGACCAGTGGCCCATGGGCCCACGGGCTCCATGTGTTTTTCGAGCTTGATCGGTAGAGCGTCTTGCGGTTGGGGCATGTAGCAGGGAAGCGCGGTGTCTTCTCTGCGTAGGGGACGTTCTTCTTGGGGTTTTTCGGGTATCGTTTTACCCACTTCTCGGTGCATTTTCTCTGGTGTGATGCAGGGGTCTTTCTTTGTTAAGTGGTCTTTGAGTTGTTTTGCTTTCTCGCCTGTTTTAGGAGGAATTGGTTAGTTTTCGAAGGGGTTTGTTGGAGGAAACTTACGTTTTTCTTTGCAAATTTGGAAGCCGTCGGGGATGAAGCCTCGCTGCTTGGGGTCTGCTCCTGGTAGGCAGCAAACGGGGGGTTCTATGTTCATTGTGCACGGCGGGATGCCGCCCTTGTACCCTTCGGTTTCGTCCATTTTCGGTAATTTGTCCAATTTTACTTCGGGAACGGGGTTTATTGTTAAGTCGGGATTCAAATACGTACCTGTCGTAGCCAATTGCCGTTCGTTCAGCTTATGTTCAGTCTTATATTCCAGCTAAACGAGCGGGGATGTTTGTTTGGTATTTAAGGATGTTAAACTTGCCGGTGTCTGAATCGAATTAGATGAAAATTTACCTGCGGTTTTGGCACTGTGTTTGTACTGAGCCAGTCTCTCTCGGGAGCGTCCCCTTTGGAACCGAAGTGGGCTATGTGGGGACAAGGGCCGCAACTCCTCGGCGGGTATTCTGCCATGGCAGCGGTTTAGTCGATATTTTAAACGAGAATCGCTAAGTTTGATCGATATTCGGGAGAAGGCACGCAACAAAAATATTCAAATTTTTGACAAATCTGAAGTTTCAACGCCACTCAACGTCATTGCTGTAATGGGGCTCAATTCTCGACATTTATTCACGTGGAAATAAAAAAAATTTGACATGTGAATTAAAAATTGGTATTCTCGACAAAATCGCGTGAATGTTTTCACACAAATAGTGTACGAATATTTTCACATGGGTATATCTGTGTGGATTTGAAATTTCCAATGGAATTACTGAAATGACTTTGCACAATTGTGGTTGTATCAAGTGCTGTCGCTATTTGTTATATTGTTTTTTGATAAGCTTAAATATGGAAGAAGCAGCTTTTCTTAATTTAGGAATGCTAGAAGAGGACGAGATATTGGTCCATATTTATAAAAATGAAGCATTTACTTTGAAATAAAAGGAAGAAACAAAAAGTAAGGGAAGAAGGTTTTAAAATCTTGCTTCAAAGTGGAATGCTGTAGATCCTTTCACCACTTTAAGTGATAAAACAATTTATAGCGTTATTCAGGCTATACAAAGAAGTACCAGCAAATCTTTTCGAGAACTTGAAGGCCTCTTAGAGCCACTATTAATTAATTGTTTTTGAGCTTCATATAGCTAGAGATATTAATAGAATAGAGGTATTATAGTATACAAATAGTATAGTACTCGTATAGTAAACAAACATGAAGATGAAACAAAATTAAAATAAGACATGACAAGTTTGCTGTCAATGCTGTCGCATAGTCAGGAATGTCAACATAACAAATCTAAAATAGTGAAATTTGATTGGCTAAATTTCACTATAACCAAGAGTACTGTGTCAGACAAGCACGTGAATAAATGTAGTGGAATTATTTCACATGTGAATCTTTTCACGTGAAGTCGAGAATTGAGGCCCTATATTTATTTAAAATTCGTTGTTTTCAGGATACGCCCCGGCGCCCGGCGCTCGCAACAGCGAAACCTGCGTGGCCCATTGCCCCACCGGTTGCCCCAACGGCAACTGCGCGGCCCCTAACTTCTGCATCTGCAACCCTGGCTTCATCAAGGAGTCCAAAGGCAGCAACAATTGCGTCCGTAGAGTGAGAAGGGCCGTGCGCTTGGACCTGATCCCGGAAGCCGTCCTTCTGGGACATTGATTTTACATTTTTTTTAACCTAACGATTCAATAAACGCAAGCTCGTTGTAACGCGGCTTTTAATCGACTGAAATATAATGAAGGAATGTCGTATGCACATCGTCTTTATTTACCGAAACCTAAGTGCATTAATTTCCTGAACGCAGCCGGACCGTTCCAGTGGCCGTTTAGCATCAGTTTCCAGTATAAAGCCGGTAGTAGGGTTCTCTTTAGATGGTACATGGACCGCATTTCCTTCGCTTGGTTGAAAGGGAACGTTTCCAGCGGTTGAAAATCGTAATCGAACTCGGCTAGTATACATTTATCTCCGGTAACCAAAGGACACGATGCGTAACCGTCGTACACGAGACGCGGGGAATCCCCTTTCATCACTGCGTTCATATTTTCAAACACCACTTTAGTTTGAGCAGCTAAAATAGCAAAAAACATGATTTTAATAAGAGATACAGTCATGTAGATATAGCTAGAGACGCTAGAGTGTCTCTGGCTATTTCTATCGGTCTGTATGTGATGTATAGGTCCATCATACATCACGTACAGACCGACTGAAATAGCTAGAGATAGTAGAGCTCGAGCATCTCTGGATATTTCTATCGGTTTTGTAAGTGCTGTACCTGCAGCTGCAGCGGTTTTTGGGTTGGGTGTGCTGCAGCAATCGCCTATAGCAAACACATTTTTAAAATTGACGTGTTGCATGGTATCTTTATTAACATCGACGAAACCCGCGCTGTTCGTTAATTGCTTATTTTTGCTTAAAGATTCCGGTGTGGCCATTGGTGGAGTAACATGAAGCATATTGAACTAAAAAAATATACAAGAGTAGTGCAGTGTAGGATAGAGTAGTCTAGTCAGTAAAAAATTTCTATATTCTATAACATAACTCTGCTTACTTTAACGGTGGTTTTTTCCTCCGGTTTGTCCAGATTTTCGAAAATCGCCTCGTTCACATCGGAATTTACTCGCACTAAATTCGTTCGAAGATTAACATTAATATCCCGTTCCTTGCATACTATCCAGAGAGCGTCCGCGTAGGTTTTCGCGGAGAATATTACAGGTAAAGATGTGTTGTAGGTAAGCTTGACGTTGTTTCGTCTGTTGTGCTGCGAGTTTGGTTTGTAATTAAATTAATATTGAAATATAACGAGCCGTTTACCGTTCTTAAATAGTGATCGGTGAGGTAACAGATTTTCTGAGGCGCTCCGGGACACTTGATAGGAGTATTTGGAAACGTGAAAATGGCGTTTCCAGATTGTAGTTTCTTCAGTACCTCGAACGTGTAGCTGGCGTATTTAGGGGAATAGATGGAACACACGTCTGTTGGTTTTTCCAAAGCTTCTAATAGCCCTGGAATCTATTCAATTAGTATTTTTTGATGTATCTAGTCTTGTTATTAAAAAGAGAGATTTCATCCGGAAAATAGATTTGAACCACTTGACCTTTAGCAAGGTAAAATCTCTCTAAACGTGAATTGTATTTATGTACAAAAAAAATTGATTAGTCATGTATTGAACCAACCTTGTCATATCTCAATTCTATGCCAGTAGCAACGAGCAAATAATCGTAATTAATCGTGTGGCCATTTTCGGTCAAAACAATGTTTTTTCCCGGGCTATATTCCAGAGCTCTGTCTTTGATCCAGGTGCAATTTTTCGGCAACACGTCCTCCTCTCTTCTCCTCGCATCTTCAATTTTATTCGCGCCGCCACCGACCAGAGTAAACAGCGGCTGATAGTAGTGGAAATCGCTCGGTTCCAGAACGATCAGATCGTTTTTGGGGAGGATTTTCGAAAATTTAGCGGCCGTCGCGCATCCTCCGCTCCCGCCTCCGACGATAAGGAGTTTACACCTAAAAATAAACGCTATTAAAATAAATATCCGCGATTAGTCGAGCGCATTTACTTGAAATTGTCGCATTTCGAAGTCGTCGTGGAGAATTGCCTCGCAATATTCAATAGAAATTTCGACGTAGTATTATTAAACATATTTGCTAGCTACACCAAACACTACACTGAATAAAATGTGTGGTGCACTTATAAACGTAATTACCTAATTCGCCAAACCAAGGTCAGATATTTCTAATAATTAAATTTATCTGATTAACATTACGATGTTTGAATATATCTATCTTTTCGTAATATTTGTCCAATCATGATGGGATATTAAAACATATTTTAAAACGCTTATTCATCATTTAATGACTGAAATATTAATTAACAAAAAAATATAATATCACTGTTTTCATCATCATTTTCCCATTCCCAAATGCATCAGTTTCCTAAACATAGCCGGCCCGTTCCAATAACCGTTCATCATCAATTTCCAGTACAAAGTAGGCATAAAATATTTCTTCATAATGTACATCAAACGAATTTCTCTCGCTTGATTGAAAGGAAACGTCTCCAATGGCTTCAAATCGTAGTCGAATTCAGCTAGAATGCATTTATCTCCTGTAACCAAAGGACACGATGCGTAACCGTCGTACATGAGACGCGGGGAATCCCCTTTCATCACTGCGTTCATATTTTCAAACACCACTTTAGTTTGGGCAGCTAAAATAGTAAAAACACGATTTTAATAAGAGATACAGTCATGTAGATATAGCTAGAGACGCTAGTGTCTCTGGCTATTTCTATCGGTCTGTATGTGATGTACGATGGTCTACTGCTCACCCTGGATTCTCGTTCCTTTACTATCAATTAGAGGGATGTACTAGGAAAGGAACTAGAATTCAGGGTGAGCAATAGATCCATCATACATCACGTACAGACCGACTGAAACAGCTAGAGATACTAGAGCTCTAGCGTATCTAGATACCTGCAGCCGCGGCGGTTTTGGAATTAGGTGAGCTACTGCAATCGCCTATAGCAAACACATTTTTGTAATTGAGGTGTTGCATGGTATCTTTATTAACATCAACGAAACCCGCGCCGTTTGTTAGTTGTTTATTTTTGCTTAAAGATTCCGGCGTGGCCATCGGTGGAGTGACGTGAAGCATGTTGAACTGAAAAAGAAACTTTTTATCGCACATCAAACTATTTGATTTGTGTATTACTTTAACTGTAGTTTTTTCTTCGGGTTTATCCAGGTTCTCAAAGATCGCTTCGTTTTTATCTGCGTTGACTTGAACTAAATTTGTTCTTACGTTGACATTAATGTCACGTTCGTTGCACAATTTCCACAGGGCGTCCGCGTAGGCCTTGACTCCGAATATTACGGGCAAAGAGGTGTTGTAAGTAACCTTAACGTTGCCTCTTCTGTTGTGCTATAAAATATTTCACGTTTGGATTGGTTACAATATACAAAAAAATTTAACCTTTCTCAGGTAGTGATCGGTGAGATAACAAATTTTCTGCGGAGCGCCTGGGCATTTCACTGGGGAATTCGGAAAGGTGAAAATGGCATTTCCCGTTTCTAATTTCTTCAATACTTCGTACGTGTGGCTGACGTACTTCGGAGAATAGATCGAACAGACATCCGTGGGCTTATCTAAGGCTTGCAATAAACCAGGAATCTGTAAATTACATATTCATTTTTACAAAGAAATGGTATAAAACAAATAAATGACTCACCTTGTCGTATCTCAATTCTAAACCTGTAGCAACGAGCATGTAATCGTACTCGATTGTGTGGCCTTTTTCTGTGCGGACTGTATTTTTTTCCGGTTCATATTCCAACGCTTTGTCCCTGAGCCAGGTGCAATTTGTAGGCAACACATCCTTTTCTTTCTTCCTCGAATCCTCTAGTTTATTGGCACCACCTCCAATTAAAGTAAATAGCGGTTGGTAGTAATGATAATCGCTCGGTTCCAAGACAATTAAATCGTTCTTATTTAGGATTTTGGAGAATTTTGCAGCTGTGGCACATCCTCCGCTTCCACCACCGACCACCAGTACTTTGCAGCTATAAAAATTTATGTAAATCTCGGGCAAATGATGATGATTAGTGGAATATGATGATTAGTGCAGGATGAAAGTCGAACGTTTGGCTTACCTAAATTTGTCATTTCTAGAAGCTGTTAGCGAAAGTTGTCTCACGACGGTATTTAAAACTTTCGGTATATTTACGAACATGTCTAGCACCTATTCTTGCCACTTACAAACTGCAAAAAAAATTTCAATTACTCAATGAATTTAGCTAACATCAAGGTCAAAAGTCGCAATCACTGGAAACTTCCCACCTCGTTGAAATTGTTCCTGTCATTCCACGAATTTTAAATATAAAATACATTTATCTGATCTACTTCAAGTTGTAATGTATATCTGCGGTTTCATTAAATTTAAATTTAAATTTGTGTTGATAAGATTAGATTTAACCGACTTGAAGTATTGGGTAATGTACATGGAATAATCCACCTTACCTGTGCAATTATCTTTGGAACCATTATTTGCAATAAATACCATAATAATTGGGAAAATCCCAGATTATTCGGCTAAAAAGTAAAGTAAACAAAACAAAATGAAAAAAAATGTAGTTTGACGTCTGTCATACACGTAATTTTATTTTGGTCTTAAAAATATTGTTACACAGTTACTTTTTCTTCTTTTTTATAAATATTATAAAATATTTTAGTTGTCAATGTTAAATTATATTCTAACCTCAACTTCTATGCTCTAAAAATTATTTCTCAAAAAGTAAAATCTATGTATAAATTAGAGTATATTTAATTATAGCAGATAAATACAGTCAAAAAAGGTAAATTTATTCATTTAAATATCCTACAATAATATTAAATAACATCAATAAATAATTCAACTAAAACAACATACTGGTACGAACATGTTAAATAAAATGATTATTCAAAATTTAGAGAAGCAGGTGGTTTCTATAATCATCTTTGGTAAAACCGTACAGCTGCATGTACAAGGAATCCTGTATTCCTGTATACAAAGGATGAAAATTATAAATCAAACTTTCCTTTTCGATTTTCTCACTTGGAAAAGTGTTGTTATTTTTCCTGCATTCGTCTACAAAAAAATTAGCGAAATACTGCGCCGACTTGATCGCGTCCACCGTATGGGGTATCCCAACGTTTTCCTTGAATTCGTAGATATTTTTCTCCGGATGAAACTGCACCCCATATATCGGATAGTCTTTATGCTCTACAGCGGAAATGAACTCCTTGTCGTCCTCTCCTACATTCGTAGCCAGAATTCTCCACTTTCCGAGTATATTTAAGTCTTTTAATTTCTCCACGGTTATGGAAAAACCGTGTAAATTATGCGTAACGTTTTTCGATTTTAGTATTTGAAGAATTTGCCGGGGAGCGTTGGAAAATAGCCTGCTAGTTTCGTGACCTACGACCTAGATTTCAGAAACATCCCTTACACTACAACTGCCTTAATTACCTTCAGTGAAATTCAACGCCACTGCAATGTATTTTAAAGATCGTTGGATTCTAATATCGTTACCCACATCCGCAAAAAACAACACTTGCATACCCAAGCATATTCCAAATATGGGATAATAAGTGCCTTTTGTATTCGATTTTATAGCTAAATGGTATATTTGCTTCGCAGCCACTCCGTATCCGTTATCTTCAGTGAAATATGTACCACCACCAGGAAAAAGGATTCTATTCATGTAGAAGAAATTATTATCAAACAAAAAGTTCTACGCCCTTAAGAATCATTCTACTGCAATTACAGAAGATTTTAATTGCTTAAAACACTTACCCGTTTGTATAATTAACCACCCTTTCGTAATAATCTCTATCTTGACCTATCCTAAAACATATTCAAATTTTACTAATCCTCATTCTTTAGGTTAATTGTGGATTTTACCAAATGGGTATTACACGTGCTCCGGCGCTTTCGAGAAATTTCACATACGAAGCCACTATGAAACTCTTATCATTTTCCGGCAAATATTTCTCCACTAGGTACTTTTCTTGGGTTAATATCCCAATTATAGGCGTATCTGAGGCACAAGTAAACACGCTCAGTAAACAAAAATAAATTAGTGATGGAAGGAGTGACATTGTAAATGAAATGAATTCTTGGATATTGGAACGATTAATCCAATTAATGATTAAATGATGGTTCAATAAAATCAGAAGGATAGGTCAATGTATATTTTAAGTTTATCATTTCAGTGGAAAATATTCGAAGGTTCCTAAAAAAATTTTTATCTTAGGAAGAGACATTTGCTATAAACTGTTTACTTTTAATTTAATACAAACTTAAAGGAAGTTAGAAAATAGTAGATTATATTATTTTATTATTGTTTAGCTGCTGTTGCAATGCGTAATTTAATAGATTGTACTTACAAAAATTCGAAATGTGTCTTACTAGCAACTTCTGCAGTAGTTTGTGTTTCATTTTGATGAAATACAAACGTTGCTATAAGACAACTCCTTTTATTCGCGACAGCGTCGGTAATTATTCATAATTCGCAATTTTAAATTCATAATGCAGTGTCACCGGCTGGCAATAAACTTTATTGTCTAATTTATGCAGACAAAAGATATGTTTACAGGTGGCTGGTATTCGTAGAACTTTGGAAGAGCCTACAGTAACCTTGATGGAATCCTCGTTAGTAATGACAAAATAATTGCTGATACTATTAGTAATGTAACAGTAGGTGTAAATAATGTGATAAATCTGGTTAGGTATAGGACTATTTGAAAAATAAAGTTTATAATTAATTTTGTGATGTATGCTAAACTAGGCTGTAAAAATGTTTATTAAGTAAACGATTAAAATTTTTAATTATTTCCTTAGTGTTTTGTTATCATTGAAACCACACCTATAGGATAGATAAGGCATAAAAAAGAAAAACATCCAGGATATTTCAGATGCACTTGAATGCAAATTTATGCATTTTCATACAGAAAATCTATGTTGTTTGTGTAGGAATAAAATAAACAATTTTTTAATAAGTTCATAAAAATAACTCTACGTAAAACATTTAAGTTTTACAGTTGGATAATAAAACATTACTGAGTGAAAAAATGTGCAAAATGAAAATTACTCACCCATTTTTATAAAAATTAGCTTTTTGAGTAGAGTCGATTCACTCAGGTGCTTAATCAGGTATTGTAAAAATACAACGAAATCATTCTAATTATATTCCCATACTTTTTGACTGATAAAAGCCTGTTAGTAATATTGATAATTCATTCTACCAATGCATTATTGATTCTAATAAGTGCATTATATTCACAATTTATCTTGACAACGCATTCATTTTGTAACCAGATTTGGCAAATTGCCAAAATGCACTCACATTATTAATTTATTTTCTTACTAAAATTATTATTAATTACCTGCAGCTGCAACATTTGATGCAAAAAACCTTTATGAAAACATGAATAAAATAAACTTGTTTGTCAACAAGTCAATATAATATTTGAACTGAATACTCACAGTAGCCATGGCCAGATATTTTCGTAATTAGATTTATATTTCAATATTACATAAACCATAAACAAAACTGCCATAACTGAAAAAAATCGGTTGCAAATTACAGTTTTTAGTCATTTTCCTATTTTTTTACTCTAATTTTTGACAAAATAAATAAATAAATTACAAATATTTCACTTACACTACAAAATGTCATCCATATGTCATCTATCAACGTCAAAATAAATGTCAAAGTCAACTTAACCTAACATTTTACTACCCAGGCTACAACTTAAGATTTTTATTAATTATAATTAAATAAAATAATGTAATGGCATTAAGAGTTCAAAGCACTGTAGGGCTTCGGCTACTTCAAGTACGTATATACCATTTCAAGAACTTTTCAAACCAGCTCATTTTTGCCTAATTTATAGGAAGTTTGCCATGGTTTTTTGGCCCCAATCGCCGTATCAGCGAATACACAAATCGTGCGGCACAGAAGAACCAAGCATTGGGACCCCAAATGGAAGTTCTTCCGTCGATTGAAAGTGATGCCGGTGAAATTGCCGAATTTTCAAGAGAAGGCCGAAGATATAACCGACGAAGAAATGAGAGAGAAATTGAAGGAGCGAGGCATGCTGCCTACTAGGCCTTGGATGGAGAGACAGTTTTTTCTTCACTCAACAGGAGGGGTTTTCGAACCTTATGTACCGCCCGAAGGAGATGGAAAAGTATCTCCAATATCTAAGCAGGTGAGACACTTAATTCAATCGCTAGCTTATTTATTTTCGAATAATATTGATCTAGGGGGCGATGCAGAGCCTGCGATTCTTGGAGAAGAAGTCGAAGACCATGTTAGCTATTAGGAAAGTGAAACAATACGAGGAGGATTTCGAAACGGTCAAATTTTGCAAAGAAGTCACGGACATTTACACGAAAATGCACCAGTACATGAACGAAACGGACAAAGAAAAACTAATCGACTTCGTAACCGAAAGAGCTTACCCGGAGGTCATTCACAACATCAAAAACAAAACCATCCGCTGGAAATTTATCAAGGAAATAGAGTTGCCGAGAATCGTGCATGCCAGATGTACCGATGTAGTAACGAAAGATAATATATTCGCGCAACTTACAGTACGGTTTCACACACAACAGGTACTATTTTTTTATATTACATCTCGTTCAATTTAATTAACATATCCGCTCAGATTTTAGCTATATACGATAGATTCGGGCGGTTGATGCATGGCAGCGAAATCTTAGCCAAGGACGTGCTGGAGTATGTAGTGTTTGAGAAAAATATATCAAATCAATACGGTACTTGGAGAGTGCACGCCAAGATAATCCCCGATTGGCTGCCGCCCAAAGAACCTTCTAAGATAACTTACAAGAGAAAACCGGAACCGGTCAAACTGATTGAAGATACAACTGCTAAAGTTCCAGCACCATCTGAAGAGAAAAATGTAAACGAAGAGAAGCTTAATGTAGCGTAATAACTAAATTAGATTGAATTAGATTGTTGGAATAAAGGTTTTTTTTAAATGTAAATGGAGAGTTTTCTATTAATAGATGCCAACTAAACTTATTACAACCTGCGTTAAATTATATTATTAGTATTATTACTTATTTCATGTATAATTCGTTAATTCGCTTTAAATAGTAATTAAATATTTCATTTATTTTAATCTGATTCAAAACATAAGATACGAAATTATCTGGGTATAACCGTATATAAAGAAAAAAGTTATTTAATTCGTTACCTAAATGGTGCCGTTTTATTACAATCGTTCGTCCATTTTCAGTGGTGTGAAAGTCCTATAATGTTTTAGATATATTTTTTTTCAATTTTAACTCGTTAATTTAGTGTTTTTTTTCTAATTACAACTATTACGTATTTGATTTTTTTTTCGTCGTAAAACATTAAAAAAATATTGATTCTATTATCTGTAGATATTGTATTTCAATGCTATATTAATTATCATTTAAACATTTTTTGACTTTCAATTACATCGACAGGTTCATTTCGATACATGTAGGTATACGTAAAATTAAGTTTTTCTTTAATTTATTTTATTTCTGCTTCTTATCACTTCTTTTATATTGCTGTTATAATGTTCAACATTCTCAATAATACTTTTATTGCTCCAAAAAATTGTGCAAACAGTTTTACAATGCTTCCTAAACTGAAAATATTTGTACAAAACTTATTTATTAAATTACATTTCATAAAGTTTTGAAAGCTTCTAAGCGCTCACTTTTTTGGAGTCGTTTATAATATAAGGGTTTTTGGAAGAGTATCAACAATTTTATCAAAATCTAAATTTCTTAATTTTTTTCCAGATATTAGCTCAATTATTTATTAAACCAGAAAATCATGGATAAAACTTACAAAATCGATATCGAAGATATCGCCAATAAACCTCTATTGGACGCCACAAATCCACAGATACTTACACCGAATTACATCTTAGATAACAAACATTTAACCATCAAAATCTCCCTATCAACCCTTGACAAAATCCTCTCCTCCACGATCTTCTGCTTCCTCATCGCCTGCTGTTGGCGAGGCACCTCGGGCATCATCGACGTCTACGGCCACTACTTCCCTTACCTCGAATCCCTCATCCTCAGCGTCTCCATCTTCCTAGTAATGGCTCTAACTCAACGCTACTTCCACAACATAGCCTTCCAATCCAAGTGCCTCACCTTCGCCCTCGCCAAGACCTACTTCTTCATTGGCTACATCGCCACTATACTCCACTTCAGGAGCTTGTGGGCCTACTACGACGTCGTCGACGAGGAGTTTTACGAATTCGGCGCCAGGTGGTACGTCCCTAGGTCCACGTGTAGCGTCGCGCTCCTCATCATAGCCTCGACTTGTTTGGCGGGAATCAGAGGCGTTGTAAATCTTAATACATCTCCTATGAGCATCAATGCGGATGTCAAAGAGGAGGATTTTGTCGTGGATTTCGCTTTTTTCAAGGTGAGTAGGTACAGAAGGTTCCCTTGCGGATGTGCTGTTAAGATCGGTTCTCGTTAAAATAAGTCATGTCTGGATAGACTCTCAAATTCAAAGTCATGGCGTCCCTTTTCGTGGAATTTTCGCTGTTCATCGGAGCGATATTAATGCTGACCATTACCGGTTTCTTCACGGTCGCCAGTACATCGGTATTGTCGGGCACTCGAACCAATCGCGGCGACCGAAAGACTCCCGGGGGCTCCGACGCGTTGAAGTACCCCCGAATCGGTATGGGCCGTCGGGCGAACTTCTTCAGGCGGTTCTTCCACAGCGGCGGATGGGCGAACCGCACGCGTCCCGTCGCCATCAGGTTCACCTCGCCCGGATCCTCCGGCTTGTACGGATTCAAATCCGCCAAGCGGGATCTCGTCTGCGGCGGCTTGTCCGTCACGTAGTCGATCACCTCCTGCACGCTCCGGGGGTAGTGGTGCTGGCGGTAGTGGCTCAGCTGCGGGTAACTCGCCGTCGTTCGCTCGGTGGTCGGGGTGAGGGTGGCGAACGTGGGGCGGAATCGCCGGGGAGTCGCGCTCGTCGGGGTTAGGGCCACCTCGAACGGCCTCGGCTTCGCCGGTTGCGAGCGGGCGTCCGCTATTCGAGCGGTCTCGCTCAGCAGGATGACCAAATACGCCGCCTGGAATGCCGTAATTTAAATTAATTACCTCGCGAAAATTGCGCCAGCGGTTGGGAAGTTGTGATTAGTATACAGGGTGTCCCCAAGAAGTTTGGGTTTTTGATAACGTTTCTAAATATTGTCTAGCAAACACTTAAGCATCTCAAATTTAATACTTACAGTAAATAATAGAGAAACAACAGCTATACTGGTAGTGCAAATAACCACTAAAACACATCGTTTTTTGTCGTTTTTCAAATTCTTGCACAGCCCGAGATCGGCGCTCGTTCTGCAGCGTTTCATCGTCGGAAAATGTGCGGCTCACATTGATTGTTTTGCTGTACTTTAACGATGTGAATCTAGAAAACCCGCCCGGCGTAAAATCGTCTCGGAGTGACAGCGAACATCTATGTTAGAACACGCACGAATTTTCATAATTCGCAATTATTCCAGGCGCTTTGTGAGGCGAGAAAACGTGAATCTTTACGCTTTCGAACGCTCTGCGAAATAATTAACATGTTAAATAGTTCGTTCGTTAATTAGACTGCACTGCGCACTTGTCGTGTATTTGTAGCTAATTAGGATATACTTTGTAAGAGTCGATCTTTGCATTTCGAATTAGAGATTTTTGCAGTTTTTTCTATAAAAATCTAGTCGAATTTCGAGCCGACGGCACGCCGGGCATCTCGATAAACCGAGAAATGAGGACGAATTCAACGAGGAAATTAAACAATTTGCTCACGAACAATTTCCGCCTGAGATGTTATTCAACGTTAAACGCATTGTTAAAATAATTGGAGGCTGTTGGTGATAGAACATGTCCATTAATATTTGTAAAAACACCTATAGAAAATTCCAAAACGTCTTTTTACAACGCCCGATTAATTCGCACTTACGCATACGTGCATTTAAATACGAAAACATCGTTGGGAAGTTATATTATAATACCCATAATAATTGTCCATATACATATTAAAATATTTCCAATGGTACCCCAAACAATCTGTATACAGTGTGTGTGTGTCATGATGGTGGCCCACTAAGAAGTATTTGGAAAAGTAGTTGAAAAGTTGTGAACAAGTGTATGTCGATTTATACAGGACATTGAAAAATAGGAAATATTATGCTGAAAGGAAGATTACATTCTCTTGAAAACTATATAAGTTTAGATATTCCAGGATAAGTGGATTTCTAATGACGGTCTATTTAAATGACCCGCTCGATCGCCAGACATGATCCTTTGGATTTCTCAATTTTCTATCGACATTTTTAATTAATACCTATAGATATATTTCCATATGCATACTTTGACTTTTACTTTACTTCTAAGTCACTATGGATTCTAAGAAAACAATTTTATATTTTTATAACGCCATTTGATACAGAACAGCATGAAGCTCCGGTTTCTTACCAACCCTAACAAGTATAAAGGTTTTGTTAAAGAATACTTGTTGTTAGCTTTTAGAGTATAAAAAGTAGATGGAAACGTTCCAATTGTGTGTATTTGACACCTTTAGCTAGAGCTCTTCGAAGATGTTGCCCATTGAAAATCGTTTAGTTTTTAATTATAATTTACCCCAGAAGTTTGTAACATGATATAGTTATCACCGTCGTGTGCGGTAAAGGTTGAAGGAATGTTTTTAGGACTATATGTTAGTGTTGAAAACTCACTAAAATGATCAAAACTGGTTTTTTAGAAAATTGTTCACCCTGTATCTTCGAAACAAAGAGGGTTTCTCAAACGATAAAATATTCTTAGAATAGTCCAAAGAATAACCCGCCTTGAATTTTTTTCGTATGTTTAATAAATCCCCTGTATACAGGTGTATATAAATATGTATACAAATATGTGAAATATGCATATAAATATGTATATGAATATGTATATAAAGGTGATTATTGAACCTTCAAGGGCTCCTGGGCCGTCCAAGAGACCTTCTTCTAGGTGAATTTGTGTAACGCAAGCTTCCTGGTGTATTAAAATTCGTGTCATAATGCTTTATTCGTGAAGTTTAGGAATTCAAATGAAAAAAACAAGATATTGTGGTGTTTGACCTTCCATACAGTAATATTATACCTAGTACATCAACAATTATTGCGAATCACGTGGGGTTCCCCCAGAGCGCGCTCTCGACCCGGAGCATGCATGCATGGCTAATCAGCCAGACGAATAGAGTACGCTCCATCAGTACCACAAAATAAAACCAAAAAACAGGATTTACATAATGAGAGGCAGCATAACAATCGAGTCCGCCCTAACGCCGCAACGCTACTACGCCCTGCTGAGCCTCCTGGACTACCTCTTCGCCTGCCTGGTGGTGACGCCTTGCGTCTTGGCCTACTGGAGAGGCACGTGGATGCTCGTCGACATCTACACGGAGCAGCTGTCTCCAGTGGCGAGCGGTTTACTCTCGACGTGCATCGGTTTCCTGGGGCACGCCGTCTTCACGTCCATCCAGAATCCCCTCGGCGAGCGCCTGCACCCGGACAAAAACCGGCTGATCTACTACGCTTCCTCGAGATTGTATACGGCGTGTTATGCGTTTACGTGCGTGAATAGTTGGCGGGGACCGTGGAACGTGCTGGACGTGCGCTTCGACAGGAACCTGGCCCACCTGGTGGTCACCGTCGCCGTCGGGACGCTCGCCCTGATCGCCGTCAGGGGACTGAAGAATGTCCTCGCCGCACCGTTTGTTATCGTCGTCGATAACGTTAAAGGGTATTTTGAAGTTGCGACCATGTTTAGGATGCCTGTGAGTATGTTGAATATAACAGAGCGTTTCAAATTCTTGATATAAATTTGTGATATCTGTACTCGGAATTAAAATATAATGTAGACATATTTGTGATGTTATCAGGACTGTTTTTAATGGCACGAATTTTTTTGTTCATCATCTTGTTGTTTCACGGCAGGAATTTGAAATGCGCTATGCAGCATGCTTTTTTGCTGATAAATTTTTACGTAAAAAAAACAAGAAATGCCGAGATAACTTTCGTCATTACCTTTGAAACCTTGATTTCTCGATATCCTCGTCGCCTATAGTGGAACAAAACCAAACACCCTGTACATCACCTCCATTAAATTTAATCGACTATTAAAAATTAAAAGGAACTTAACAACAAAACTGATTAGAGTAAATTACTCTTCGACGCGATCCGAACCACATATATACCGGCCCATCGGCCGTCGACTAAGGTTATTCTCTCCACCAAGCCGACCCGAACATGAGGGGTAGCGTCTCGGAGCAGGTCCACTCGACCGGCTACTACGCGCTTCTCTCCGCCTTGGACTATCTCTTCGCCTCGCTGGTGGTGAGCCCGTGCGTCGTCGGCTACTGGCGCAGCGCCTGGGCCCTCATCGACATCTACGCCGAGGGCACGCCGCCCCTGCTCGACGGGCTCGCCTCCGTCGCGGTGTGGTTCGTCATACACGGCGTCCTGTCGCTGTGCCAGGGCCGCTTCGCCGCCGCCTTTCGCCCCGACAAACACCGGTTGTCCTACTACGTGTTCTCGAGGCTGTATACGGTGGTGTTCGCGTTTTCGTGCGTCAACGGCTGGCGGGGCCCCTGGTGCATCCTGGATATATTGTACAAGAGCGAGATGCTGTCGCTGGTGGCCACCACCTCCGTCGGCGTCGTGGCGCTGCTGGCCATGCGGGGCTTGAGGAATCTCATCGCGCCGCCCATTATTATCGTCAACGATTATGCGGACGGTTATTTCGAAGTGTCCACCATGTTTAGGACGTCCGTGAGTAATTATTTTGGTTTATTGAAAAACGTGGATGCGTTTTTTTTTTTCATTTCGTAATAGGAGTTACATGTGCAAAAAACAATAAAAAATAATTGCGGAGTAATAATGTAGCGAGGTCGCTTAAACGGTAATTTTTTTGGATAATTAGTTATTAGATACCTATATTTCAGTTTGTCATTGTAGTATTTTGAATTGGATAATATTTAGTATCAGTAGAATTAATTTGCGGTTTATTTACCTCATTAGTATTTGTAATTTCTTTCTAATTATCCCTCAAAAGCGTAGGTACTAATTCATTTTACTCCCCACATATATTTTCTAACAGGTACTAAAATTTTAGAAACCTACCACTAATCAACCCTTTTTAAAGTTTTATTCCTCACATTCACAGCATGCATACATATTAATACAGTAATCTTGTTGCAGATGGGCGAAAAAACATTTTTGTACATATTAGACTGCATATTCTCCATATTGATAGTGGGCACATTGGTAGTATTCGTTTGGAGGGGCTCCTGGTTGCTGATCGACATATTCCTCTTCCCCGACGATTTCACCCTATCCTCTTGGAGCAGTTTGGTAGGTGAAGTTCGAATTAAATCTTTTCACTTTTCTGTAATCTCAGCTGGTAAATTTTTGGGAGAAACTCGCGACTTCTCCCAAAATAAACAGAATCAATAAGCATTTGATGTTTAGGACGAGCTTAGAACCATTTAGAATCATTGTCCAGAATCATTTGGAACTATTATAGAGCTCATTAGTAGCATTTGAAACAGTTCCGGATGATTTTAGAACCATTTAGGAACTAATTAGTAGTATTTAATAAAGTTTTAGAGAGACGATTTTAGAACCATTTGGAACTATCCTGATTGATTTTATAGAACCATTTCTGATCTGACTAGGGCCATTTGAAACAATTTAGGACGATTTTGGAACCATTTATAGCTGTCCAAATCCATTTAAAACTAGTTTAGATCTGACCAGGACCATTTGAAATAGTTCAGTATTAATTTTAAATCATTTAGAACTATCCAGAATCATTTAAAACTATTTTAGATTTGACTTGTACCATTTTAATCGGTTTAGAATGATTTTAGAACTGCCCAAATCCATTTAGAACTACTTTATTTCTGCCTAAGGACATTTGAAACAGTTCAGGACAATTTGAAAACTCTCCAGAATCATTTAGATCTATTTTAGATCTTACTAGGGCCATTTGAAGAGAATTCATGACGATTTTAGAACCTTATAGAGTCATTTAGAACTATCCAAATCCAATTAGAACTATTTAAAACTGATTAGTAGCATTTGCAACAGTTCAGGATGATTTTAGAATTGTCCAAATCGAATGTGCGTTATTCGCATAGTTTAGAAAAAGCACTGGAGCGTTACATTTTTCTCTAAGGTCAAACTAATCGTCATTAAAGAATTATTCGAATACGAAAAATGACGAAATTACCCCGTTATCAATTTAACAGAGATACAACGTAGTTTTTTTTAAACAAAAATCTTATTATTATGTAAATTATTTAAGTAGGCCCGCGTACATGAATGCGTATTCATCCGTACGCTCCGTAAATTAAACAATTGGCCGTATCTTAACAAAAGCTTTAATTGGATTTTTGCGCTTTGGAAATATGTTGCTCCGCGTCAACAATCAAAATACAAGCAGCGAGAAATCGTCCATTGAATTTTTTCTTATTTTTTCCAGGCGCTGGGATACGCGATAGTCGCGACGGCTTTCCTTCTGCAACCGATAATGCGGTACATCTGCGAAAGATTGACCGGCACTGCGCGATTACTGGTCGCCGATATCTTCATTATATTCGCCCTCTTCGGAACAGTGAACGTGTGGAGAGGCATATGGAATTTACTCGACATTTATTTCCTACCCGGTAAACGCGCATAAAATCGTTACTATTCAATTTTAACGCAACCCTTCGCAGATAATCGAGAGTTGAGCTGCTGGATATGCCATTGGGTGAGCCTGATCATTCTGGTGCTCTGCCGGTGCTCGAACTCGCTGCTGATTCGGGGGGTTTACATAGACGCCGAGGAGCCGGAGGGAAAGTGCGTCATTTTCCCCTGCTACTATCTCAGGATCCTCTTCGGGAAGAAGAAACTGGAGAAGTTGAATTTGGACGCGGAGGCCATGAAGATACATGCGAAAGAAAACGAAGCGACTTCGAATAAGATCAATACGATTAGTAATACTGTCGAGGAAAATCCTACCAAAGAACCCAAGTAAACTGCAATCAAAATTTTAAATGAAAGAAGTACGAACGTAATTTCCTCGATGAAATTTACATATTTTTCTTGACAGTACTTAACGCAATTAATGTTTGTAATTTTTTATTTAAAAACTCGCTAGCGCCCCTTCATTTCAATTAGATTATTAATTAATGTTTATTCTGTTATATAAATCAAAGGTCATCAGAGGAAACGCGTAATTTTTGCCAAGCATCAATCCAAAAAAACCGGAACTGAACAAAATAAAAAATTGCATTCCCCGCGTGATTGCATTATAAGCGATGCACTTCCTATTCTAATCGTTCATTAGATTAATTAATTTAATTCGAGGAAATTGCCGTTAATTCGCTAAATATTGCGGTCATTAACAAATCAAAACGTAATTCGTCAAGTTCCTATTCTAGGGGAACTTTAATTACACGCACTTTCTTTTACTGGTGCATTGATAATGATAAGAAATGGAAGTACAAGGGATTTTTAACGAAATAAAACATACTCTTTTTTTTCTATAAATATTTATTTTATTAGAAAACAATCGCTTTCAACGATATCATAAACATAACTGTTCCTAATGATTTCACCTAAAATGAATTAATTAATACATACCATTAACAGTCAATCATGCACACAAAAAAAAATTAAAATGCATTCAAAGTTACTTGTTTCTTTGTGTTTTTTTATTGTTACAACGCCAAAACAAAAATTGTGTTTTGTGCTCCACCGAAAAAAAATTAAGTATGCCAAATTACAGTATTCAAAACGGGCGATTTTGGTTTTTTTCATCGTTCACTCTACGCAATCCAGAGACTAAGCACTAATTATAAACTAAGCAACAATTATTCCTTACAACCTTACGAGTACTAAGAAAATTACTAGCATTTCCGAATTTAAATTGATGATTTTGTTTCTGAGATTGAGATTCAGGAATGATAATCATACTTTAAATTGAAGCACTTTTAGTAACAAACATAAGTTTAGGGCCTCTCGAATCCCTTTAGATACAATTTAAATTGGTTCGTAATTAGCAGTCTCTGAATTTCAAACTAAAATAAACTAAATTTAATCGTGTAACAGCCAGGAAACTAATAAATTACTCAAACCCATCTTAACAGAATAGTTATGAATTAAACACGCAGTCTATACAAAACCTGACGAAACGAAATTATACAGATGTAAAAAAATATATTATAAAAAAATGATAAAAAAGCGACTTGTGTGGGCCTTTATCGCACAAAACACATTGACACACTGGTATTTATTCTCTTAAAACCAGGTTATATCCTTTTTTTTTGTTGATACAAATAGAAAAATATCGATCTAAATATTTTTTTTAGATTAATTACAATGTTTCTTTTAAAAACAAAAAAACTTTAATGGCTAGTCCTGCATTTCCTCCGGCACCTCGTGCGGGTTCAGGATACCCGGCACGGACAATTCGATGCGACGTTTCTCCGCCTGAGCGGTCTCCAGGGCCTTTTCTCGTTCTTCCAGGAACAAATCCGTGTCATCTTCTCCAGTGTACTCCTACAAAAATTCACATTCACAATCCGTACAATATAATTATTTTTTTCAACACAAAAACTCACCCTAATCTGCACCAAGAAATCTCGCAGGTGCTCCTTAAATTGCGGTATATCCTGATCTAAATTGAACATCCCCTGCACCGTGATTTTAATCTGATTATCGGTCAAATGCGGAAAGGCGGACTTCAGCAGCGTAGCCGTAAACTCCTGAATGTACAACACGTTATCTGGCCTCGGCCCCAACTGGCAATGCACCCCGCCCGTCTCGATCAAGTAGAATATATAAGCCAATATGGAGGCGTGCATCGACAGCCCCGACGAGTGCGACGTGTCCGTCACCACCGAGAAAATGTGCTGCAAGATGTCCGTCAAGTACGTTTGGTAGAAACTCGGCGCGGCCGCCTCGTGCTGCTCGATGTTCTGCAGCAACTTCAGCAGGATCTGCAGGCCGATGTCGGCCACGTTCCGCATGGTGTGCTTGAACGCCCAGATGATGCTGTCCAACACGAGCTTGAACTGCGTTGGCGGTATGTTGAGCAGGGCCGGGAAACAGTGCGTGTTAACCGCTTGGAGGAGCAAGAAGAAGTTCGTACGGTGCTCCGGGTACTCCTCGAAGTCCTTGTTGATCATGTCGAGGGTGCATTCGAAGACCGCGTCGAATATTTTCGGGACCTATAATGAGGTGATGAATTAAACATCGATCAAATGGTCGCGATAGAATGGTTGGTAACGTACAATATAAGCAAATAAAGGATCCTACGGCGGATACGGATAGAACGAGTACGGCATTGTAGTTACCGGTTAGTACAAAAGAAGCCAATAAAATGGAAAATTGATAAAAAATAAAAATTTCCAACATCTTAGGCTGCTGCACCGAATTAAAGGCGACGCTAAACGTGAACTGATAAGAATTTTGTACTGATAAAATTGATAAAGCGGCTTATCGGTAACAGAAAATATAACGTTTCGAATTATCCAAACACTTTTTACTGCAACAACGATTAGCACTCTGTACGACTGAAAGTAAATTTATAAATAAACGCGTAACCGAATCTAATTTTAGATTGAAAATACAATTCGGGATAGACTTATACTGTCAAACTGTAATCATAACATCTGGTGTTTTAATTCATGTACAATTAGTTGGCGGGTTATTCGCGGGAAACTTACCAATTAAATATCAAATAATTAACAAGCGTGTTTACAAATATGGTCAAGTCTATAAGATTAACAAAGAAAGATTATGAAAATGACGGTGGTTAGAGTGTGACAGTTGCAACTCTTTCTTATTCCTTTATAGTCGGTGCAAAACAAATATCAATGCACGTCACTACTGTTGTCATACTTGCCAAGCATTGTGACCAACTTTTGAAAATAAATACACAAAATAGATTAAGCTTAATACCTGCAGAATTTCATTTAATATTAATAAGTGATGATAAAAATGTTAAAAAACAGAATTAAATCATCCAAAAAATTGTATGTCATTGTATGATCATATTATGTGATCGGTTTTTTTAATTTCCAATTTCTTCTGGTTTTTTCTAGTTTACTAGCCTCAACTTCTAAAGGCTGTTTAGAAGTTGAATTTTCAATTTGTTCTTGTCATTTTGCCATTTGACAATTTTAGAAAATTCTTAGATTTTGTAAACTCTACAAAAGTTCGGCAACACTTCCTACTTGTGACGTAGTAAATCATAGGTAACGTGCATTGATATTTGTTTTACACCGACTATTATGAGACTATTAATAGACTTTGTTTCACCCACATCACTCTGTATATTATTATTACCTCTAAAGTAATGTGTCCCTCGAGTCTGTTGACGATGGTGGCGATGGCGCCCAAGACTTCGGGTTCCCTGGCGACGGGCACGGGGGTTCTTTGATAGTCCAAAAGGATGGCGTCCAAGAAAGGCGGTATGAAATTGTCGAGCACCATGGCGTTGTCCGTCGATCGGGATATCCAATCAGAGATCAATTTAAGCGTTTCCTTCTTGACGGCCCTCATCGATTTTATGAGAGGTTGTTTCATGACGACGTCGCCGTTCACTTGGATGGCCGCCGCGATATTTTCCGACATTACCTTAAAAAAAAATTAAACAATTAATTACTATCGTACTGTCTATAAATTACGCTTTGTAAATACCTTATAAACGTTCAGCATGTCTAAATATATCCGTCCCAATTGCAGCACGTAAGCGTGACTTAATGCTTTACAAGCCCTTACGTTCGTCTTCAGTATGCTGGCCAGTTGCTTGACGATTTCGATTTCTTTCAAGAAATCCACGTTTTTACTCGCCTGACTAATTATATCGTCCCACACCTGTAACATACGTATTTTATATACAAACTCTTACGAGTCTCTTAACAACTCTAAACTCACTTGATTAGGTAACATCATGTACTTCTCGATAAGAGACTCCTGTATAGTGGTGTCCGCTTGCGCGGATATCATATACCCCACGGCTTCGTAGAACGTGTGGACCTGTTGTTGTTGTAGATCGCATATAATCGTCGAAATCGAAGCGAGAATTTCTTCTATAAACGGACAGGACTCGCCGATTTGCGTCGTGACGAAGTGCCTTCGACATTTCAATGCTATTTTGATGAAAGTGTCGCAGGCCATGTCTTGTACACCGTCGTGGGTTTCGTGCATGAATTCGAACAGCTTATTTACGACTGTTTTCAAGAACTTCCAGTGGGCCCGCAGGAACCTGGGGTACTGCCCGACCACGTACATTATATTCGAAGCTATGATAGCTTTATTGTCTTTGCCGCGTTTCTGCTCGCACAATCCCAGCAGATCTTTGATTACCGTTACTAGGAATCGTTTTTCGTCCTCTTCGTGCATCGCGCCGGATATGCTTCCGATCGCCCAACACAGGGTGTTTAGGTTTTTCCAAGACCTGCAAAAATAAATGGTTTATTACTTTTATTTAATATTAAGATGGTAGATATTATTACCATTCAGATCCATTGACTTGGTTTTGAAGTTTAGTAGTCATTATCCGTTCGGTATCGGCGCAATCTAAATGTGTCAAATAAACGAGCGTTTCTCTCATATTTTTGTACAAATTAATCGAATCTGTATCTTTCATAAATTCCCTTACAACTTCTCCATTATCATTTTCAACGACCAATACTTCTTCGGGTTTCGCCATTCTAGATATCATGATGAATCTGACTTTGTTTAACACCTCCTTGTAGACGTCTCGATAGAAATTGCACAAATCTTTGCCTTTGTTGATGAATATCGGCCCGACTTGTTGATATAATTCCGACGCTAAATTATTCCAATATTCGAGGCATATTTTGAATATTTCCACCTCTTCAACTTCGGATATGAGCACTAAATACCTCAAGGACTTTCCGAGCGTATCGAATTGATTTTCCGCGATACCGCTGTGCTCCTTTAAGAATGTACAAAGAAATAGAGCTAAATTTTGAATGAAATTCTGTTCTTGATCGTGTCCGCATGCGTACGCCGATTTAATATCCGTTTGAATGGGCAACATCACCTCTAATTGAGTCATCGTTTGGGTGAATAACGATACAAACATATCATTGTAATTGCTCACAGTAACTCCTGCGATTTCTGTCAAACATTTTAACGCGACATTTCGAAACAACGGTACTGGCAAGAACTTGAAAATCAACGTGTTTATCAAATTCGTCTCGAATATATAGCCAAGCGGTATCCAATTGAGAAATCTCAACAAAGTTTCTAAAGTAGCGTTTACGAGAGGTGGATTTTGCGAATTCTCCAATACAAACTGACACAAATGGAAAATCGCTGAGAATTCGCTACACATTGTATCTTTCAAATGTTTAGATTTCGTTTGTGTTATTTGCCCCGATGAAAAATCAAACAATTCTTCGCTCAATAACTTTAAGATAATCATGTTGTTTTGACATAAACTCTCGTTAGTCATGCTCGCTCCGACTATGTCCGGTATGAAACTCTCCCAATTCTTAGGCCATTCTCGCTTCAAAACTTGCACTAATATCATATTTAACTTATTGAGATACGTTTTGTTTGCTTCTAATACTTCCGCATCGGAACTGGTTTTTATTATCAACGATACAATGTATTTTTTGATCCCTTCGCATTGATTCCTCGGCAGGACTTTCCATCTGGTTTTTATGACTTGCTCGAGTATCTGCAGGGCGTAGTACTTTGTCTCCTGGTTCGTCGAGTACTCCAAAATCGTGTCTACTCTCGTCCAGGCGTCCGGGTGCTCCTTTAGAGTCGTCAGTACTTCTTGTGCCATTCGTTGGGTCTCTCCGTTTCCCGCATACATACTTACAACCACGCTATCCAACAGATTAATGTCCAGTTTACGGTTGAAATCCAAAAGGGCGGCGGCGCCTTGGTGTCCCTGAAGTGCTGCCATTTTTTATACTTATGATTAATTTTCAGTTACCGCTCACAATTATCCAATCATTCCAACAATTGCACCGCTACAACAGAAAGAAATATCCTAATGTTAATATTTGTTTTCAAATTAATCAAAAATTTACATCTATCGCCTCTATAATAGGGCGTACGAAAGCAGTAGTTCAACATCGATACAAAATGTTAATAGATTATAAAACGAAATTATAAAGAATAAGTAAACTCTAATAATGAAGTTCTAACGCATCAAAGACTAAAAACCTTTGGGTAATTAAAGATATGATACCAAACAGAAGAGCATCCACTAATCTTTTCTTGTACGAACTTGTACTTCAAAACTAGTAGTTTAATTTACAGATATTTAATACATATGTAGCAAAATGATGTTATAAATAATTAATAAACCCTAATGAATAAACTGTAGAGCCCCAACGTGCATTTCCATTGCATTTCTTAACACTAGAAGTACAGACAAGATTTACATCAATAGAAAACAAGCAGTAGAATATAAAATGAAATTTCGGTTACACCGGACATAATTTAGGGTATTTCTAACAAGTGGGACATTTACTACGGCTTGAAATGCAACTAAAGCCGATTACATGTGGATTTTTTTATTCAAATCGCGGGTAATAAAAATATTTAGATGTTGTTTAACCCTAAAATTTTAGATGTCGTTTCGTCGTAAAATGGGCCGCTAAAATAAATGCGATATCGGCTAAACGATCGTTTAGTGGTAGTATTCAAATGGTTTACTTACTGCGTATCCTTAATATAACGGATAATACACCAAATTCAACAGCTCTCTCACAAAATTCTCACTACAAAAAGCGCAAAACCAAATACGACATTACAAAATGACGGTCGGTAATGAAGATTGCTGCTAACTTCATGGCTATTGCGCACAACAATGTCATGTTATTTATTGCAACCTACGAACGAAGAAAATAATTAGCACAGATTATTCGGTATTAAATTTACCTTTAATTTATTTTTCAAAGCTAATTTTACCCTTTTTTCATTAAAAAAGTGGAAAATAAATCAAATCAATTCTGATGTAACTAGCGACATCTGTAGGAGTGTTGTCAAACTGAATATGTCAAAAATTATGAACTCTATATAATTTGGTACTAAGAACCAAGCGATTGTAATATAAGGATATAAATGGTTTTATTTGCACCTACTAATGTTTAAAAGTGATTTAAAACAGATTTTTCATAAAAATTGATCTCAGTGTCTTTCAACTGAACTGAATAACTTTAATAGTTGTTCCTTATAATTATTTAAAAAGAGAAGAATAAGATAATGTCATTTGTCGCATGATGTCAATGTCAATATTGTCAATATGTTTAAATTAAAAAAAATGAATAAATTTCAATTTTATTTTTATATTAAAATAAATTGCCCCAAATAAGCGTTAAATTGTGCTCTAATTTTTAATAACCGATACGAAAACCATCATAAGATACAATCTGTCATTGTTGTCAAGGTGTCAACGTCAAGTGAACGTGGTTTCGCACTTTCACAGAATACTTTTCAAGTGTGCCGTGCTGTAACTGTAACTTTATACGTGTGAGAGCACAATATTTCACACTATAATTTATTATTACATCAGTTACATTTCCGCATTCGGAAAAAGTCGACAATGAAAATTGTAGCTAACAAAACAAACCCACCGTTAGGTAACTTTTTATTTAAATTATTGAATTAATAATATTAAACTATACTTTTTGCAGGTGGTTTATTTGTTGCCGAATATGTTAAACTTGTGGTAAAAGCTCCCATAGAATTGACCTGGGATTCCCAAACAGTCGTAGAGAAAACCAATTGTAGGACCAGTAATGATGTTGCCAGAATTATTGCCAAGCAGTTCAGTAAGGAATTGGAATTGTATGGAAATTCTCCTTCCGAAGCTACAGAAATCGACAGCTGGCTGACTTTCGCATTGGGTCCTCTAAGCACGAAAAGCGATTTCTCAAAAGCTGTGGATGTTCTTAATAAAGCTTTAGCTCCTGTTACTTACCTGGTTACTAAAAAGCCCACTATCGCCGATTTTGTTGTATTTGGTGCTTTATATAGTAAGTTTCTTATCTAAAAGCAACCCGTATAATACAGTACGAATATTTGTATTTATTTTAATTGAAAATATAACTTTTCTAGCCAATAAACAATGGCAGGATGTTCTCAAGTCTACTAAATCATCTTTAGTCAATGTGATCCGTTGGTACAATTTCATGAATGCTCAAGATGCCGTGAAAAACGTATTAAACAATCTACCTCCAGATGTAGCTCAAAATTTGTCCAATCAGGACAAACCGACTGTTAAAAATGAAAAGGCAACCGTGGGTAATCGAGCACAAGAAGGGAAATTCGTAGATTTACCTTTTGCGGAAATGGGGAAGGTTGTTGTCAGGTTTCCTCCTGAGGCTTCAGGGTTAGTATAACATAAAATTAGAACTTTTCCCTCTATTACACACAAAATTGCTTTTATAGTTACTTGCATATCGGCCACGCGAAGGCAGCCCTGCTCAATCAATACTACCAAGAAGCCTTCCAAGGTAAACTGATCATGAGATTCGACGATACGAACCCTGCCAAGGAGGACTTGCATTTCGAGAAGGTGATCTTAGAAGACGTCGCCATGCTGGAAATTAAGCCGGACATCTTCACGCACACATCACAATATTTCGAATTGATGATCAGCTATTGCGAGAAACTGTTGAAAGAAGGAAAAGCCTATGTGGACGATACCGAGCCGGAGCTGATGAAAACGCAAAGGGAACAACGAATCGAATCTGTTAATAGAAATAACGGTAATTTTTGACACAATCTGCCTTAAGTATAATGAATTACTGTAGGTATATTGTTTTCTAGATGTCGCTAAGAACTTTGCCATGTGGGAGGAAATGAAAAAGGGCACAGAGAAAGGTCAGAAATGTTGCGTAAGAGCAAAAATGTTTATGGATTCACCGAACGGTTGCCTGAGAGATCCGACTATTTACCGATGCAAAAACGAACCTCATCCTAAAACCGGGAACAAATTCAAGTAAATACACACTTTACAACCCTACCCCTTCACTAAACCTTTCTTTTCTATTTAGAGTTTATCCAACGTACGATTTTGCCTGCCCCATCGTAGATTCCATTGAAGATGTAACTCACGTTCTCCGTACAATGGAGTATCACGACCGCGACGAGCAGTTCTACTGGTTCATCGACGCTTTGGGGCTGAGAAGGCCCCATATATGGGAGTACAGTCGATTGTCGATGACCAATACCGTGCTGAGCAAAAGAAAGTTGACTTGGTTCGTTAACGAGGGCTTAGTTGATGGTTGGGACGATCCCCGGATGCCGACAGTGAGGGGTGTATTGAGAAGAGGAATGACCGTGCAGGGTCTCAAGGAGTTTATCATAGCTCAGGGTTCGAGTAGATCGGTCGTCTTCATGGAATGGGATAAGATTTGGGCGTTTAATAAAAAAGTTGGTGTATTATACAGCCAGTAATTTTATGTAATTCATACAATTTTTTCAGGTAATCGATCCGATTGCTCCTAGGTATACTGCAGTTGAATTCGACGATCCTGTGAGTGTATTAGTTAAAGGCGTGAAAGAGGAATGTCTCGCTGTGCCTAAGCATCCTAAAAACGTTGATGTGGGAAATAAAGAGGTTTGGATAGGCCCCAAGTTACTCATCGATAGAGCTGATGCTGAAGCATTAAAAGAAGGAGAAAATGCGACTTTTATTAATTGGGGAAATTTGCTTATCAAAAAAATCAACAGGTAATTTCACTATGCAATTAGGAATTAACATTTGATTAATTCTTCTATCGTGTTTCAGGGAGAGCAATAAAATCGCATCAGTAGAAGCCGAACCTAACTTGGACAACAAAGACTACAAGAAAACATTGAAACTAACATTTTTAGCCGTAACGGATAAAGCTCCCTTCACTCCGACCTACTGTGTGTACTTCGATCACATCATCAGCAAGCCGGTTTTGGGAAAAGACGAAGATTTCAAGCAATACATCGGCCACGAAACTAGAGTAAGCACGCTTTTAGCTCATGAGAATCTATTAGAACCAGCTCACCCGAGCTCTGTTTTACAGAAAGAAATCCAAATGCTCGGAGATCCGGAATTGATGAAACTCAAAGCTGGCGATATTATCCAGCTACAAAGGCGCGGGTTCTTCCGTGTGGATGTTCCTTACGGTCCCGCTAGTTTGCATACCTACAGAGAACAGCCTATTATATTGTTCCATGTACCCGATGGTCACGCTAAAGAAAATATACCGCTTAATAAAGTTACATCAAGTGACCAGGTAACTTATATTTAAATCCTACTTCTTAGATGTTTCATGTGAATGATTTTTTTAGGTTTCTGCTAAAACTAGTACCTCTGCAGTTGCTGCTAAACCCCCGTCGAAGTCCGCATCAAGTTTAAACGAAGACATTGTAAAGCAAGGAGATGCAGTACGAAAATTGAAGGAACAAAAAGCTGCTAAAAGCGATATAGATGCAGCCGTGAAAATTCTACTTGCTCTGAAAGCTGAATACAAAGCAGTAGCTAATTGCGATTGGAAACCAGGTTGTGTGGTTCCCACTACTGCTAGTAAACCTAGTACGCCTTCGGTTGCTACTAAACCTCCGTCGAAGTCTGCAGCAAGTTTAAACGAAGACATCATAAAGCAAGGAGACGCAGTACGAAAATTGAAAGAACAAAAAGCTGCTAAAAGCGATATAGATGCAGCCGTGAAAATTCTACTTGCTCTGAAAGCTGAATACAAAGCAGTAGCTAATTCCGATTGGAAACCAGGCTGTGTGGTTCCCACTGAGGCCAACAACGATAAAACCAATGCAGGTGCGGAGGAATTGAACAAAAAAATCATCGCTCAAGGCGACAAGGTAATGTACTAATACAAATGGAAATGCAATTACTGCAAAAATATCCATTCTTCGTTTCAGATTAGGCAATTAAAATCCCAAAAGGCCGATAAAACTGTCGTGGAAGCCGAAGTGAAAGTTCTCCTGTCTTTGAAATCGGATTACAAATCCGCCAGCGGGAAAGATTGGACTCCCGGGCAAGTCGTAAACGCGAAGCCAATTGCAGATGAACAGTCTCTGCTTCGACGGATCGCCGAGCAAGGCGATAAAGTTAGAGATTTGAAAGCTAAAAAGGCGGATAAAAAAGCCGTCGATGAAGAGGTCAAAGCGCTGTTGAGCCTTAAGGCCGATTATAAATCGTTAACCGGTTAGTTTTTGGCAGTTTTTCGGTTGTTAGTAGCTAATAGAATCGGGCTAATTCGGTTATCATTTTAGGTAAAGACTGGAAACCTAATACTCAAGCATCTGCTGCTCCTCCAGCTTCTCCTGCTGCTGTTTCAAATACTCCATTAAAGTCGAGTGTCGATGAAAATAGCTTACTGTTAGATATCAGTAAACAAGGTGATGCTGTCAGACAATTGAAAGCAGGTAAATACGCAAAGACTGCAAACACATTTTTATTTTAGGGTATGGTAGAGTAGAGGAATCGGGTCGGAAAAACGTTATTTGAAAAAAAAATGCTTATTGTGTAACAGTTGTAACTGCACCTCTATACAAAATAATAAATTCCCACCTCTATCAAACTTCTGTCATACGAAATGTCATTAATGTCATTTTTGTAATTTTTGTATATATATCATCGAACGCATCTTAAAATCCCACTTATTCCATTTTTAATTCCCCGCACACAATTTACCCATGAGATTCAAATCTATAATCTCTTTCGCGCCCAATTTAGATCCGTTTTATAAAATATTAACAATCCTATTTAAGACAAAGCTGAAAAATCGAAAGTAGACGAGCAAGTGAAGAAGCTGTTGCTTCTGAAAGAAAATTTCAAGAATTTAACCGGCAAGGAGTGGAAACCGAACATGAAACCGACCGCACCGGAAGCTCCTGCAACAGGAGGCGGCGGTGGCGGTGACGTCAAAGATGCTCTAACGGCGAAAATTACCGATCAAGGAAACATCGTCAGGAATTTGAAATCATCGAAAGCTGCAAAAGTTAGTGTATTTTTACTCGGTTCTAACGCTTACTAATTTTATTCGATAATTTGCAGGACGAAATAGACAAAGCCGTCAAAGTTTTGCTGGATTTGAAGCAGGAATACAAAACGGTAACGGGCAACGATTTCGCCGCGCCTGCCGCTCGCGAATCCAAACCTAAAGAAAAAGCACCCAAGCAGAAACCTGTTCAAAAAGCGCCAAAACCAGAGGTTAACAAACGTCTCTCATTAAATTATTTATACTCAATTTTTCCGTTTGCAGAAAGACGAGGGCGCCGTTAAAAAGCAAACGAGATTAGGTTTAGAAGCCAAAAAGGAAGAAAACTTCTCCGATTGGTATTCGCAAGTCATCACGAAGGGAGAATTAATAGAGTACTACGACGTATCGGGTTGTTACATTCTAAGACCGTGGTCTTACGCCGTTTGGGAATCGATCAAAGATTGGCTCGACGCCGAAATTAAAAAACTGGACGTACAGAATTGCTATTTCCCCATATTCGTGTCCAGGGCCGTTTTAGAGAAAGAAAAAACCCACATTGACGATTTCTCGCCGGAGGTAAGCTACCGATCTACGCGATTTCGAGAGTGTTTTATTAATTAAATTATAGGTAGCGTGGGTTACGAAATCGGGAGACTCCGATATGGCTGAGCCCATAGCAGTTAGACCAACATCGGAAACTGTCATGTACCCTGCCTACGCCAAATGGATCCAATCTTACAGAGATCTACCTATAAAATTGAATCAATGGAACAACGTAGTGGTAAGTACATATTTATATAACATTAAAGTATCGTTTAATTACCATTATCTTCTGTAGAGATGGGAATTCAAGCACCCACAGCCATTCATACGAACGAGAGAATTCTTATGGCAAGAGGGCCACACGGCGCACGCCGACGAAAAAGACGCCATTAGCGAAGTAGAGACAATTTTAGGTACGTAAAACAATTGTAAATATCTACGGGCGAATTATTAACTCCATTTTCAGATTTGTACGCTAAAATCTACACGGACTTGCTGGCGATACCGGTGGTAAAGGGCCGGAAAACGGAGAAGGAAAAATTCGCCGGCGGCGACTACACGTTAACCGTAGAAGCTTTCATATCGACTAGCGGTAGGGCCATTCAAGGCGCCACGTCCCACCATTTGGGCCAAAACTTCTCCAAGATATTCGACATCATCTACGAGCATCCGGAGACCCAAGAGAAAACTTACGTCTATCAAAACTCTTGGGGCATCACCACTAGGACAATAGGTACACATGGCTCTTTAAATTACTCTTCTACATCTTTCAGTGCCATCTCCAAGCATTGCAATTTTTTTCTTTACTAACTGCAGCTCTAAACAGGTCCTTTGAGTTGCAAATTGCTCAGCTGTAAAACCCTTCTACGCTCCTACACTTTCCGTTCGTTTGACTCTTCCCTGCATTATTATCCTCCTCATTATCTATCCTAGATATTCCAGCTCTTCCCTGTTTCCTATTACTTCACATTGCATCATTCTTTGTAATACATCTTTATTAGTTACTTTTATAACATATTTTCCATATTCTCTTGTACCACCACAATACTATAGCACCTATATTACCCTAGGAGATGGCTATAAATATCATTTTGTTTATCAGGTGTAATGGTAATGATTCACGGCGATAATCAAGGATTAGTTTTACCGCCTCGGATAGCCTCCGTACAGGTGGTGATCGTGCCCTGCGGGATCACCGTGGCGCTTTCGGATGCGGCTCGTGCACAATTGCAATCGTCCTGCGAGGCCTTGGAAGGCGAGCTGAAAGGGGCCGGCGTGAGGGTGAAGGGCGATTACAGGGATAATTATTCGCCCGGTTGGAAATTCAATCATTGGGAACTTAAGGTAATTTGCGGTGAATTTTAGTGAATTGCTCGAACATTATACGTGTTATTTGTAGGGTGTTCCGATTAGGATCGAGTTGGGGCCGAAGGATATTGAAAAAAATCAGTTGATAGCCGTAAGGAGGGATACGGGTGAAAAAATTACGATAGCGAGAGCGAGCGCTGCGAATAAACTACGCGAATTGCTTGATGCAATACATGATAGTTTATACAAGAAGTTAGTAAAATCTATTTGGTGTCAAAAAATATATATAAAAACTATTCAAATTTTAGAGCCTCTGACGATTTGAACTCTCACAAAGTAGTCTTAACGGATTGGTCCAAGTTCACTCCTGCCCTGGACAAAAAGAACATCATTTTGGCCCCATTCTGCGGTCAAATCGATTGCGAAACTAAAATCAAGAACGACAGTACGAGGCAAGTAATCAAGGATTAACGCTATCATTACGAATTAACGAGATAATTTTGCAGGGACGATAGCGATCAGGTTGAACCGGGTGCTCCTGCTATGGGGGCGAAGTCTTTGTGCATACCTTTGGAACAAACTATTCCTATAAAACCCGGCGACAAGTGCATTCATCCGGATTGTAAAAATAAACCTGTCAGTTACACTTTGTTCGGAAGGAGTTATTAAGAATAAACGTTTTCGTATTTTTTTGGAAGTCTGTACGTTTTTTCCCGTTTCTCCTTAATCCAAAAGTAGACGCAAAATCCTCCACTAAGCTTCTTAGAGTGTATAATTTTATATTGTATGTACTAATGTTAATTCGTGTTTGGGAAATTCAGGTACCCTATTCATAATCCTAATCTTATAATGCACATTTAATTATACCTAGGATTTTATATTTGCGTCACAGGAAATTCTAAAATTCAATCATACAACCCTTATCCCCGCCATCTCGAGTTCCCGGCCAATCACAATTGAATGTTTGCGATTGCGTTGTTTTGAAAAATCGGCTTTCTAGCATTTTAGGCATTGATATTTCTTCAGTTATTATTTTTCTACCGGTGAAGTTAAATTAGAATTGTGTCGTGTTACCATTACAATGGATCGTTCAATCAACAACTCGAAGGTTCGTATTTTTGTATTGAAATCTTAAAACATTTCATATAAACTTGTAAATTTATTTTAGATCAGAAATTCCCAAGATCACAAACCCATCAAGGTGCTTTTAGAAGTGATTTTGAACAGGAAAAAAGTACTGAACGACGGTAAGTTTGATTTTTGTATCACATACAGTGCATTGTTTAACTACTTAGGCTGTATTTATAAAAGTACACCCTTCTGTTTCAAAAAAGTAATTGCTTCAAGGAATATGTATAAAAAGTAGAAAAGGAAAAAAGGTTTTGCTTCGAGGACACTGCTGTTGCTTTAAAGCAAAAGGTTTTATTGTTTTAAAACCTTTGTATAAGATTTTAGAACCTTTTTCTCTTATTTTTTCCTCTACCTTTTACTTCAAAGTAAATGCTTCATTTTTATAAATATGGACTATTATATTCTCTTTTAGTTCCCGTTCGAATGACCGATTTAAACAGCACGTTAAACACCCTAAACTCGTCAGTGGATTCGGCAGAGCTATTGGAGGAATCCATTATTTCGAATCACAGAAACACGTCGATAAACAGCTCTATCTCGCGTAAACGCAAAACCTACGAGATAAAAATCAAATTAAACGTGTCGGACATCGACGATTTCAACGAAGATGCTGCTCCTGAAGAAGAAGCTGTAGCTGAAGAAGAACTCAAAGAAGCGGATTTGCTATCTAACGAGCGCATTCGTACCGAAGCAACTATGAAAAAGATATCCAGCACGGTCAGTTTAACCGTTAAAGACGATAAAGATGATGTTATCAGCTTCGACGTGAATCCGACGCAAGAGGATCCTTCGGCGTTTATACCCGATGTAAATGATTCTCACAATCAATCCTTCTGGAGTAAAATCTTCGATAAAATCAAGAGCAACGATCAGACGTCGCGCGACGAAAAACGGGTGGTTAAAATCATACACGATTTAATCACCGAGAAGTACAAACAAGCTCTGACTATTTTGAAATACCGTTTCGAAAGGAGAGAGAATCGCTCGAAGAAGCACAATAAAAATCCTCCCGAAGTGGAAGATAATAAATCCGTTCCAACAGCGCCGGTAGAAAATCGTGAAAACGAAAATCAACCGGCAGTCGAGGAGAAGCCGATTGTGCAGGAATATCCAGAAAACATAAGCATATTGGACGTTTCCAACGACAAACTCCTGGACTTCTCCAGGACTCGCGAGAACCCGTACAAATCCACCGGCGCCATTCCCAGAACAACCAGCCGCGATTCGCACGTAAAACCCAACGCGAGAAAGTGCGCTTCGGAGGATTTAATCTTATTGGAAACCTCCCACGAATTCCCATCGAAGAATACTGTCGATGACATCGTTCAATACGATTCCTCCAAATTTTTACAGGCTGCTCTAGGCGACTACGCCAACTCCAGTTTCGAATCTTTGGTAAGTTATTACACGATTTGTATGTAATAACGTTGATAATTTGGTATGTATTTCAGGATGCCCCGTACACGGACTCCCGCAATACCATGAAAACCGAGCAGAGCATCGGCAGCAGCAACGTGTCGGTGCTCCTCTCCGATTCCGAAGAGAAAAATCTGAACGCGCCGCTCTACAGCACCGTAAAAAAGTGCCCTAGTAAGAGGGAAAAGGGCCGGGTTTCCGCGAAGTACACGAAGACCAGCAACGATTACGGCTACGAGAGCTTCGACGATTTGGCCGCGAACGATTACGAAAGGAAATTGATGAACGACAACGTCAGACAGAACGAGATTATCCATCAGATATCTAAAGCAGTGCACGTGTGCAGGGCGCATTCGAGGTACTTCGGTCAGGAAATGCTGCTCGAAGCTGAGAAAGTTTTGTTGCTTGCTAGTAAGTAACGCTTTAAAGTCAACAAATAATGAATTTTAAACAATGTTTCTGTTTTTTTAGGCTTAAAACGTGCAGCGAATAACGAAGAACTGAAACGCTTGGATTACGAAGAAATCGAACACAGACAAGCGACGAGCGCGATCATCGTGAAAAACATCGAATTCTACGCGAAATTCGACTGGGTTCCCGATAAGAGTTTCAACCGCTATTACATCTGCGTCGTCCGACAAGGCGGTACTGTATTCGCCACGAACGTCCTGCTGCAACAGGACAAAACCATCGCCTTTCCCGAAAAGTTCAATTTCAAAGGACTATCTCCCGACTTCGAGATGTACATAAGCCTCTACGGTTTGGAGCTGAAGAACAGAAAGGACAAGGCAAGCCGATTTACTTCCTCTCTCATTAACTATAACTTATAATATTTATTTTTTTTATAGAAAGCGAAACTTCACAGCCAATTAAAGACGATACCGAGCACTCATTCGACAACGTCTTACTTCGTTTTGTGGGGAACAGCGTCGGTTAAACCGTGGGAATCGAATCAAACGATATTTACGTTGTCCAACGTGGCTCGAGAAGCTCCGATAAAGGATATTTTAAGAGCCAACATCGAAACGTATTTTACCATTCACGTGAAAGAAGCGGGATTCCTTACGCTGGGTTCCGATTACAAAGGCTTTCCGATTTGGAACAGGAGATGGTGTTCCCTAAACGGATCTCGTTTGAGGTAGAAATTCTTCATTTATAACATTCAATTTTATATAATAATTCACCTAATTTACAGCTACTGGAATTACCCGAAGGAAGAGGAGCATTGCTCACCGTTGGGCGAGCTGGACCTGCTGAAGTGCTTGAGTTACGACGTGGTGGCCGCCGATAAAGAAATTTGTCCTAATCCTCGAACTCTGGTGATCAACATGAAAACCCACGAAGAGGATAACACCTGCAGCAGTAGAAGGTACTTTTTGGCCGCCGATAACACAGCCGATTTTAAGAGGTGGGAGGACAGCTTGAACGTCGTGTTCAGCTATTTGAACAAATGGAAAAATTACGAATGTTTTTTGGATAATTAATTCATTTGTTTTATTGAATTTTGATGATATAATAGTAATTAAAGTAGTTTGTTGTTAATACAATGTTTCAGTTTCCTTGTTTGTCCAAAAAATTTGTTCGTTTATTTATGATAAAAAGAGAAAAATATCGGAATTAGATATCATTTCAAGGAAGTATAATCGAATTTTATTATTGATACAATGTTAAGTTTCCACATTTGTCAAAAAAAGTTCATTTATTTATCCATAAAGAGAAAAATATCAAAATTTGTCAGACCTCATTCCAAATGAATAAATTCGACTAACATTCATGAAATGTCCAATTTTGTATAATAAATGTTTCTCTATACTAAGAAATGCGCTCCAGTGATATCAGTATGAGTAGCCAAATGGGTTTTGAAACGATAACTTCGACTGAACGATTTCTGGCAAATACTGCACCAATGCTTCTTTTCGCCAGTATGAACAAACATGTGTTTGTTTAGATCGCTTTTGCGAGTGAATGGTTTCTCGCAAACGTTACACTTGTGGTTTTTCTCGCCCGTGTGAATAACCAAGTGGCTTTTTAAATGGCTGTTTTGAATGAACGATTTTTGGCAAACGCTGCATTGGTACTTCTTCTCGCCCGTGTGAACGGCCGAATGGGCCTTTATGCTGGTACTGGAAGTGAACGATTTCGGACACACGTTGCATTTGTATTTTTTCTCGCCTGTGTGAGTCAACGAATGCCGTTTTAAATCGCCGTTGTGAGTGAAGGATTTCTGGCAAATGTCGCACTGGTATTTTTTCTCGCCCGTGTGTACCAGCAGGTGTCTTTTCAGATCGCTTTTACGGGTGCAGGATTTCAGGCAAACGGTGCATTGGTATTTTTTTTCGCCCGCGTGGTTGGCCAAATGGCTTTTTAAATGGCTGTTTTGGTTGAATGATTTTTGGCAAATGTGGCATTTGTAATTTTTTTCGCCCGTATGAATGAACGCGTGTCTTTTTAAGTCGCTATTATGAGTGAAGGATTTCTGACAAATATTGCATTGATATTTCTTTTCGCCTGTGTGAATGGCTATGTGACTTTTTAGGTGGCTATTTTGAGTGAATGATTTTTGACAAGTGGTGCAGGTGTAGCGCTTTTTCGATAAATCACTTGTAGATGTGTCATTTGCTAACTGTTCAGAAGTTTCACTATTTTGTATGTTCACTAGTGTTCTATAATAAAAATGCATGTCTTCCTCTTCACGTTGAATGTTCGTAATTTCTTCATTGTTAGTATCGTTTTCCAATTCAACATCACACTCAATTGGATAACAAGAGGAATCGTCAGATCCTTCATCTAGTTCTTCTTTGACATTAATGAATTCAGGTTCTGCTAAGTTCATATCTGGGTTAGCATTATCTTCTTGTTTAATACTATTAGATATAAAGGATGTTTCATTTATTTCGCTACGACTATTTGTTACTTCTTTACTGTTAGTTGCATCCTCTTTGATTTCCTTTTTCACATCATTGAGGTAAGAAGACAAGTCGTTGTATTCTACTTTAATAAATCCAGTTTCATCCGTTTGTTCTGTTACTATACAATTATTAACATTCTTAGGACTCGATGAATCCCTTGGACTACTCATCTTTTGTGCTTTCCAGGAAAGTATTTACTTATAACTATGGATTGATCATTTCGAATAACAAACTTCTTGTTCCATAGCAATCCAAATTGTAGCAGGCTCATATCAAAGCTACAAAAAACTTGGTGATATCTATTGGTGTTCCTAAAGAAACAAATTTAAATCAATAACTCTTTAATTACGCTTGATTATTTTGTATTTACTTACAAAAGGATTTAGAGATAGAATAATTGTGGCAGAACATTTCATTGTTTTGTTTTGTAAAAAAAATTAACATTGGCAGTTGTTGACTGCTGACACTTTCTTCCTTTTTTACTAAAAAATTATTTATAATAGAAACGTTTTGTATAAGAGGCCATGTGTACTAGAAGAAGAAGATAGCAATGACGTTTGACGTTTGAAACAAGAAACTTCAAAAATAATTAAGGTCGTCACATCACGTCACTACGACTGCGATATTTTTGTTTCGATTAAAAAACTGCCAATTAAATTTCGAAAAAAATGCAACTTGTTGCTCAGTTAGTCAAGGAGTCAATTCCTAATTATTTATCCAGCCTGCCAATTCCTGACACTATAGGAGGATGGTTTAGGTTAGGCAGTAAGTATGATTTTTTTGTATATTCAAGGATTATTTATTACAATGTTTATCTCTTCTAAATGATTACCTAATTCTGCACTGAGGCAATTCTTTTGCGTTTTTAAGAAACTCGTGCGACATATAAATTAATTATTTGTGTACTTATGTACTTGATGTAATTTTTTAAGTATTTACGTACATTTTTATCACTTTAGTACCTGTATCTATAATTAAAATAATATCAATTAGACTTTGATTTATGTAAAGATTGCAATTATTCTAATTATTCAATTCTATTAATTCTAGTTCATTGTATTAACTTGGTTGTACTAATTTTTACTTGATTTCAGTTAAGGATTGGGCGGCTTTGATACCACCAACAGCCTTACTAGCTGGCGTAGGCTACATGTCTTACATGTCATTCTGCCCTAAGGCCTGGGAAGGATGTTGTCGTTCTAAAAAATCCGGTGCTATCAATCCTCAAATACTCAAGTCGAGCGATAAGGTGGTTGATTCCATCGACATAGAAGATATCTCCGAGAAAGCTGTGTTCTGTAGATGCTGGAGAAGCAAAAATGTAAGTACTTGTTTTTATTGGTGGAAATTGAAATAGTTTTTATTGTGGTGGGAATTTTTAAGTGGCCTTATTGCGATGGAAGCCACAATGCTCACAATAAATCCGAAGGGGACAATGTGGGACCTTTGATAGTCACTAAGAAAAAGTAAGTTATTCGATAATGGCATTCTTTATATGCCACGTGTAGTAAATATCCGAAATGTAAGTTTAAATTTTCTTTTTTTTTGTTAACGTGTTTAGACTTTATTGTAACTCTACTTTTAAGGGTTGTTTCAAGTATAATTAAATATTAACAGCCGACTTGTTTTATTTCTATTTTAAAATATATGTTCATACTTATTTAATACATTAGGTAGTTGTATTGTAATAAAACAAATCATTGAGATAAAAAAGTGATTTAATAAAAATGTTAATGACCAGGTACAATATAAAATTTCATACAATTTAGTAACAGAGTATTTAATTGAAAATGGAAATTAGAAAATAATTCATCTACATTTGGTATGTTAATAAAATAAGATTTTTTTAGTGCTTTGAAGTTTTGTCTAGTACTCAAAAAATTGAGCAATCCTATTTTTTTACTTTACTATCTACTTAATATACATTGTGATTAGATTTTGTCTACTTGGAAACTGTTAAATTACAGCTCCGAATCAGAACGAAAATCAAAACGATTTCATTACAACAATTAAAAAATAAATATATGGTACTATAAGTAATGCATTTAGACCCCGCCATTTTCTTCAAATTACATATTTACATTAATTTGTCATCTCCCCTGCAATGCATTTTTTTTCGATAATCATAAATAAAATAATGTAAAAAAGACTCAACAACAGAACAACAATCGTATATACAAAAACGCAATAATGAATAAAAAAATGGTCCCACATACACGAAGATCAATAAAAAAATCTATTGCGAATTGTGGCACATTTTCACAAACACACTTATAAATTAAATGTATTTTTTTTGTTCTTCGTGTTACTTTGACCTTACCCAGGATAGAAATCTCTTTAGGTACAATACAGAGTATCACAGAAAATACTGAAATTGAATAAAATATTCTTGTTCCTGCTCACTCCGTACGTACGATAAAATGCACAATGCAGGATTTATGATAATTACATTATTAGTTTATTATAAATCTATATTTGTTGCTTAAGTATCAATTGTTACATGATTGTTTTTGGCATCTAATTCGTATGATTGTTAAATAAAGTAAGATCAAATTAATTTTTAATAATAATTAATATTGAAGCAACAATTGTTCGTCTGATAGCAGCAACATTTTTTTAATTGTATTTCATATTTTCCTTCGGCGTTTCCTCCATAATAAAATTTGAAATTTATCCAAAATCCTGCGCTACCAGATAATTCTAATTAACTATACAACACCATCATAAGTTCAGTTTTTTCGTTATTTTAAGTGTTCAACATCTTTTTTGTCTTAAAGTTTGAAGATCACAGAACGCACAACAAATTGGCGCAGAAAGAATATTTTTTCTAAAATTACTGTACATAAGTAACTTTACAACCCTTTCCCTTTGCATACAAGTTGTGTCCCAAAATAGCAAGTTCATTTCCTAAGGGTTGTTTAATAATTTAAACGGTTTAAAGAGCTGCCTATGCTAGTATAAATAGAAAAAATGAAATAATGCCCAGTTTAACTGTTATCACTACTTTCATATCGTTATATATTTTAAATTACGAATAAAGTCGGAGTATTTAAAATTACTGAAAATAGGTAAACATCTATAAACCAGGAAATTATGTTTATTTTTTCTAAAAATAGAGCTTTAATTGGTAACTATATAAATTAGTTTCAATAGGAATGTTTAAATGTAGAAAAAAATCAGTTATTTGGGACACACTTCACATCAAAATAATCACTTTAAATCTTTACTGTACATATATTATCTCTCATCTGTTCAAATAAATTAATTAGTTAATTAGTAATTGTTTCTATATCAGTCGATTTTATAATAAAAGGTGATGTTAATGCACTGATTCTCGATAAAACGGATTCACACCCTTAATTGGCAGCGGATGAGCCTCCGTATTGAACACCCATTCATCTAGCGAGATCAAATTATCATCGGAGAAGAGGAGGTACAGATACTGAAATAAACATAAAAAATACAATCGTAATACAGTTTTAGCACTTCTATAGTCTGTGCAAAACAAATATCAATGCACGTCACTACTGTCGTCATACTTGCCAAGCATTATGACCAACTTTTGAAAATAAATACACAAAATGGGTTAAGCTTAATACCTGCAGAATTTAGTTTAATATTAACAAGGGATGATAGAAAATGTTAAAAAGCAAAATTAAATCACCCAAAAAATATATATTGTCAAAATTTAACGTTTGTATGTAAAATAATTATTATTTTCTTATAGTAGGTTGGTAGGCACTGACTGTCAAGTTGCACAGTTACCGTTGTCATTCGATCGGTACTTTTAGTTTCAATTTCTTCTCTTTTTCTAGTTTACTAGCCTTAACTACTAAAAACTATTTAGCCTAATAATCAAGAAATAAGAATTTTATGCGTTGTTATCTTTTCCACATGTTACAAATTACACAATTTGAGCTCAAAATAATTCAGATTCAGAAGTTTTCTCAGAAATTTCACTATGAACTCTTTTAAGGGTCAATTGTACACACAATTTTTTACTGGCATTGTTAAATATATTTCAGATGATAAAGGAATTTAATTAATTATAGTCAACCCCTGAATACGTCCGCAGTTTAGAAACGTGAAACAGGTACCCCTAATTTTCAATATGTTCTTGTCATTTTGCCATTTGACAATTTTAGAAAATTCATAGATCTTGTAAACTCTATAAAAGTTCGGCAACACTGCCTACTTGTGACGTAGTAAATTATAGGTGACATGCATTGATATTTGTTTTGCACCGACTATATCGAAACAAACATAGGGAATAGTTTACCTTCAAAGTTTCAGCGAGGAAGAAACTCTGTTGGACGTCGTCCTGTTGGGGCTCGTCAGCGTACACGTTCTTCAAGCCCGTGTACCCGCCGGGCACTCTGCAGTGTTTCTCTAGAGCTTGCACCGCCTCCCAGCCCCAATCTCTGTATTTGTTGTCTTTGGTCAATCTCCACATGTAGAAGTACGTTTCGATTACTTCGGGCCTTAGAATATAGTACTTCTCCGACGTCTTCAACGCCCTGGCCTCGGAGCCTTCGGTGAATCGGAACGATTCCGGGCCCAATTTCGTCGGCGTCCTGTCGTACGATTCGTGACAGGTGCGCGTTATCTCACCGGCTACTTTCATGTATTTACTGGAGACTTCATTGTTGAGGGTTTTTGAAGCTAATCCTAATAAGCCGCCTGTGAAATATACATTATTATAGCGCTAGTAAGGAGGTGAGAGTGTTGTAATTGTAATTACCAGAAAAACAGGCTAAGTGATCCATTTTGTGCTCCGGTCGGTCGAATTTCAATTCAGCGAAATACATCAGTCCGTTTTGAGAAGTCTTCAGCATGTGTTGGAAAATAGCCGCCATGGAATCGTCGAACATTTGCCTGGCTTCGTTATCTTCCTTGTTCGATTGCAACCAAGCCTTCAGCAAATACTCGTAAAAACTGTCGCCTAACGCTCCCACGGACATGTGATCTAAACGAAACGACAATCAATCATAACACGAACGTTCAACTCGCACGCCATATAGCTTACGTTGACCCCATTTTCCGCTTTTGGGGTTGAGGTAGTTCGGGTACAATCCGTTGGGTTTCTCCATGTCCTGCAGCACTTTCCGTACGTGATCGACTTTGTTCCGGTAAACCGATTTCCCGGTGACGTCGCTGAGGTAAGACATTTCCAGGTGGAGCGTACCGAATTCGGAGAGGATGCTCGAACTGCCGCTGGCCCAGCCGTAATTTTTGCTAGACTGGAAGAAATAGGCAATTACAACCGGCCAGTTCCCGACTTTATCTATCGCATTTAGATCGTAGTGAATGGTAGGTGTTTGCGGTATGCACTTACCCCGGTTTTGAAGTTGACGAGAGCGTTCGGTATGCCCGTGGGGGTGTCGAACGCCGGCAATAACTTATCGGCGATTAGTTGGGCCTTGTCACGGAAGACGGTATCGCCGGTGAGGGCGAAGCACGCCAACAGTCCGCCCACGAATCTGATGTTTACTTCGAACACGGACACGTCGGATACCTGCGAAAACACCCCGAAACGCTCAAGTTGATGCAAAAATATGCGAAAGGGGGCGGGTTTGCATCCCAATTGCTAGTATCTAATTCTTTTCGTATACAGTATGTTTTTGATAATCTGGTCATAACGTCACCAATGCAAATATTTTTTTACGAATTTGTATAATTTGTGTTTAATATATTTCATTAACGTATTATTTACATGAATGATAGAGATATATTGTTTATCAAATTATTATATACAGGGTGTTTTTTAATAACATGCTAATACTGAAAAGGTGGTGATTCTTGGATCCATTGTAAGAAAAAAACTTCATATGAACATATGTCCTAAACCTAAAATTTGTTATTGCCTAAATTCTGCACAGCGGCTAATGCAGGTAGCGTAGAAAAGAATGCATTTATTTTTTTATGCAAAAAGGTGAGTTGTACGAAAAAAAATCAAGAAATCAAATTTGTTCTAAATTGAATCAGTCCTCCAAAAGTAATTTTTATTTCAAAAGATAGCAGTGGTGTACCACTTTTGCCCTCAAAATTTTTTCAGGTCAAAAAATGCTCTTTAAAGGTGTATTCATACTATCATGCACTGAACGTTTCGGGCACGGAACGTATCGGTTCAGACAATCGTAAGACGCATTCATACTATCAGGCACTAAACACTTCGGACACGTAACATATCGGTTCATTTTGTAGTAGTCTTTCGAAGTTTTCGCCAGTTTTGCAAGTTCAATAGAGAGCAAACGTGAAAAGAAAAAATCGTGGCTAAATTATGGAACAAAAAAGAATTATTTGCTATTACACTACTTGATGAAGAAGAAAGTAATGACAAGAACCAACGAAAAAGACGCTTTAGTGTTCATAAAATGTTAAAAAATAGAAAAATAGAGGGAGAATTTTTCGCGAATTAATTCTAGGAGCTTTTTCAAATTCATTTTGGGTAAAACAAACACAAGAAATCTTGCTGCCTGATACAAAATAAGTAGCCGATTGCCGAATCCGAGCCGAATCGAAGCTGGATGCCAATTCATACTATGCGTTCAGACACGGACATGCACGGAGCGTTTCGGCAAAATATTGTCTCCAAGAATACGGAACGTAACGAAACGAAACCGAACGCATCGGATACGATTCGTGCCGTAAAGTATGAACAGAGCCATTAGACACCATATAAAAATATTATGCCGAACCGATACGTTACGTGCCCGAAACGTTCAGTGCATGATAGTATGAATACACCTTAATGCATAAACGCCGTACACCAAATTTCATAAAAATATTTAAATTGGTATGGAAATAACAGTAAAAAATTGATTTTTTTCTTAAACCCTACATCTCAAAAGTTAATACGTTTAGGACATAGGTTCATATGAAGTTTTTTTCTTAAAATGGGCCCAAGAATCACCCCCTTCAGTATTAGCATGTTATTTAAAAAACACCCTGCATATTCAAGTAGCATATTGATTCGGCCATCAACCGTATGAAATTAAATTACCAATACGGTTTTCGACGAATTTTTAACCGTCGTCGACAGATTGCGGTTGATCGATGAGAAAAATCTTTTTCGATCGTAATTCCATTCGAATTCCACTATGATTCGATCCATCAATTGAAGGCCGGTAGTTTGGTAAAAAAAATTAAAAATAACCAGTAGCGGTTCAAGGTCGAACGGAAGCATTCTACGTGTTGATACAAATGATAAATTAAAACCCTTCCCCTAAGTATTGGCCGTCGATAGGATAATGAAAATGAATAAAGATGTTTTGGTTTGTTTCGTATAAATTTGCATGAATATGCGTACGTTTCGAAATGCTCCAGAACTAGGCTAAAACCGCCACTGGTAACGACAAGTCACGCACGGTATTTACTACGGCTATTTTATTGATATATGATCTCATGCCGATACGAGAACTTCTCGAATACGCCAGTTATTCGATATATTTTTCCCTCTTTCATCTTCGTCGTCGTCCGTTTGTTTGCCCGATGGACATTGCGAATTCCTTTCGTTGAAAGCTAATGGAATTTCTAAAGTCCACAATGTACATTCCGAATTCCCCGAAGGCGACGCTTTTCCGGCGAAAATTAAGAAAGCGCATTCGTAAATGTACTCACCACTTGGTTGATGTCCAATTCGTTGGCCACCCAATCTCGGGCTTGCTTGAACTCCTCCTTCATGCCCATGATGTACAACGTGTCCAAACCGTCGAGGATGGTCGCTCCCAATGGCATCGAACCGAAAATGCTCCCGGAATGTCCTCGTTTGCTCACCGGCCTCAGTTCGTTCTTACCCCACGCGTATCGCACGTAGTTGTCCCAAGCGTGCTTCATCATCTGCAATACAAAAAAAAATCGCCATGCTAAAATTGCATTTCCTCTCATAAAGGCCGAATTTAGCTCGGAACTATTAGCGGTGTAAAAAAAAGAGAACCGTTTTAAAAATAACACGGCACCAGACGAGCGCTCTTTCTGTAGTTCGATCGTCTTTCGCCCAACTTTAATTAACTAAAACGTTAATCAACAAAAGTTTTTTAGAGTTCCGTGTTCGCGAAGAACTAAGTAAATAAGAAAACTCCGGACTGACTGAGAAGTTCCCACGAACAACACCAACTTAATAACGGACTTTTTTTGGGTAGAAAACAATCGAGTTAGGTGTAAAACAACGACAATTTACCTCTTTGATTTTGCTTCTCCTTTCTTCCCAATTGTCGGTTCCATTAACTTGAATATTGTACATTTTGCCAGGGCGATAATCGTCGGACGCGTCCCGTAAACTCAAAACCCTTCTATCGACTTTTAATTCCGGAGGTCCCGAATTATCCGGCAGACGGTACAGATACACTCCCGATACCATTAGTATTATAATAGGGATACTCAAGAAGAAACCCATGATTCTCAATTTCATCTTTTAATCGACAGAAAACCTGATAAATGTATATTTATTTGAAAATTTCGCTTAATTAAAGTTAATTTAAAGTTTGCGAATAATTAATTGCTGTTCATTCGATGAGTGCGTAAAGCGAAGTAGGTTTTAGTTGATTATAAAAGGCTATTTTTAGTAAAGTAATTCCTGCTATGAAAATTTACGCAATTAAGTGTACCTATCGACTAGCTGTAACTTTTATTTAAAATATCATCGAGATATTTCATATTTGACGCAAATAATATAAGATAATGATTAGATAAGAGTTTTAAATAGGTCAATTCAACTATATAAGCTTAGAAAAATTATACTTTAAATATTCCAAATAAAAACTGTTTCTGAACTAAACAACCTTAAATAACCACAAATTACGATAAGAAATTAATTATAAATCAATTCGGGTATAATAGTAGAAAAACATTCTCCAATAAAAAAATCAAAGCAAACCTACAATCAACCAATGAATAAACAAATTAAAAATTATTAATTACAGGACTAAGTACTAACAAACTTTCATTACACAATCCATTCACTAGCGTCCTCACAATTTTCGAACTGTAAACCGACTGACGCAAGAAAACGGGTACGGTACAGTACGGCGCGGTACCAATAACGAGCCGAGTAGGTGCTTCGATGAGAACTGATCGATGGACTCTCTTCTATCATGGAAACCCACCGACGTTCACAAAACAGCAAGCAGTTAGCAGAGTCTCAATCCGGCATTTAACGGATTTTTCGACTTGCACGGTTTACGGGGAACTCCACTTTTATCGAGATATTTTGACCGAAGCGGTGACGGTCAAGCTCGCCCGAACGACCGACGAGAACGATAGATAATCTGGTTTCGATTTAGATTGGTAAATGTTCTCAAGGATGCGCCGTTTTACGCGAATTTACCGAGAATCGGCTTTAATTAACGAAGGCCGGAGATTCTCAAACTGACTGGAGAATAGTCTGCTTGCATACCTACGCTCAAAAATTTTGTACATTTTATGATAGCCGAACTTTTTCGTTTTTTGGTAAATGCCAATATTGTAGAGTATTCTTTTAGTTTGATTTTTATTATGAAATATTGTTTAGTATGCGAATTAGATGTGTATAGGTAGATACTAATAAAACTATTTATCTCATGATCATATTTTTATATACCAATAGAAATCGAATAAAAATGATAAATATCTAAAGTATGTACATCTAAAGTATACTTTCGAGTATGCAGGACAGAGATTAATAAATTATCCTGAAATTTTTTTCCACCTTTGATAAATAAACTACAGAAAATTCAATAAATTAGCTCGTATGTCAGAATAAAAACAAATCCGAAACTTTTGTTACATTACAAAGATAGAGCATTTTTATTTCTCACGAGGTCAATTAATCATTTTATGTATAGGAGGTACTTGTATATCTACCGCTGTTTTGAACCGGGCGACATACATTACATCTAAAAATAACACTCTAGTAGATACAACATACGTAAAAAATTATATTTATTCAAGATTTAATAATTAATATCATACCTACAATGCGATTAAATAAGTAATTTGTACCTAATAAACGGTATTTTACGAGACAAGAGATAACAAAATAAACCTATTGAAATTGCAAAAAAAATATTTATACCTAACCAATCCAAGTTAAGATCGTGTATACTTTTATAATCTACGGTTTGCTTTTTTTACCGGACGAAATTTTCGCCATCACGAAATCCATCGGATATTAAAACCGCTTGTAATCAGACAGAGGGCAGACAACAAAAGCGGGAGGACGTGATAACCAACAATTAAAAAAAGAGGGCTAGGTAGTTGAAATTAGAACGGATAATCGGCGTACGTAGCAACGTGGAAAGTCACGAAGAGCACCTATCAATCTCGAAATCGCTAAATTAACAATCGATCACTCCGCTAACGAGATTCCCCCATAAACCGCCCCCTCTCTATACGGGGAATAATTACTGCAGCATTTAGGGTTTAATGGAATTATACCCTTTTTTAATTAACTGCCATAAAAATGTAGGTATACTCTCGGATGTTCAAGTACGAGTTAAATTATCCTGCATTCTACACATTTTGTTTCTCCTTGTATTATACTCGCTGCAAACCTAGTGCAATTTCCCGTGCTATGAACTCTCCTGAATTAGCACTGCGACTTTTTATCATTTTCTTGTGTTGGAGTTTCATCTCGTGCAGATCTGAGAGATAATGAATTTTGTTGGGAAAATGCAAGGTTCTTATTTTTAGTGTACTTTTCGTCGCTTTTTGATGTTCTTATTACAATGGGGTGGCGATATTATCCGAATTATTCGTTTCTGCAGGAAGCGAAGGCTTCAGTGCGCCTAAGGGTCGTTAGTACAATGAAATTTGCAGACGAGAAAGTGCAATCAAGAGGGATTTAGTTAGTCAGATAATGGTTGTTCATTGTATAAATTCGTGACGACTGCTTATCTAGCAATCGAACGAGACTAGCTAATTTAAAGTTCATTAAATGAGTTCTTTTCATTGTTCAAAATCCGCCACAAAATTGCCGGTTAACAGTGGAAAATCTGTTGATAGAGTGTCGATAGAACCCATTACACATCACCGAGTTCTTTAATCTTCACTCATATAAGTCGCCATTATCGGCCGTAAAAATAAAGGTTCCTTTATGATGGCCATTCGGCCGAAATATCAGATTTTATGGTTGCAGTCGACCATAAACTGCACAAGTAATGATCGGTTTAGGGCGTTAACCTTTCGCATTTATTTTATTATTTTTTTTTCCATATTGCGTATAAGAGAGAACCGTATGGGTATAGGTGAGGGGCACCCTTGTTTGTGTTTCGCGAAACGTGTTTCTCGGTTATTCGCGAACTTGCCTACTTCTTATTCATATAAACGTGAATAACAAATTATTTTTGATACAAGGAAAGATTTCTAAGAATATTTATGCCGAATGTGTTTTACGTTTCTTTCGTGGTGGAAAAAAAATGAATTTTTGTACCACAAAATATTCCACAATGTCGAGATGAAATTGCTTGCAGTATATAGTGAGGCGGATAATAGCTTTTTTTTTATTGTTTCCATACAAAATTAAAATTCCCCTCCCTTTTTTCGCAAACCATCGGTCGAGAAGCCGGAACAAATTCGTAATTACCATCGTACAAACAAATTTTAATATCCGGCGATGCTTCATTTATTAACGCATCGACTAGATTAAAAAAAACTATCCCAGTTCTGCGCTTCGCCAACAATGTTTGCTCGCTTCCCGGAGCCTAAATGGCTCGACCGAGGACAACTGGGAATAATACATAGATGTAGGATCCATGGTTGTTTGCCGGACTTCAATTGGATTCGCACCTCCCGTTGTGTTCATTTGAACAACGACTATAGTTCAATTCCGAAACGGTGCTATGCGGCGTAAATTAGGTGCTCATATGCACGTCTTTTTACTGCTTTGGATCGTGAATTATGCATGTCTTAATCAGACGAGGGATTCAGAGACCTATTAGCGAGCTTTAGGTTAATCACTATGATTTATCGTTTAAGTTGTAATCTGTAGGTTATCGATTAAATGGGTTATTATGCTTTTAGATGATTGAATAAGTAGTGATTTTATTATAAAGGTCTTTTTAGCATACAGTTTTTATTATTTCCTACATATGTCATCCTTGCTTTCCACCTACTCTACAATGAATGAAATAATTTAGAAACGTATAGGTAACTATATTATTTTATTTGGATATTATCAAAGTGTAAAAGGATTATGAGATCATATGTGTTAAAACACGGAAATCTATGATACATAGACCTTTGAAAATTAGATTTACGAGCAATCAAAAGATTATCGAATAAACATTTTACTTGAAGAAACATCTGCTATTTACATACACCTACAACGCATTATGTAATATACGATTATTTAGATAGTCGCTTTAACTTTCCACTAAAATAATGATTCTGCCAACAGAGTAGGTATATAAAATCATTAGGAAGGCATGACAAATCATAATAAGTAGCAAATTCTAAGATAAAAGGGAATATTTATTAGCCTTCTTTATTCATTTCTGATTAATAAAATTTGTCAATAATGAATTCATGATGAATAATTTCTTGAAATGTGTTATGCCGTACCATTTCCATTCGGAGATAATTGAAGATAAAATTCTAAAGATATATGTGGAATAGTCATCGGAATTCCTTTTTGTAAAATTTTTCTTAAGGCAAATTTACCACAAATTTCCGCTGTATAAAAAGTGAAACATTACTATGTTGAAATAAAAAGAGGGATTCACCAGTAAACAAATATCTAACACAATGCGCATAAATTACATTATTTTTAATTAGATATCGCCGACATTAAAACAATATTATGCCAGGTTCTCTCAACAATGGCAAACCCACAAACAAGGGTACTCGAAAAATTATCATTAGATTTCGCTCCAACCGTGACTTCGTTTAAATTAATTTGAATATATGCGTTGCCGAAAATTTAATTAAAATTCCGTTAGAGATGAAGTACCTACTACTAAATTTGACGAGAGCTTACAAGCGCAGGAGAAATTTATGAAATAACAATTAAACGAAGAAGATGAATAGGGCGAATTAACAAATCTACAGGAGACGATTTTCAATAACTTCATATTTCCTGTTAAATCCTTGAATACGTCAAAATATGTATGTTTGTTTACTTCAACTACATCAACAATAAATATGTTGTTTTTATGAAAAAAAATGTGGTGAAATTTAAACGTTCTAAACAATCAACCTCAATCGCACTGCAAAATTGTGGCTTTAATATTATTTTGTTTATTGTACTTAACCTCAAATACCATTGGCGTAAAAAATACACTTCTGTATTCCTAAAAAAATAATGCCCATAAGCATTATCACCCGCATCCCACGCCATTGTGTCCAAGCTATTTCCTTATATAAGACCAATATTAATAAAAAAAATCCATATTTTTGTTTGACTTGTTGTAAACAACGACAACATGCGCTCCTCGAAACCCACCAAGGCACATCACGATGAAAGAGATGCAGCAGCCGAGCAACTCACCAATTGGTACAACCAAATGAAGGTATAAAATTTTAAATATATCCCTTTCCTGCAAGAAAAATTGCCAATAACATCGGGTTTTTAAGGACAAAATCGGCTACTCCACCAACAACGCGGGTATACAGTTAATAAACAAAGACGCGAGTCTGACGGCAGGAAAATACGGCCCCATTGTTCTGCGCGACTTCGAATTGATTCAACAACTCCAGTCTTTCGATAGAGAGAGGATCCCCGAGAGGGTGGTGCACGCCAAAGGGGCCGGCGCGTTTGGTTACTTTGAGGTAAATAAATTTTTTTCTATCTCCAATCGAGCTACAATAATATAATTTAATGTACGCTGAATACGCAGTTCAATAATAAGATTATTATTAGGACTTAACGACGATTTTTGTAAACAAGCAGGAATTATTAATAAAAGCTTTGTATTTGGGTTTATTAATAACAGTTTTGATTTAATCTAATTTTACAGTGCACCAGCCAAACCATAAGCAAACTGACCGTGTCTAAAGTATTCGAAAAAGTTGGCAAGCGAACAGATATCGCCGTAAGATTTTCACAAGTGGCTGGAAGTTTGGGTTCGGCCGACACCGTCAGGGATCCCAGAGGTTAGTATAGAGTCCTACGGAATTTTGATACATTTTCGTGTTTAATAAAAATAAAAGTTGAATCTAGGACTCAATCAAAGATGTAATACCAATGTTTGTAGGTTTCTCGATAAAGTTTTACACAGAAGAGGGAAACTGGGACCTGGTGGGCAACAACACGCCTATATTTTTCATGCGGGATCCCATTCATTTTCCCATGTTCATTCACTCGCAGAAAAAGAACCCCGTCACGAATTTGCGCGACTGGGACATGTTTTGGGACTTTTTAGTCAAACGACCAGAAGCCGTGCACCAATTCATGATCCTCTTCTCTGACAGAGGTTTACCGGACGGGCATAGACACCAGCACGGATACGGTTCCCACACGTTTTCTCTAATCGGAGAAAACAGGAAATTGACTTGGGTGAAATTCATTTACAAAACCGATCAAGGTAACAAAAAAAATAAAATTCCATGCCAACGATGATAAATTTTTTAAACGGTTAGATAAACAAAAATAATAAACTCTACACAATAACGTAGATAAGAAACGGCATTTAAAATAACATTTGTGGTAATTACGTTTACATCTTATTAACAAAAAAAAATTCCACAAATTACCTTAATTTGACCATAATGACGGTTAACGTTACAGGAATAAGAAACCTGGATCCGAAAGAGGCGGACATCCTGGCCGGTCAGGATCCGGACTACGCCTTGCGCGACCTGTACGACGCGATAGAACAAGGAAAAACGACGGGAAAATACCCGTCCTGGACGTTCTACATTCAAACAATGACTCCTGAGCAAGCCAAGACGCAGACTTTCAATCCATTCGACATAACCAAAGTCTGGCCGCACGACAAATTCCCGTTACAGCCCGTTGGAAAATTCGTTCTCAACAGAAATCCATCGAACTATTTCGCCGATATCGAACAGCTGGCTTTCAGCCCCAGTAATTTTACACCCGGTAAATATTTTCCGAATTTTCCGGTAAACAATTTTATCTAACGGAAATTCGTATCCCTTTCCGCCTTATTTGGCATGAAAATGAAATGGTTTTGTTTTTAAAGGTTTCGGTCCTTCGCCGGATAGGCTTCTGCAAGGAAGACTCTTCAGCTATCCCGACACCCATTTGTATCGTTTAGGAGCGAATTACCAGCAATTACCGGTCAATCGTCCTACAACGACTGTAAGTGAACTCGTTTTATAAAAAAAATCGTTATAACACTCGGTCGACATGAACATGAAACTTAATTTGACTTTTTATTCTAAATTACTAAACAATTGCTCATAAAATTTACGATTTTCTTTAATTACAGTAGTTGCATATGTATTAACAAGTCGTGTTTATCAATTTCTAATAATAGGTGACTCTAAATAAAATCCAAGTTTCAAGGCTCTCAATAATTAACATGCTATGAGCTAATTATGTGTTTCATGTAAAATATCTAACATTTTTAGAATCAGCAATTAAGGCAAACGAATAATAACAAGTTATTGTATTCCAAGGGATTATGTATTTAAAAAAAATCAATATTTTCCAGGTGTCCAATTTCCAGCGAGACGGTGAATCGGTGCTCTACAATCAAAACGGCGCCCCCAATTACCACCCCAACAGCTTCGGCGGGCCGGATGTGAACCCGTTGGCCAAGAGTTGGACCAATCCTCCGGAGGACGTCAATGCCCAAGTGGATTATTACGATCTCGTCGACGACGACAACTACACGCAGCCGAAGCAGTTTTGGAACAAAGTCTTGGACGCCTCGGCCAAAAACCGGCTCGTCGAAAACATCGCCGGCGCCCTCTCTAAAGCCAGGACGGACATACAGAAAGCGACGGTGGAAGTGTTCAAAAACGTCGACGAAACTCTGGGCCAGAGATTGGGTCAAAAATTATCGACTTTACAAGTCCATTTGTAAAACACCGTTTCAAAACCAATAAAACTTCAATAGATGAAAAACATGTGATACGATTTCGTAATTCTTTCCTCGGTCAAAGTTTAAGATTAAAGGTTATCAAAGAAGAAAACGAAATTAGACAAATTTTTAAACGCTCAATGAAGTTTACTTGGAAATAAAGTTGTTAGAAATATTCCACGACGTCATACCGCTAAGTTAGCGTGAACAAACCGTAGATTAAGAATGGCTTTCTAATGTCTTTCTTCGCTCTGTGCGGCCGAATCGTTCGGAATGCCGAAGAACAAAATGGACTTTGTGCGAGTTTAAAAAGGATACGCGAAATGCAAATCAACCGGTTCATCGCCTTTTCCGTCGACCATTCTCACGTGAAAATTTCGTGCGATCCGCCGTCTTTCGAACTCACTTAGCTAACTCGCGGAATAGCGACCAAACCAAAAGGTAAATTTACCGAGCAGAACAATAATAAACGAAGAAAGAGGAAAACTAGTTTTAATAAGTCACAAAGCGAGTACCATAAAGGCTGCATGTGTGTTCTCGCGAAATGGAAGTCGACTATTACGAATTTCTGAGAACAAATTTAATGCGTTATTGTTTGAATTTTTCTTCCTTACTCATCTTATTTAACGAATGTAGGTACATAAAATCTTTTGGAAGTACGAAAATCAGAAAAACTGCTTTAGAACAAGCATATATACAAAAATTAATAAGCACCAAATAAAAAAAAATTAAAAAATACCCGATCACTATACAATGATATGAGCCTTATTTACGGCCCCCGGGGCTGTTTTGTTCATCGTTATCTGTTGCATTTCCTTTATTGGCCGAACATTTGCACTCCGATATCATCTTAATGGTTGGTTACGGTCATCGCGAAAATTTATTTATTTTTTATTATTTTACTGCATCGGTATTTTTTTATCTTCTCATCTCTCGGACCATTGCATAGCAACCGTTTATTAAAAAGAAAAAAATAGCCAGCCAGAGTGAATATTTTTGCGAATATAAGAATCAAAGGTCGTCAGGAAGTGGTATAATTCATTTATTAAGCATTATGCGGTAGCATCTGTGTATTATATAAAATTACTGGAAAATTGACAGTTTTACTGGTAATAACAAACATTTAAAATGTATGCGTATACTTTTAACAAACTCTAATAGTAGTTTGCTAAATTCCTCAATTTTTTCCATTTACAGTTAAAATGCCAGTCGTTTCGCTATTGCTTCTATTAAAGTGAAAGTTTCAATTCGTCCAATGATTATTATTTAAGTGCGGGTCAGTGATGCCTTAACGAAAAAAGAAAACCGTGAACTAGAACACAACTTTTAGAAACGTGCACGCAATTGTGATGAATATAAAAAAGAAGTAATTTCGATTGTTATACAAAAGCTTTTCCAAGTATGCAATGCAATATGATAGGTTTCAATCAGTAGGAAGATAAAATTACATAAATAACAGCGCATCACAAACAATTTATTTAATAATCGCACAATTACGTATAATATACGCAGTTAATTGCAACTGCACTATACTAAATTATGAAATGCATATTTTAACCGGCGAATGTATCGTTTATCTCGAAAAAAGTCGCCGTTAATCTCGATGCCCGAGTGAATGAGATACCGCAAGCGTCCCCGCTAATTTGAATATCTTTTTTCTTTGCAGTGCCAACGAAGGTACATAAACGCTTTATCAACAATCGAGGCACTCCTTTTTCGGACAAAAAGGCTTCTTTGTTTCGAAATAATATATTCCAAAAATCCCGAAGCTCGATTAAGATGCACATATGCAGGACCGGATCAAAATTTACATTAAAATCATTGAAGCAATAATGAATAAAAAACTAATACAATGATGTATAAAGAGATTTTAATAATTGGACAAGATGCCCATTTAATAATAATTAAGCTAATGGAAACCTTATAAAATAAAAAGCTTTCACAACGCAATTTTAAATTTTAATCTTGAACCATTTCCTCCTATTAAAATACCAAAACTATTGTTAAATAGCAATTTGTTCTTTTCGATCGTTCATTAATTTCATTACACAGGATGTTCCATTCACGTGGAATGATTAGTAACGTAACATGCCAATCAACATTTTTAGGTAGCAACTGGAAAAGAAGCATACAAAACGAGAAACTAATGTTCACCTGCAAATTACTTGCAAGGCTGAAAGCAGGTAAAGTCTCTTAAATAACCCACCATAAAATCGAGCGACATGTAGAAACGAAGTAAAAAACATCTAAACTCCTGATGCAAATCGTTAACAGATAAAATCGTTTCCGTACAAGTCGAGCTGTCCTGTGCAGTTAATTTTTTTTAATTCCATCAAAAAGGAAAAACTGCAGAAGAACGTTTGGACGTTGCTCTTCGTTCACGTGGAACATGACACAAGCATCCGAGAGGTCGGGTCGAGAATTTTGCATTGTTAACTTCACAATTACTGTAACGTGTTTCGGTATTTCACAGATGGAAGAGCCGTCGTTGTTTTATTTCTTTTTGCAGCTTAAACTGCGCGCCTGCATGGAGTTAACAACGGCCAAACTGTGCAAACTTACTTAAGCAATCAAATGGTTTTTATTTATTATATCATCAGCTACACATAATCTACATTATTATTATCTGTGAATGTATTTATTATGTACTTAAATTTACTAGATAACGAAGTTCCCAATCAAGTTAAATACACTTAATCCATACAGATATACTTTTATCAAATAATCTACATAACTTTATTTGATGATTATTTTATAGGGTCTTTTTTTCTTATTAAAATGGTATCGCTTGGCAGTTGGCACAGGGTGTATTCCAAATCCCGGCTCTAATTCGGACGCCCGGGAATTCTGCGGTGTAGGAGAGGAACTCCGGCGAGGTCACGATTCTCTATGGGTCTTGGTCTTGGCTCTTGCACGTTCCGCGGCGGTCCGAGCGGTCACCGCTTTCTTGGCTAGCATAGGTCACGAAAAGGTGGACGGAAACCGATCGGTTCATTTTTCTCTCTTGAATCTAACGAGCTTCGATAGTTTTTTTTATTCGGTTAATCCCATGAATGTCGCTCCAATTAAAATATTTTCCCACAGACGCGGTTATGCAAAGCTGGCGCAACTCTATGACGAAAGAAGTCGGGTTGGTATTGAAATATGTGTATGATAAATTCACAAGAGGGACAGGGAAGTTGAAAAAGAGAAGCGATATTAAAAACTGCCCAACCTTAATTAATTTTTTAATGGTAGAACGTTATAATACTGCAGTAAAATCCATATTTGATAGGTGTACATAGGTACATCAACAACCATTCACTCCCACAACGCTTTTCTATTCAATAATTCAATGACCCTTTAAAATAAACACGAAGGACGGGTAATGGCAAATACATATTTAAACGAGTATCGTCTCCATCATAAAAGAACGTGGAAATAGAAGAAAATCTGTCGATCATTAAAGAGAAGAGAGATTGAAAGTGAAATTGTGATATGAATGCATTTCAAGGATAGTAGGAATAATAAATATTTCTATGAAAAATGAGCACTTCAATAACAACATTATTAAACTGCACGATAACGGGTAGCCAACATTTAATTTTTAAATATTAATATAAAAGTGGATCATTATTTTTAAAAGATTGCATAGTAATGTATAATGAACAATGGTAAGTGTCATTGAAAAACTAATAATAACTGTTAGAATTATCACGAAACTATACTAATGAATACATTCCGTCATCGTAAATGAATTTATTCATTAATGATAAATAAACCCACTGATTGGATTTTGTTGAATACAAGAGCACACTGTAAAGAAATTACAATGTTGACGTGGATTAATGAAGAACGGCTATTAATAAATTGAAATATCTCGCGAAAATAGTTCAATTAAATTTTCTTTGGTTCTGTTGCATTCTGTTTATTTATATTTAAACGGACAATTTCGGCACGTGACGGTTCAAAATTGGATTTCAATTTTACAATAATAATTTCTACACAGGTGCACACAAAATCACAGTAAATTCGATCATAAATCATATAGTTTTAATGTCATGATAGAATCAGTTCGGTTATAAAGCAGGAACTGATATATAAAATGATAAATAAAATTGCGCTAGATAATTCAAAAATCATTGACAATCAAAAACAATTTCGAGATAATTATTTGATATTATTTAATAACTAGAATGAATAAAACTCTTTCCAATAAAATCGTACATTATAGGTTTTACGTACCTATAATAAGAGTATTTTTACGCTGCAACAATTAGAAAATATATTAAATACACCGGAAAAACTGAAAACCGGAACGGAAAAGTGCACTCTTCTGCACGCTACACGACATACAGCCGTTATTACAATTTTCAGTGTATGTTAACTAAAAATACTATCACTTTGCGAGATTCTGTGAATCACAGTTAGTTAAGCGGTTCGTTTATTCATATAATTTATTGTGGTAATTGAACGGGTATTGTCATTGCGCTACAGAGAGGAAGCGTTGAGATGCAAACACACATTCCGGTGGGAAAATGATGCTCGTCTGTATGCTAATGTACCAATGATAACAGATGATAAAATTAGCAGGAATAACAAGAGATATCCACTACAGGTACACACGAAAATAACGGCACAAAGCGTCAAGTAAATAAAAGGCATAATGCTTAAAAATTTTCCATTTCCAACAGCTGTGCTATAGAGTATACCCCAATATCATAAAGTTCATAATGAACTGTAATAAGCCATCAAATTAGCAACAATAGAATCACTAATTACTGCAATTATACCTTCAGTTTGCATTATTAACTGCGTAAAACAATGAAAAGCCGCCTCTTCAAATTGCCTTCATACAAAACGGCATTCAATTAATTTTCAAACGGATAATAAATACGACTTAAAACCCGTCAACCGAAAGAAAACATACAAATTCTTTAATCCTCGATCCGTAAGATAAACGTGAAAGTTTGAGGGTCAAGGGGAATTCTCTGATATTTAATTCCTCGAGTTTCATGGAAAATTTTTATATCCCGTTCAGGGATATTTCTTTTCTTTCATTCCAAACCTTTTTTCGTTTGGTATAAATTTTTAATTATAGAACAATTTTGTCGCTTCCTGTTAGATGTAGATAATTAAAAAAATATTTTTTATTCGTTTTCTATATCGGTTTTTCGCTAATTACATTGACGATAACGCAACTACGATACTTTTTATCATACGAAACTAAAAATTAAGTACCCCACGAGGCTCGGAAAATATGTTGGTAATTTATCATATATGGAATAAATTTAAATTTAATATAATTGTAGACTAACGAACAATTAATATGAATACGCAATGTTTCTATTCTACTACTACTACTACTACTACAACTAATTTAAATCTTGTACAAGGTCGATTTGCCACTTTATATAATAAAGATTTATTTATTTCATGACTGACGTGCTTTATTTTCTGCTTATAAAGAGTGCAATGTTCATAATTAGAGTTAATTTTTACTGTACAATATTTCAATTGTATTTCAGGTTCTTTTAAAAACTATAATACTTACCTATTGGAAACAATAACAAAGAAAAAGAAGTAGAGGTCTGTCACCATCATTTACAACCCTTTTCTGGAAGTATTTATTGTATAAACAGTAGCTAACGAATCATGACCAGCAATGCGGTAATTATCAATAACAATAGTCAACAATAATGACAATAAATTTCATTCAGTAATTCAATACCCCATAAAGTATTATACCATAACAATGTCCCTATTAAAAAGTAGGTAGGTACATGTGTGTACTTAATAAAGTAATAAATATGTATACTATAATAATAAGTAACGTACTATAAATCTGAACTCGATTCGATTTGTATAGTCATTTTTCTAATCTTTAATAGATAATATGAAAAAATAAACCTTCATTATATAAATTATTATCTAAAATATAATGAAAAATAATTGCTTACCTCTTTGACTTTATCTCTACGTTCCCTGGCTAAGGCAGTATCATCTTCGCCCCCGGAAATTAAAGGATAACTACCGCTGAACGATGGGGGTACGGTGACGGCGTCTTTAAAGTCTTCAACACCCTTTATCGGCTCGAAAAGGTCCTTTTTCGTCGTCGAAGACGTTTTAGGCTTACCGATATCGGGTCGTTCTAGCACTTTTAATTCATTGTCCTGCTCGATTTTGGCTTTGAGCTTGGCCCTGTCTCCTACGAGGTGAGGATCTACCTTGAAGTCCTCCTCGTGCCTCAGCAGTTTAGGCGCCTCCTTGACGTCGTCTATCGGAGGCGGCGGGATGAGGAGCTCCGGGCCAGCTCTCTTTATCGAATCGTACACTTTGTAAACACTCTCGGCCGTGCCGCCAGTCCTTAATTCGGGCAGGAAAAATATCGTACCGAAACATACTAAACTGAACGTGACGATCACTAGGAATACTACGTATTTTTCCCTAGGCCTGAAGGACCGCCTGGAAAACGGCACGGGGACACCGTTCACGAACCGCTGATATGTTGGTAGGATTCCCGTCACCGTCATTGTTTATATTTTACGCTAACGTACGATGTGCCGTAGGATGGAATTTCGCTAACGTTCGCCGTGACACGCCATTAACTGATTCACTGACAGCTGCTCGCAGATTTCTGCTTCGTGAGGAGCCCAACACACCAGCACAGGTGAAATTACAAAAACAACTTTTGACGTTCCTGGTGCAGCCATTTTTTCATACAACGAGTGACATCTGATAAACTGTCATTGGAAGTCGTTCTGTCGGTAAAGAAGGAAACTGTATGTCAAATATACTACACATACTAAGATTTTACTGAATCGGTTTAAAAAAATTTAGAATAAGCTTCATTTATGTTTTTAATACGAAAAGGAGTCAATTTAGAGAGTTGATAATTATTGTAATTTCATTTTTATGTTACGAAAACATTTCTTCTTTAAGCCATCTGTTGAAGTGATAGAGAACTCAATAACAATCATTTTTGTGCTGTTTAGTTTCTTTGCGTTCTGTGTTCAATGGAGTGCTGTATTTCTACAAGATGGCGCAAATGGAAATAAATGTGGGTTGCATAGTTTAAAGGCAAATGAAAAATAAAAGAAATCAAAAATTCAAAATTCTCAAGAGTACGAATAAGTGGTAAGTACTTCCGCTAATCAAATTTAGGTAAATTATATAACCAAGAAATTCAATTTTATAATGCATAATATATGGCCGGTATTTTATTTTAAAAACTATTCCATTAGATACATCTTGTTAGACAATAATTGTTAATTTCAAGAGGCTTTTGATTTTATTGGTTGCTTAAATACTATCAAATTTCTAAATATTTATTTAAAGAATAAATTGCAGATAAATTTAAAAATGACGGTCCAATCTGGTCTATCGGTGCAACAAAGACAACTTCCATTAGTCTCATTTAAAGGAAAAACAAAGAGTGATATTATGAGATTGCAACTTACTTACTATAACCACTGTTATTTTAATATTTTTTATCTGTTCAAATTGTTACCTATATAAAATTGACCATATTGCAAACAAATTACCACGCATACCTAATGCCTAGTCCAAAACAAGTAGACAAAAAGTGAACACGATTTTGAATGTCAGTCTTTTTTAACCATTTGACCATTTCCACCAAGAATTTGTTAAAGATTTTTTTGCTGTGGCAGTCAGTATTTTTATCAAATCTCCTTTAATGCATCAGCTTTTCTTATGTTTTTTTTGTACTCTTTATTTTTAGGGTACTTTTATTTTTAGGGTTCCATAATATTAGACGCTCTCTGTACAATTCCAGTAATTTGCATGTATTTTCAAAGTTTCACTTTCAGTTTCCACTCGAAATAGGACTTCAAAAGTTTGGAAACAATTGTCTCTAAACATCAATATTTCTGTCTTGTCGTTGTTTTGTCCGTTTGTTCTGTACCTGGTATACCTAAGTATACATAATGTATAGTCCTATAGCTTTAATAAAAGCCTATTAAAGTCCTAATACAGTTGTGCTATAGATAAGTACAGTTGACAATTAATTAATTGGGTAACCATTTTGAAATATCTGTACATTGGTCACGCTTTAAATACGTCGCCTGTTTATAATTTTGTGTCGTGTGTCTGGTCACGATTTTTTCAGAAACGGACATAAAACATAACCAGCAGTTAACAGTTTCGCTGGTTCTGGTCATAAAACCAAATGTGGTTCATTGCAATATTGCCACATCGAGCGTTTTTTTTATAAAGCAAAATTATACAGTGTGGTAGTTTTTCGGTATACTAAAACAGTATACATTATGCCTGAAAACTAAATACCTATTATTATAATTTTAGTTTCTTGTGCCCATAATCTCCATGTCTGAATTTATCTTCTTTAATCCACCTACCTATCACCTTCATCTCTTTTAATTTGTTACTTCATCATACATGTAGATACACAGCGAGCACCAAAAGTTGCTATATTTTTTCAATTAAGTCGCTAGAAATCCAATTAACCGATTGGAAGGAACGGTATCAATCGAATATGTTGATAGAAACTAATTACAAGGAAAAAAATATGGTCGAGAGCACGGGAGATAAATCATACCTATAGAAAGCTTACGTGGAACCCGAACAAAGGAACGCCTATTTCAATTCTCGATATACATCAGCATCACATATGCGGGTGTATAGTACCAGTGGAAAGATTTACGATCCAGCTACCTGGCTAGTGGACCGAGTCTACTCTCGCAACGTTGTCGAGTTCAAATTTTTATTTAGAATTTGAATACTCAGAATAATACCTACTCAAAATTGCTCTATTGATATGCATTAGTTTGATAATTTTATTGCGAAAATATGACAGTTTGTTTCGCCTCTATACACAACTATCTTCAGGTTTACAGTTACTATACCTATAGGATCATTAGTTTGATTTGCTACGCCTTAGATGATACTGTGTTCATCTAAATATAGTTTTTTTTATTATAAAAAAATTCACTGAGCGCTGAAATTTTACCGCGTTGTAGCCAAATGAAATACAGTGACTAAATAACTGTACGACTTCTGATTCGGTACCTCTACGCTTTCTTAACTCACGTTCCTCGATCCTCGAGCGAGAGGTAGAAGGATCACGCTATACGCCTTCAAGTTACGTTCTAGTCGGTTGGTTAATGTAGGTGCACCGACGACGCTTCTTGAATTCACTTTGTTTACATCTTTCGTTCGCCGGCTTTTGGGCATTTCGAGAGAGTGCCATCCGGGGATTTTCAAGAATCATGACTTTTCCGCTTGTTTTTTAGTGACGACTTTTACTTGGCGCGTTTTCGGACAGTTTTCGGCCGAAATTTTCGAACATTCGGATGGTTTTTGTCAGTGATTGTGAGCTTTTTGATTTTTGGATTATCTGAATTGAATGTAAGTGAATTTAATCGAGGGTTTTTAATACGCATTACGGTGGAATTAGTTAATAGATTTATCGATTTTTCATAACTGAAATAATTCTTATCTTTATTGAATTTTTCATTACTCAATATACAACAAATTTTTCATTTTTACTAATAAAACATAATGACACATTACCTACGTAGAAGATAACACCATACCATAGATTAATTTATATCAATTTGGGCAATTTCAATGCGAGGTACTGAACGAAGCAAATAAATAAGCAGAAGAATAAGAATGTGTGCTCTTCAGATAATTTTTATAGACTTTATAATAGCTGTATAGCAGTTGTTTAAAAAATACCAACAGATTTATCTATCGAAAACTACAATGGAACAATAACATCAAAATGCCTACTTCATTAATATCTAGCTATTTCTCCATTATCCACAGTTCATTGTTTATTTTTTATGAAAAAAAGGAAATCATCATTTTTGCTGCAAAGTTAATAAAACTAAAACCAACAGGTCAACACACCTTGCTCTTGTCGAGTTCGCAAACAAGCAACGGTTTATAACAAATCCTTATTGTTTTGCTCAATTTACAATTTTCCCAGTAACTTAATTTACCGTGCGTATGCGTAAATACTCACTACACACTGCACGTACCTATATTAAAAACTAATTGTTAAATTATTTAAAAACTCCCATGTACCTACTAGAAACTAGACATCGTAACTATATGATTGAATATCATGCTGAACATTTTGCAAACACTTCTGAAGTTATTTATTAGTACCTAGGTACTTTCGGTTACTTCACTTGCTCTTTTCTAATTATCATCTACAGTTATCTACATATTAACATTATTCAAAAAATAACGCTTCTGTTTCCTTTCTATCCATTGAAATTTTCGAGTGGCACGTCAAGTTGGACGTCTTGAGTGTGTCACGTAGTTTTCGTATTTCGGACAGCCGGCCAATCAAGAAAGAAATCTACTTATGGCCGCGATGGAAAGGAGAACGGATGTAGAAACTTTACGTAAACGCGATATATGTACTTAAAAGTCGAGCTGCTAATAGATTAGCTAAATCCGAGCGCCGCTTTGATCTCCCTCGAATTCGTGACTTCCATGTATGTGACATGTCTACATTAAATAATGTCTTGAGAATTACTCGTTAACAGAAAAAAACGAGGTGCAATTCAAATTAACCTATTGTAGTTTATTTAGCAAATTTTTATCAATGCATAATATTGATTCATTCGAATAAATTCTGATAAGATAATCCACAAGAATGATTTTGCTTACGTGCAATCTCCACCGAATTTAACGTGGGAAATTAGATGTAGCATTCCAGTTAATATTTATGTAACTCTAAATCACCGATTGTGTTATTATTTTGCAATCAGCTAATTACAACATATGATTTTTTAAGAATAAAATATAACACAAGATTTTTTTGGGATTGTGAAATTTCGTTATTAATGTAGGAAGGTCGATTTTATTATAGTGAAAGTATTTTTTTCGTTTACGGAATTGATTTATTTTAACATCATTGCACACGCTGAAGAAAATATACAATAATCGTTATTATAAATAATTAGTAATTGCAGCCTAATCATTTAAACATTTATGCGGAATATGCGATCCCAAAAATCCTTGCGATTTCAATGCTGCCGGTGAAAGGACAATTATGGTATAAAACAATTATTTTTTTTAATCGTGTTACAAAAAGTCAAACAAATGAACTGGCCAATTACGTGCAATGAATAGTTAATGAATAAATATTAAGTGTATGTCAAAATCTCGATTACAGGTGCTAATGCATTATTTATACGTTTAAGCAGTGATAGTACTGTTGTAATGCAAGGATTTTATAGTTATCAATAACGTTATCAGCCATTTAAAGTTTCTTAAGATACTTAAATTGTATCAATTGAAAAAACGACATGTTAATACATTACACAAATAACTAAATTATAGATAGTAAGGTATACATGTATTCACACCAGCCTAACGTCCATAAAATTTGATGTTTCTTGAATTATCGATTAATTTTGCTAGCATACAGGTACTTAGTTACCGCCATATATGATGGGAAAATATACCCAAGTAATTAACGCTGCTCGGACATCTATTTTCGTATCGGTCGACTTATCACTCGGTATATTTGGCTATGTGATGTGGGCATATGTGTATACGCCTTCTCGGTTCGTATGTACATTTGTTACTGCAAGTAGGTGGTTTCGAGAGCCTTTAAAAAAGGAAAAACCGTCTAAAAATACGGAATATCGAGTAATGCGTAAGCTGATTTACGGTCAATATCCTGTTAAAAAGCGGCGTGGGTGCGAATGTAAATTAATAA